TAATATCGTAAATCACCTCCCCACAAAGACACAAAAAAATGAATTAATTAGTCATTGAGTGTACATAACACCAATGATGGGGGCTTGGAATGTCCGAATACATACGCATAACATTGCATGTGTTATGAGAGCTCAGGATGGGGCTCGGGGTTGGTATTGCTTGCGTGAGTCTCATCTCGTGGCATGACATGTTTTATGACATTCAATCATAATAGACATATTTGAAATGAATGTATCAAATGATTGTTGCATGTGACATTCCATATGCATTTAGGTTGAGAGGTATTATCTATAGGAGTTACCCTATTGAGCGTTGGCTCACCCTTTATGGGAACATTTTTAAGGTATCGCACAGGCGTCCACCGAAGGCGAGGCCATGGGCCCGCTTTGATGACAGTGTCGGTCTGTGACTTTTATTTTGACATTGTAGTCCCTTGTTTATACTAACTTTTGGTCTTGTATAATTTTTATAACAAACATTTGTTTAAATTTACAAAGGCATGTATATGAGACTCTTTTGGGACATTTATTCTTTTACGAATAAATGTATGTACTGATAATAATTATGGTAGTATTCAAGACTATACAATTGTGAATTGATAGATAGACCTGGTGTGATCAATATTGTACAGGTTACGTTTTGAGTAGAGCTCCTCGTACAAAGGAGACTCTGCCCAAATTTTGTTAAGTTATGGATCCCGATAAATGGGGCATAACGGTGTGGTATCAAATTACACGATATCCACCAGTATTCCACGGATCGATGGATAATCAATCGGATAATTACATACACCCGGATTATAGGGTGTCACATATCTAAACATGAAAAAACTCAAATTCTCAAACATCTAATACATGTTCATGATTTTTCACCATGAGTTTTCATATTTTAAAAGCGCTGAATGATCATTTCATTATTAATGGAATTTGAAAAAACAAATAATTTTTCACATGCAAATACAAGCCCCAATCACCAAAGAATTTAAACAGACATTCAATCCAAGCANGTTTTCATATTTTAAAAGCGCTGAATGATCATTTCATTATTAATGGAATTTGAAAAACACAAATAATTTTTCACATGCAAATACAAGCCCCAATCACCAAAGAATTTAAACAGACATTCAATCCAAGCTGATGAAACTCCTTTATGTCCTCCTCAATCTCCAATTTTCAACAAATGTTGCAATTACAAATAATTTTTAAAAAATATCAATAAATTGCATATTGGAATCATATTTTCTTAGCTCAAATTCAAAAAAACTAAATTCAATTGTCTATTATTAGGCAAAAATTTAGATAGGCAAGTTACCTAAAACACCAATTACCACCCAAAAAATCAAAAAAATTACAAAAGCTATCAAAATCGGATATTCTCCTTAGAGTATAGGCTTTAAATCTATTAAAGACCCCACTTATAACAAAAAATATAAAATCTCCCTGTAGTCTTTCCAAAAAATTTAACTGGGGCTACTTTCAAACTATTCTAGGGCTTTTGAAAATTATATCAATACCCCAATCATTTTTAAATTTTCAGTGGGAGCAATTGTCCCCACTGTGGATTCATCCCTGGCGGTGGTGGTGGTGGGACAATAAGGGTGATGGAGGTGGGATGGCGGCAACGATAGTGGTTGTGAAGTATTTTGTAGAGAAGTTATTTTAAAAAATTAGAAGTTAGTTTATTTTTTATTTACTTATTTATTTAAGTGGTCAATTACTTTTAATTTATTTGGAAGTGCTTAAAATAAGTTGTTTCAAATATTATTTTTTTTTAAAGTACTTATGAGAAGTCATAAAATCCTAAAAGTACTTTAGAAAAATCACTTCAAATAAACCCTTAGGAGATTTATTTTCTCTATTAAATTTGAGAAATTAATATTAGTCGTCGAATTAATATTAAAGTAAAATTTAAAATGATTTTAACTGCAAAAAAATAGAAGTTATTTTTTATATTGTACTTTATTATATAAATATAGATAAAAATATTTTATTTAAAGATTATTTGAAATTAATTTAAAGATCTTATTTGAGAATCTAATCAATTGTAACTATTGAATTGAAAGTAAATTTTTATTTAATATTAAAATTCAAAATTAATTTACTAAATTAAATTCCTATTTAAGTTCCTAACTTATATGTACATCATTGGGGTGTCAAATTTGATTTATTGATACGAATTTGACACAAATTTAGCACACGCAATTATAAAATTAACACAATTATTAAATATATATAATAAATAATTTAAATTAATATTTAATACTAAAAATATATTATATATATATTTATAATTTTTAACAATAACACAATATACGAATCATACAACACGAAACAATGGACACCGTATATATCATTGCCCATTTTGGCGGTTTGCTGTAAAAGTAACGGGTAATAAGACAAAAGCCGACAAAAACGAAGGTATCGCTCGGTTTCCCAAGCCGCAAGGAGTGGCACCTGGAAATGTTACTCCGCTCGTCCCCGTTTCAAAAGGTCGTAGAAGGAGATGCTTATATGTGTTTTACATCAGCATCTTGGGTGGTGGTCGATCAATGCTATCAACATGACACGCGTCCAGGTAATATTTCATGGGGTAATCATCAAGCAACACGTGTCCAGTCAATTTTATGGGCAGTCCACTTTAGGACATAATATTAATATTATTGTTATCTGACAATTGTTGCTGAGTGCCACGTGTCTATATTTACTTCTTGAATAATTTGAAAGAGCAAAGCTGTTAGGATATAATTTAACGACTTAATAATTGTGATCATTAAATTATTAGTGATTTTAACATTAAAATATTATTAAATCTCAATATTGTCAATCTAATAGTCATAATATTATAAATTTCTAAATTATATTCATAAATTATGTACTAATAATATTAATAAATTTAAAAAGATAATATCACCTATAAGGAATCGTGCACTACAAAACACGACACACTGATAAGTGCTTATTGGATATTTCAATACCTCACTTTCTTCTAATTGACGAGTAAATATTGGGTGTTTAAGAGTGATACTGTATCATTATTATTACATAATTTTAGTATTTAATAATAAATTTATAGATAGATAAGATAAATTTTACTTTTTTATATCAGGTGATTATTTTTTATATGAATATTACGATAGTTACTAAATGAAATATGATCCACTTATCTACATGATAATTAATTATATTGATTAATCATGTTATGTGATCATAATAAAATGGTGTCACTGTCGTAGTAAATATTTTTTGGGAGAATTACACTCATATCTCATAAAATTTGTCATTTAATCACTCAAACCCCCTAATATTTAAAATATTATACACAGATCCCTGAAATTTGTACACACATAATACTTAGACTCATATTGTAAATATATCCGTTAATAAATTACACTTAGGCTCCCCTAAAATTTGTGGGTATATAATACTTAGACTTTTTAAGTTTAAGATATTATACTTAAACAAAAAAAATCTCCAATCAAATATAAAACATAAAATATTTTAAATTTTACAATTAAAATTTATGTTATATTGTATCATTTATTGAAATAAAATCAAAAATAAAAATTTAATTTTTTTTAAAAAAATTGAAATTAGTATACAAATATATTGTCTATTAGAAATTAATTTAGTCGTTTAAACGACCAAATTAAAATATCAAACTATATCAATTAAATCTAAAACATATTGTGTCAATTACAGTTTGATTTGTTGTTTAATTTTTTAGTTTTGTTCTAATGGATAGTATAAATATATACTAATTATATTTTTAAAAAAATAATTTTTTTATTTTTGATTTTATTTCAATAAATGACATAATAGAACATAAATTTTGGATGTAAAATTTATGTATTATAAATAACTTAGACCCATTGTTTGATTTTTTTAATTTTATTTTAATAAATAATATAATTGTATACTAATTACGATTTTTAAAAAAAAATTAAATTAAAATTTATTTTTAATTTTATTTTAATAAATGATATATTAGAACATTAATTTTGATAGTAAAATTTAAAATATTTTATATTTTATATTTGATTAGAATATTTTTTGTTTAAGTATAATATTTTAAATTTAAATTTAAAAAATTTAAGTATTATATACCCATAAATTTTAAAAAAATTTAAATATAATTTATTAATAGATATATTTATAACAAAAATTTAAGTGTTATACACGTACAATCATCAAAAGATTCGAATATAATTCTCTGGTCCTATTTTTCAACCTAACAAACGGCAATCGCCTACGCCCATTTTTAAACTTGTCCAAGCACGAGTGACAAAAAATAAGTCCAAATATATTTTTTCCACTATCACGCAAGGGCATAAAGGTAAAGTCATATTTTTTTTACAACACATTTGAAAGGTTTTCTTTTTCCTGGAAAGTACATTTTGGATCAGACATGTCTATGTTTCCGACAAAGTGGGCCTCTTTTAATTGTGGAAAAGCACACAGAACTGCCACGACCTTTTCTGGCTCCCTCCGTCGCACATTCCCTTTCTTTATCCTCCATTCCCTGACCATGTGACGGCACATAAAACCAAAACTCAGGTTGATTACTAAATAAGTCAAACTTTATACGTGTCTTCACAACACTTCCCCACGTGCATAATCACTATTAGCATTGAGCAGCAAAAGTAAAATGACAAAGATATTTAGTAGACACGTGTCACTCAACCCTCCCGAATCTGCCAAGTTTTACCATCACATATTTCGTACAATCAGGAAATAGATATTTTGACCGGACACGTGGCCGTGAATATCAACTGACCTCCAACCGCTGACGTTGGATCTCGATTCGGTAACACAATAACCCCACCAATTTGGTGTCACCACGCGTCCCCTCTCCAATCAGAAAGCGATACGTACCTGATTCTGCAAGGCAGTTAATCTCCACTTTTGCTGTACGCGTGTCCAACGGCATGTTTCAAGAGACTACTATATATATAGTCGCGTATACACCGCCTCGGACCGGCATGAGACTTCATTGTCGGAAAATGAATTCGAACCAGAGGCCAAAACTTAACTCACTGAGTGACGTGTCCGGGTCATCCGACTCAGGAATACTCAACGAGCGAATACTCTTTCTCGTCTTTGAGTCGATCAAGTGGGACATTCACGTCGTCTGCCAAACGTCGTCCGTCAGCAGAAAGCTCCGCGCCATTGCCAAGCGAGTTCTATGGAGGCAGGTGTGCGTTTATCGAGCACCGCGGATGATAAGCTCATTGACCGGCGTTGTGCGGAACAGTCGAATGGGAGGTGGATGGCACGCACTCGCCAAGCTATTGTTCTACTGTTGCGGTTGTGAGTCGACTCGGCATTTCAGAGTGAGTCAATCGTCACCAGGTCATTTCGTGAAGGCGTCTCGGTTTTCGAAGACGTCGGGTCGGAGCTTCTTGATGAAGAAGTGTAGGAGCGATCTGCTGTACGTGACTGATCCATGCGAGCATCCAACTGGCGACAAAAAAGAGAACAACTTGTTAGGAATTTACAGGGGGGTGTTTCGGGAATTTAACAAGTCGACGACAAGGGGTTGTTTGATTGGACGACGGGTGGAGCTTGAGGATAGGATGAGATGTCCGTACTGCGGGGCCCGCATGTGGAGTATGACGGCGGCTCGGCTAGTGCCAAAGAGCGCGGCTAGACGGCTTGGCTCACATGATGGGGGCTTGGAGTATTTCGTGTGTGTAAATGGGCACTTGCATGGAACCTGTTGGCTAGTGCCGCTATCGTCTGATGAAGAAGATAATGCGGATGACGATGATCATGATAGTGGTGAGGAGTGAAGATGGGGATGATACAGGAGATGGTGGGGTCCATGATAATGACTTTGATGATGAGAACCTAGCCAATGAATCTGATCCCAACCTGATTGGAATGGACCCGCAGCTTGATACCTGGACTTGAATTTGGCTAATATTCTTTTGGTGAGATATTTTCATTGGGAAATATTTTGTTTGGGATTTTTTTTTGCACATTCCATTTGAATTTGACCTTCAAAATTATTATTTTTTTCTGTGGGGTCGACCTGAGATATAGAGGAGCATGCCAAACTTCTTGGGGATAATGTATTGTATGCTAATCATTTATAAAAATTTATAAATTTTATGCTCTTATTTAACACAATAAGTTGATCTGCATACTAGTCACGTTATATATATTTTTTAATTGTTGATCAAAATTATTTTTTTATATTTTATAGGTCATACTCTACAAAAAATAAAAAATAATTATTTGAAATAATATTATCTCAAAAAAAGGAAACTTATTAAAAAAAGAAAACAAGTATAATACATCAAATGAGCTCTCTTTTGTTGTTTCTGACATGGGTAAGTCATCTCGACATTCCTTATGGCTTATCTTACTAGAGAATTGAATATATCAAAAAAATACGGAGAGTAATTATAATTTATTAGGGTCAAATTATCACTCAAAAAGACTCGTTATGATTTAATAAATTTAAATTATGATTAAAAAAAGTTAAAATTACTAATGTCAATACTAAAAATTAGACTGCAATTTAAATTCACTTTCATGTCAAAATAAGTTCGATTCAATCCTGAAAAAACTCTCCGATTGTTAAAATAAGATAGCTGTTCATTGAATTGGAAGGGTACCAAATTTTCCGGCAGAGACGCCGACAAAATTAGAAATAATAATAGAGGGATAATAAATACGAGCTCGTGACGAATAGGAATTTTTCTTTTCTGAGTTTGAGAGTCTCGGGTGAGATAGATATTGTTGATCTATAAGCTCTGATGCTTGAGATTGAGGGTTGCTTTATTTTCCGATGGTTTTGGGTCTTTATCCTTCGGTAGCCATTCAGTTACTTGATATTAGCCTTTGCTTTAGGGCATATAGTCATTTCGCTGTTCCATTTTTTTTTTTGGGAGAATTACGTTAGATTCTTTGATGTTTGTCAATTAATCATTTAGACTACCTAATATTTAAAATATTATACAAAAACCCTTTGAGGTTTAGACCACTTAAACCATGTTGCCAATGTCTGTTAAAATATTCGTTAGTAAATTACACCAAAATCTCTTGAAATTTGGATGCGCATAATATTTAGACTCTTTAAGATTAAAATGTTATATTTACATAAAAAATATTTCAATCAAATATAAAATATAAAATATTTTCAATTTGAGAGAATTATACTCAAACCCCCTGAGGTTTGTCACTGATCACTCATACTTTTAACATTTAAAATATTACACACAGTTCCCTTGAGATTTGTATCCACGTAACATTTAGACCCTTGTCGTCAATTTCTGTTATATATCCGTTACTAAATTATACTCAAACTCTCTAAAGTTTGTAGAAATATAATATTTAAATCTCTCAAATTTAAAATGTTATATTTAGACAAAAAATACTTCAATTAAAGATAAAATATCAAATATTTTAAATTTTACAACAAAAAATCATATTTTATTTAGTCGTTTAGACGATCAAATTAAACTACCAAATTATCCTGATTAAAGCTAGAAGATGTTATGTTCATTATAGTTTTACCTCTTCTTTGTTTTTTTATTTTTATTTCAATAGATAGTAAAATTGTATATTAATTATAATTTTTTCAGAAAAAATTATATTTTTAATTTTGATTTTATTTCAATAAATGACATAATAGAATGTGAATTTTATTGTAAGATTCATATTCTATTGTGAATGACTTAGACCTCTTATTTTATTCTTTTTAATTTTATTTCAATAGAGAGTATAATTTTATATTATACTATGATTTTTTAAGAAAAAAATTAGGTTTTTATTTTTTATTTTATTTTAATAAATAATACAATATAACATGAATTTTAGTTGTAAAATTTAAAATATTTAATATTTTATCTTTATTAGAGTATTTTTGATTTAAGTATAACATTTTAAATTTGAGGAATCTAAGTATTATATCTTACAAATTTTAGAGGATCTGGGTGTAATTTACTAATGGATATTGACGACAAGGGTCTAAGTGTTACGTGAGTACAAATCTCAAAGAATCTGTATGTAATATTTCCAATATAAGGGGTACAAGTGATTAGATGATAAACTTTTAGGGGATTTAGGTGTAATTATCTCTTTAAATTTTACAACCAAAATTCATGTTGTATTATGTAATTTATTAATATAAAATTAAAAATACAAATTTAATTTTTTAAAGAAAAACTTCAGTCACACCCTTACTAATTTACCATATTTTCAAGAACACCCCCATTATCTTTACACCACCATTTCTAACCAAAAAAATTCATTTAAAATACAAAAATTACTCATATATAAAACTAAAACAAATTTTCTACATAAAATTAAAGGCGATTAAAATTTATTTTTTTACATGTTAATTCGAGTTGGTTAAAATTTATTTTTTTATATATTAAAAATTGAGAAGATTAAAATTCAATTCAAACGAATTAAAATTTTCTTATGTATGAAATATTGAACGTATTATTTTTTTTTTTGTATTAAAATTCGAACTGATTGAGCTCTACTTGAACTATTATCGTCAATTAAAATTCACATCAAGTATATTAAAATTTCATTCAAATTGATTAAAAATGAATTTTAATTAGCATTAATATAAATTTAATTGGATCAAATTTGAACACATTAAAAATATATAATTTTTAATCGACTCGAATTTTAATACGTAAAAAATGAATTTTAATTAGTTCAAAACGAATTTTCATGTGCAATTTAATAAAATTGCATTATAGTTAAAACCTTTAATACGACAAAGGATGTCAGTGAAGATTTAGAAAACAGAGGGATGTCCTTGAAGATAAGGTAAACTAAAAGGGGGTGTGGCTAATTTTTTTTTTTTGATAAAAAAATCATAATTAGTATCTAATTATATTATCTATTGGAACAAAACTAAAAAAATAAATAAGGGGTCAAACTGTAATTGACGCAATATCTCTCATCTTTAATTGGAGTAGTTTTGTCATTTTAATTGTATTTCAATAAATGAATTAATAAAACATTAATTTTTGTTACAAAATTTAAAATATTTGATATTCTATATTTGATTGGATTATATTTTATCTAAGTATAACATTTTAAATTTTGGAGGTTTAAGTATTATATGCCTCTAAATTTCATGGAGTTTGAATATAATTTACTATTAAATATTTTAATAGACATTAACGACAAGGATTACACACATACAATTTTTAGGGGGTCTATGTATAATATTTAAAATATCAAGAAGTTTTAGTGTTTAAGTGACAAACTTCAGAAGATCTGGGTGTATTTCTTATTTCTTTCTTTTCTTTTTTTGTGGGGGCAAAGTTGGAGAAAATATTTATTTTAACCATAATACCACGTTGCAATATGATGTAATATTATCAACTAATAATATTAAGACAAATAAGTAAATGATCCCACAAAAAGATAATAATTAACTTGTTATATAAATAAGCTAGTTATTGTCTGTGCCTAAAGGCACAGTGTAATAAAAAATGGTAAACAATAAACACATTTGTATTTATATCCAAAATTAAATCACAAACATAGAGAAGAGATAAAAGAATTTAAGCATTGGTGAATTGTGAGGGGCGAAAAGTGGTGGGCAACAATAGTGGTGGTAGGAGAAGGTGATTGTTGTGATGGATGACAATGACCTTGGTGACGGCGATGGTGATGTTGGCGGCGACGATGGTGGCGACAACCGTGGCGGTGGGGGTGATGGTGGCGGTTGCGGCGATGGTGGGTGCAATGGTGGTGGTGGCGGTGGCTGCGGCGACGGTGGTAGCAATGACAACGGCAGTGGTGGTGGCGAGTGTAGGGGTGGTGATAGTAAAGGTAGTAGTGGTGGTGACGATAGTGGTGGTGGTGGTGGCGGTGGTAGAGGTAGGGGTGAGACAGTTTTAAACACTATTATTTTTTTAAAGTACTTATGAGAAATAATTTTTAGAAATATATATTTTTAAAAAATCACTCCAAACATATATTTAGAGGTCTATTTTTTCTATTAAATTTAGGGTATTATATTAGCCGTTAGATTAACTTTAAAGTAAAATTTAGAACGATCTCAACCGCGAATAACAAAAATTNCCAAACATATATTTAGAGGTCTATTTTTTCTATTAAATTTAGGGTATTATATTAGCCATTAGATTAACTTTAAAGTAAAATTTAGAACGATCTCAACCGCGAATAACAAAAATTATTTTATTTATCTTTTGAAATTTGAATTATAAGCTACTTTATAATATAGATAACTCCTCACTCTTTCTTCATGTAAGTATAAGTGAGGTTCAATTTATCTACTTGAGATTTTATTATTGATAGGTAATGCCATATTAGGGGCAACATATTTTTAAATTTTAAAGTATAATTGTAAAATTTTTTTATCAAAATATGTATTCTTGATAAATTGTTTATAAACGTAATTACATAAAAAAAATGTCATTTAGAGGAGCAACTCATGTATACGAGTGATATACAAAAAAAAGCAACAAAAATATTTCACATCAAAAGTATCTTTTAGTGTTCGAGATACTGTACAAAAGGAGCTCCCAACTCGTGAACTTCCAAAAAAGCCTTAATTGTTCTCGACGAGTTTTCATATATTTGGAACCGTTGCATAATCATTTCATTTTCAATGATACTTGAAACATCTTTCTTAATATATGCAACTAAGCAATTATTCATCCATTGATCTCCCATTCAATTGCGCAATCGATTTTTTACTATGTTTATTGCTGAAAATGCTCTTTCGACTGTTGCAGTGGCAACTGGTAAGATAAATGCTAGTTTATCATTCTGTAGATATGCTCTCCGAATTTCATCTTGGTCATTAGCATGATAATTCGAAATTCTAATTCTTAGCCTAGGATCTGTAGGAAGATTTTTTAAATTAACTCTTTCACGACTTTGATTAAAACAATGTCGTATGTCATCACCACATCATTTATTTCTTGACTAGGAGGTAGTTGTTTCAATGTTGATTTTCTTATAAGAAACATATCCATAGCTGATTGAAAAATAAATTTATCTAATTAGATTCAAATTTAAAAGTTTGTCATTAAGTTCGTAACAAATGAGATAATGAATTACATATAATCAAAATATAATCTATAAATTTAAAATATAATCCAAACTAGAATTTCAAAAAATCAATTAAAGAAATTTAATCATAGGGAAGAAATATAACACTAACCAAGAATTTCAGATAGTCAATCTGAACAGGAGCTTCAACAAAAATTCAAAATAGTTGAGTGGTGACCCAAGACGAAACAAATATAACCTACATAAATCTATAAATAATACACCAAACAACTATAAATTCTACATGAATTAAACTAATTTTTTGATTATAAAAATCTGATTTAAGATCAATTTCGAGGCAGAGACGCTGAAACTCACCTTGTCTCATAACGAATACTATTGGATTTCTTCTAGGATTTTTTCAAATTTAATTTGTACAATAATTAAATCCACCAAAAGAACTAACAAAGAAAAGGGGTTGAACTAATTCGTTGGCTGAACCGCTGAAGTCTAAAGATGGCTTACAGAACAGAGGAGAGGAAGACAAAGATGGCTGGACCGCAGGAGACTTTATGGAGTTACTGGAAAAAAAAAAAAAAAAAAAAAAGCAGGCGTTGAATGTGAGAATCAGCCAAAAGTTACCTTTTAAGATTTAAAAATTATATTAGTATAGCCTAAATTTTAAGAAAATTTCAGTGAAGGCAAGTTTAAAATTTTTTTAAAATTATTCCTAAGTCCCAAAATTTTTTAAAATTTCAGTGGGGCAGCTGCCCATGCCAAATCCGCCCCCGTATAGTAACATAATATCACTGATGCTTTGAATATTTATTCCCTTTTTTATGTTTTTTTTGTTGTACTCTCATACTCTTGCCCCCACTTTTCTTTGATTCTCTTTTCATTCCCCCCAACCCCCTCCCCTCCCCCTGCGGGGGCCCCACTTTTGGGGCACTGTTCTTGGTCTCAGCGATGGGCAGGTTGAAACAGTAGCTGCCGTCCACAAATAGATCATGACAGAGAGAGGTGAGACGAGTGTCACTTTTTAGAGTAATGTTATAAACAACTACTATACTTTAGTCATTTAATTTGAAGATCTAATAATATAATTTGAATATAATTATTAATTTAATTATAAATTCTGAATTAAGTTAAATAATACAATTATTCAATTAATTATGAATTATAAATTAAATTAGATTAAATCCTCAAATTAGGCCCTTATAACATTTACTCTACAAAATCATAACATCTCTACAANAGAGAGGTGAGACGAGTGTCACTTTTTAGAGTAATGTTATAAACAACTACTATACTTCGGTCATTTAATTTGAAGATCTAATAATATAATTTGAATATAATTATTAAATTAATTATAAATTCTAAATTAAGTTAAACAATATAAGTATTCAATTAATTATGAATTCTAAATTAAATTAGATTAAATCCTCAAATTAGGCCCTAATAACATTTACTCTAAAAAATCATAACATCTCTACAGCAAGAAGGAAAAAAATTGAGTTTCAGTAGAATTGAATTTCCAATATTAACAGCAGAATGTTTTTCATATTTAACCTAGACCATAAACTACAAAAGTGAAAACAATCCATATTGCAAAACAACAAAAATATAATGCAAAGTAATTTGCATGTGTGCAATAACGAAGTATATATGCATTTCTAATTCTCAAACACTAAATATCTAAAGCCCTAAGAATACAGTAACGATAGATTCACAAAAAATGAGACAAAAAAAAAAGGGGAAACTAAATGGTGGGACGTTGGTAGGAGTTTCAAGGGAACTAAAATTTCATGTCTGTATTGATTGAAGTTTCAAATGGATTGATAAACTTNTAATGCAAAGTAATTTGCATGTGTGCAATAACGAAGTATATATGCATTTCTAATTCTCAAACACTAAATATCTAAAGCCGTAAGAATAAAGTAACGATAGATTCACAAAAAATGAGACAAAAAAAAATGGGGAAACTAAATGGTGGGACGTTGGTAGGAGTTTCAAGGGAACTAAAATTTCATGTCTATATTGATTGAAGTTTCAAATGGATTGATAAACTTGCGTTCACTTCTTTCAAGATTAAACCATTTTAGAAGAAGTGCTTAGACTTGAGCTTGTTGATCTGTTTGTCCTCTTACGATTTCAATATGATACTTGGTAAGAACATAATAAAAAATTGAATATATTTTCTTTTGTGTGTGCATAAAAAAAATAAGGTGACGTTGACATCAACACAAAAGTGAATGATTCGAGTGTCCTATCTCGTGTTAATGTACATTTTTATATTTGTAATATTAAAAAGAGAAGAAATGGAAAAAATATCTATAAAAAATAGCCCATGCTATTTTTACCCAGACCAGGCCGAGCCCATGTTATATCAGTTAATGTTATCTTTACCTCAGCCCAAGACCAGCCCAGAACCTAATCAAAAAGTTTCGGTTCAGTCGTATAGGTCTTAGTGGCCTGATTCTCTTGGGCTGAATGTCTGAACTAGCCCATGGACACCATGGCCCAAACCTAACCCTAACCTTGCAGCCACTCATCGTACATATATACAGCCCTCCCGAACCTTGACGCCGCAAGCCGGTCTGATCTCCCGTACCTCCCTTCTTCCAAGCTTAGGTCTCTCTCTCTATCTCTCTATCTCTCAAGCACGCACGGTGCTGGAGCATTAGATCTTGTTTAATCTGTTGAAATTTTCAGGTTACATCAAGATCCTTCAAAAGGAAGAAGAAATGGCGTACGCAGCGATGAAGCCGACCAAGCCAGGGTTGGAGGAGCCCCAGGAACAGATTCACAAGATTAGGATTACTCTCTCCTCCAAGAACGTCAAGAACCTCGAGAAAGGTCTTGTTCTTTATTTCTACGTTTCTTATTAGATATATGATCGAATCTGTATGCTTAGATCCCGAAATGAGTTTATATTGACTTTTCGTTTGCTTTGCTTTGATATCTGATGAGTTTCTGGTGTGTTGATATTGATTATTGATGCTTCTTAACTATAGGTTAGTTGAGACGAGTATATTATGTTCTTCATGTTATTTTGTTACTGTTCTTATTTCATATGAAGGAATTTTTGTTGGATTACCAAATTAATCTAGTCATGTTCGTCCTCATGTACTGTATATTGGCCTTTTCCTGCATGTGTATATGTAGTACAATTGATTCAGTTAACTGAAAGATGTGAAAGATTATTGGAACGGAATTTCCTGATGGAAATGAGAAAAATTTCACTCATCTCTCCGTAGAAACCTTTGCAGCATATTGAATTTATACACGAAGAACATGCTGAATATGTCAGAACTTAAGGAGCTTCACAACAAATTGGTATTGGACAAAAGGACTTATTTTCTTCACGATGCTTGGCATTTTTTAACTTGTGCAAATCCGATAAAAATTGTGCTCATTTCATTCTTTGCAATTGATTAGTTGCATTGATTTGATGCTGGTGTAATAGTGTGTACTGATTTGGTTCGTGGAGCCAAGGACAAGCGGCTCAGGGTCAAGGGACCAGTGAGAATGCCCACCAAGGTTCTTCACATCACTACTAGGAAGTCACCATGCGGCGAAGGTACTTTTATTCAAAACTTATGACCCGATTATTATAATTGGAAGATCGTGATTAAATTATTCTTCAATAGGCTGATGATTGTTTTACTTCTTACTTTTTTATAGTTTGAATTGTGTTGTATCATTTTATTTTTGTTTGTTCTTTTTAGTACTCTGGTATTGCATGATAATCTGTTCACATTTATTAAAAGAAGTGAACCTTAGTCATGCTGCATTCCTTTGACCTTCAGTTATGTGATTGTGGACAACATTGGGCTCTTTTCCAGTGTGCTTTCCATGCAATGCTCTCATGGACAAAAAATATTATATAATTTTTGGACCAAGTATTTTGTGTTCCACCAAGCCTTTGACATCATTCTACTTGGTGTGCCCCGATGGGCAAACCTAGATCAACATTTCGGAGAACAGGACCCATTTTTAATGTTTATATTTTGCGTAGAACAACTGGGGGTTGTGGTTTATATGCCCCTACACTATGCACTTTTTCTCCCCCAAGGAGTTTGATATCTAGGTGAATGGCATTTGGAGTAAGAAAAAAATGTCTTATGTATTACTCATAGATGTGGTTCTTTTTCTATGATTCGTATTTTTGACTCCTGATTTTTATGCGTTCACATACTAGAACATCATGTTGGATTTTTTTGGACTTGCAACTCATTTTCAGTCTATGTACTCCTATATTGAGATCTGTATTTATCTATGGACCTGTTTTAATGAATAGTGTCCAAATTTTCCACATATGTATAAACATGCTATTTTAGAAAGAATGCTGCAACTACTCCTAAATAAGCTGTATTGATTTAATCTTCATGAAAAAAATGGAGGACTGGCATTAATTTGTTGGAGAATTATTAAGGTTAAGCAACTTATTAAAATATGAAACCACCTGTTCATTTATGAGTGATGTTTTGTACACTTCATCTGTTGACATATATTGAGTCCAACATTCATAAAACCCATTTTTGTATAAGTTTGTATTTTCGAAATGGGCCTGTCATGCTGTTTGTTTAGCCCCAGAACTGGCAATTTTGTGGTCTATTTTGCATTAGGCAACTCTTAATTATCACTTGGTCGTGGTAAGGATTACACCTCTAGAGCTAGCAGCAACCAATTTTAAGAGAATGAAGAAGGAAGATAAGAGGTGCAGACCTTTAAACCCCTCAAGCAGATAATGCTACACATAGGCAAAGCCTTTTGTTTTTTTAGGGAGGTGTTCAGGAATATTAATCCAGGCACGATCACCTTCTTGTAATTTGAAACTTAGTGCAAATCTTGTTAAAATAAATCTTTTTGGATAATCTAACTACAATTTTTTGTTTGTTGTTTGAGTTTGACAATAATATGTTCTCATGGTTCATGTGGTTGTTGAATGATGTGCATCTGGTAACAAATAGTTAAGTTCATTAGACTAGAGTAGAATCTTAATATTGTTGGAGCAATTGTCTTGACTAAACATCAAATTGTTTTCAGATGGATGTATTTTGCTTAATTGACTATAAATTTCCTATCCTGGTGGTAATAGACTTCAATGTGCTCCCCAATCTNTAGAATCTTAATATTGTTGGAGCAATTGTCTTGACTAAACATCAAATTGTTTTCAGACGGATGTATTTTGCTTAATTGACTATAAATTTCCTATCCTGGTGGTAATAGACTTCAATGTGCTCCCCAATCGCTGCTATCAAAGGTTATAGGAAAAGTGCAATCTAATGTGAAAACATGAATTTGTGTATATATGGTGGTCACTTGTTCAAGTTAACTAATACATGTGTAATAGTGACTAGAATATGTTTTAGTGCAGCTGGGCATGCTAGCATGCTTATACCATCATGTAACCTAAGAAGTAAACTGTCTGCTTTACATTAATAACTGTTAATTATTTCTGATTTTTGATCAACAGGAACCAACACATGGGATAGGTTTGAGCTCCGCGTCCACAAGCGGGTGATTGACCTCTTTAGCTCCCCGGATGTGGTTAAGCAGATTACCTCAATCACGATTGAACCCGGTGTTGAGGTTGAGGTGACTATTGCTGATTCTTAAATTTGCTGTACGTTTTCCTATATTTCTATGGTCTATTAGTTTGTTAGGTCCTTTTGCCCTTGCAACCCTGCCAACATCTTCATTTCAAGTGTCCACATCATGTGTTGAAGTTGTAGTATGAATTAACAAGAGTTTTGCTGTTACAGTTCTGTTTTTGAAAGTAGTTTGTTTGAGGAGACAATTATGTGTTTGTTTCTGCGGTTGTATGAATACATGCTATTTTTTAGTGCTCTATGTTAAGAATCCCCATGTGGGTGGTACCATTTTTGTTGCATTTCCAGCATATTTTTAGGAATTCTGTTTATTGAAATTTATGTTCCTTGAACTCAGCACAGCTCTGAGGATAGGTGTTGCGGCATATGATTGCATTGCAAGCCCTCTTACAGTTGGGTAGACTTTATTAGTCTGAATAAAATGTGAACAAATATAAGATAAAATCAGTTATCTGACGCACAGTTCCTTGTGTTGTCCACAAAAAGATAAGCAGCAATGGAAACCCAGAATAACGCTGCATTACATTGTTTTGTACACAATTCATTGCAACCAACCTGGAAATAGGGAAAGGGACTATTGTTCTGAATGAATCCATGCAACAAGAAGTTGCCACTAATTTTTTAGAACTTAGAAAGATGCGCAGGACACTTCAATTCTACAGGGATTTGTCAAACTCTTGGTTACCAGGGGACCAATTTCTAACACATCAGAGTCCCTTAGTTTCATGAAAAATCAGTATTGCACTTGGCCTAAATGAATTATCAACCAGAATGAAGAAAAAATTAAAATATATTATCAACCAGATGTTAAAATTTTGGTTATGATAGTAACGAGTAAGAATTCTGCCATTTCTTTTATTATATATGGGCAGTGAACCATCTCCTTCCTTCTTTAGCTTTATACTCGGGAGAAAACGTTCAATCCTTCCTCCTCCTCCTCCCAGGTAAAACACCCTCGATTCACGAGACACAACTGGAGTCTGTCCTTCAATTGAAATATTGGATGTAAAATAAATCGAGTTTCCTTGGATCCCATTAATGTCTCTGGCCGAAAAGCATGATGAACCAGTCATATCCAAAAATAGAACTGTATCGTTACCAAAGCTGTTTAACATGTCGGTGTGTCCATCGCAAAGATTGACCCTGAATAACTTTAAGTCCAGTTATCTTCCAATACCTCAAACGAAGTGGGCAACCGTCTTCATCCTCATACCAGTCTCCAATGTCAACACCATCTTCATGCTCTTGATTCCCCTCACCAATGTCATCATCATCTTCATGCTCCTGATCCCACTGACCAATGCCATCACCATCTACATATTCCTGATGCCCCTCACCAATGCCATCACCATCTTCATGCTCAACCACATANGTCATCATCATCTTCATGCTCCTGATCCCACTGACCAATGCCATCACCATCTACATACTCCTGATGCCCCTCACCAATGCCATCACCATCTTCATGCTCAACCAAATCATCAAAACTATCATCCGGCAATGCAAATACATCCAGGATTTGTATGATAACCAACAATTCACCATTTGTTGACTCTGCCAAATCATGGTGTATGCCTGTTTCCTTGAAAATCCTAAAATGCTGAAACTCAACGATCTTGTTTTCCACATTTACATAACTACTATAACAGAATGAGATCAATGTCAACATCATCTCGCAGTCTGATAATTTAATACTGAAATTTCTAACATGATTCTCTTCACCGTCAATTAAGACATCAAGTGTACTGTTACGAAATAACATGACTTTATAATAAATTTCATCCTCTTCACCATCTCCTTCGAAGATGTTCCATCTTTCATCACCTGGTCGATAGAATACCAATATTTCCTGATCAAAGATTGCTGCAACTATACATTTGGCAGCGTCAGCAGAAGATATTGTGATTCCGGTAATGAAACTATCGAATTTTGAGTGCCAAATTGCAAAATTTTCAAAAGATGGGATAGTTGTCAGGGAAGGAAGTCGAAGTTGGGCTCCAGTAATTGCATTCAATAAAAAGAGGCTTGGGTTGAATTCAGATCCGGTTATCATTATCAACCAACCTTTGGAACATCCATAGCACCTCCCTCCATGGACTGACTTTGGTAGCTCTAGATTATAAACTCTTTCCTCAGAGAAATTATAAAAACTTATGTCTTTGCCAATGGGATATTGGAAAAGCATCAGCCATGGAATCTCAACAACTGTCTGAATGTCTTTCTTTGTAAGAATCACTCTCNTTTGCCAATGGGATATTGGAAAAGCATCAGCCATGGAATCTCAACAACTGTCTGAATCTCTTTCTTTGTAAGAATNCTCAGAGAAATTATAAAAACTTATGTCTTTGCCAATGGGATATTGGAAAAGCATCAGCCATGGAATCTCAACAACTGTCTGAATGTCTTTCTTTGTAAGAATCACTCTCCACCCCTTGCAAACACTGCTCATCCGGATTCGATCAGTTTGAATTAATTGCTTTACGACCTTCTCAATGATATCGTTGGGTAGATTATGCCAGCAACTAGATGTAATTTGATTCTTGGTGTTTGACGAATTGTTCCGACTCTTACCAAAGATGGATTTGATGAAAGAAGACCTTTTACGTGACAGATACACACCCAAATTCCGGTTGCTGTGGAATATGAGAGCAGCCATCTCTGAAAATTCCGTAACTGGAGAGAGGAGAATGGATTTTGGTGTGAAAATACAAAGGTATGTTTTTTGAGGCTTCTTGGAGCAATCAGGTATGTTATTATATACATAGAGGATGAATGGGCTAAAATTAAAATCCCCGTTGGAGAAGGAAGTAGAAGACCCTATTGGAATAATAATTAATAATTTTAATATAAAATAAAGTCTTTTGTCAATTTAACAATAACAATAAAGTAAACAGTTAAATTAAGTGGTACCAACCATTAGGTCAAAGAAGTGTCGAACCGTCTTGACAACAAAGTTTCCAAAATTGTTAGATTGAGAATAAATTTGAAAGAGTTTGGTAGTTTGGGATTCACTTGAAATCCAATAATTCCGATAAATTAGTTTTGGAGTATGACCCTAACCCTCAATTTTCTAAATTTGGATAGTTTTTTATTTGTTAGTAAAATTCTGTTATTAGGAGTTCTTAGCCAAGTGGGATTGTAACCCACATTAGATAGTTAGCAATTAATGTTAGTATTTTATTAGAAATGCTCGTTTTTTGTAAAACTAAAAAGTGTATTTACCAAATTACAACATTTAAAAAAAAAAAAAGGAATCATTTTGTTAAAAAATAGAGTCAACAATCCCGCTAATTTTAATCATTTGTTGATAAAGGCCCTTCGGTATTTCAGTTAGAAGCAAAAAGAGTATATTAAATCCAATGAATTCACTCTTCTAAAAGCTAGTTAATAACTTCACTTTTTAAAAAATATCGTAATTTGATAAATAAATTTATAATGTCACAATTTAGTAATTTTATTTTAAAACTGTTAATAGTCTATTCTCTTGGCTTTGAACTGCGGAAGAAAATAGTAGCCGTGAGTCTTCTATAAGATCTAATTATAATTAATAAAGTAGAGCTTGAGAACAATAACTATTCCCGCTACATATTTGTTGAAATGCAACGCTATTTGTTTGTTGTTTTATTTTCGTTTAATCATTTGAACTTAATGGTAGGTAGGTTTGAGCAAATGTACAACCAATCACCGGCTCTGAACCTTGTGATAATCCAAGTCATAATGTATTAACCAATAAACACTTGTGGGACAGACAAAATGACAGTTTGCACCCAAAAGACTAAAAAAAATTTAAATTACATCCTAAGGATCAATTATTTTAAATTACACCCTCAATTAAATTAATTGGTAACAACGTGACCTCAATCAAAATGTCCGTTTCAATTTTTATTAAATAATCTAACAAAAGTCATCACATGCATCTAAGGTGGCCGACAATTTGATAAAAATCACAACGAACGTTATTGTTGGGGTCATATTGCTACTAACTAATTTAATTAATGGTGCAAATTAATATTTATTTTAATCTTTCAGGTGCAAACCGCTATTTGCCCTAATAGATTTTATAACTAGACCCCTTCCAATAACATGGCTTCTAGGCGTTGCCGTTGCCGTTGCCGTGGGGTGCTCATGAAAGCTGCAACGCCTTTGCCTTCAGTTTTTAGGTGCAAATGGGAATGTGAGAGTGCTCAGACGGTAGAGACCCAAAGATGTTGGTGAAGTATGCCAAATCAGACTGCCTTAAACTCAAGGTACATGTGCCCATTTTCAGTTCGGAGACCTTCTAGCATTCTACAAATAAGCATAACTTAAAACTTTCTGACCACCAAAGGGACAGGAACATCAAACTATTTTTTTTTTCTTTTTCTAGTGGAATATACATGCCCAATAATTCTACAGAACTTCAACGTTTTTTTACTGTATAGACATGACTCTATTCCCCCATGTTGTACAAAATATGTGTAATTTAGCAACCTTTTTCATGACACAAACTTCCAACAAAATTCATGACAAACTTTCAATAATCATCTCAGCAGCAGCACCCATTGCACCAACCCCACTAATGCCAAGCAGGGCCAAAGCCAATTCCTCTTCATTCCACTGCCTTAATCCCTTGCTCAGTCTCTTCAGAATATCTCCATCCACCTCCAGCATCCATGCTGGGGTGCAAGCCACCATCAAGCTCACAAACCCCGAGACATATGCCCGCCATGTAGCCCTATTGCAACCGAGGGATATTTTTCCATCAAGAGCGCTAGCCAGAAATTCTAAGTGTGTCCCAAGAATACTTGGCCGCCGCTGAGATGCTGGTGATGTGGAATCCACTCCCCAAGCAAATGTCCCAGAGAGCACAGCAAAATATGCAAGAGCATAGCCCCCCAACATCGCAACCATCCCTCCTGATTCACCTCCATCAGGGTCTGATCCATGGACTGATATAAACCAAGATGGTAAGGTTTCTTTAATTAAAGATTGAACCAAACATAATCCACCACTTATCCAAACTAAAGAAGCCCCCAGTGCAGCTGCAAGCTTGACACGCGTCACTGCTGCAGCAAGAGAAACTTGACCATATCTCATCCCATGCTTTGTTTTCTTCAGTTTCTCCAATTTCTCCGTAGGTAACCCACTATTAGCAATATCTTTGACTGAATGCATCAGAAGCGAAACAATTTCTTCTGTCAAGAACATAACATTTCTGACAGCTCGGTGAACTCTTAAGTAGAGAATTCCAGGGGCAACTGGAGAAATTCCACCACAGAAATGAGAACCAAATCCATGGCCAAGGAGGTCACCCACACCACCATTGCTGGATATGGAAGAGGAATTTAGCCCGAGAGTCGTCGTGAAGCAGACTCTGAGCAGTTGAACAACAGCATCGGTATTGTGGTAGAAGACAGCACGAGATGCTGAGAAAACAAGATAGTCACTCCAACGCTTTACCTTCTGAGCCCATAGGGAGACCATGATGGGCATGCATGGCCAGGGGCAACCAACAGCAAGGTTACTCAGGGCTGGGCCAACCAGGTTCAGAAAACGTTCGGAGACTCTGTCAAGTTTATAAGTTATGGTGAGGCTTACAAGGGCAGCCAGGGGTAAAGGAAGAGTAGTTGGAGAGGTCCCTCCTGCAAACCAAAACAAGTTAAGCCCAGGTTTTTAAGTTTTTAGCAAATAAAACACCAGTAAAACATTATTTCCTGATTCCAAACTACTACAAAACTTCCTTTTGCCAATATCAGTTCCTATCCTATTCTCTTTCCATCGATTATTCTTCTACCATTTCAAAACCTTTTTGATGATTGAGACCATTGACGGCTATTTGGCTGAAAAATTCACACAAAGCGACATTGACTTTGCACCAGCACCAGAAACATAAAGTATGGAAAATTTAATTTGTTTGGGAGGAAGTAGCCAAACAACCAATTGCATATTCATGACATTAGATGTGAGGAAGTGACCCAGTGGTAAGGGCTCACTCCTTGCCCATGGCTGGTTGTGGGTTCTAACCCTCCCCCCCCCTCTTTTCTCCCCCTCCCCACAAAAAAAAAAAACATATTCATGACATTAACGAACACAAACCTGCAGCCAGGCTTGGGACATCCACACCAGTGGCAGCTAAGATTTTCTTTATTTGTTGCTCAACCATGGATAAATTTGCAGCAGGGCTTGGCCAATCAGTTCCATTCATAAAAGCAGGTTTCCAAACACCCCTCGTTACTTCAGCTGAAAAGTAGCTCACGATAGCAGCCAAGGATGCGGGAAGGTAATCGGCAAGATCCTTGAGTCCTGAGCAGTTTAACATAAATCCAACATCAGAACATGATTCATAAGTAGGAAATCTCAAAGAAATACTCAGAATAGGTACTACTTACTAGCTCTCCAAGAAAGAAAGGCATAACAGAAGCTTAAGCATAAATTGAGGTTTGATAATGTATAGAGTATCTTGTCTGCAGATTATATGAACAGTTAAAATCTTTGTATTTTTTCATACAAATTTTTTCAAGGGACATTGGAACACCACATATTGTGATCATTCGACCCAAAAAATTCATGTTGGTTTGAGGCATATAGTATTCTAATATTAAATATCAACTGCTCACTCTGACAGTGTTATGTACAACTGACAAGAAGACATTAGTGGCACTTCATTTTCTAAACCGCAACTAGACCTGCCAAATATAATAGATATTAAAGCTAAGCTAACACAGGCTTATTTGCCTCTTTTTTCAATCTGAATAAGCCTAGTTTAATCTGGCCCAAATAGATTATAAATGCAAAAGGGTCTACCTTTGCAACTGTTGGTGTATAGTGCATACGGTATACCTACATATTCCATTGCCACACCAGAATATCCTTGAGAATTGAGATGACTAAATAAAACTCAATGCCTAACCATTCAGATTATCTTAACAAAATGGACTAACCTGTGGCCAGTTCCCGTGGAGAAAGTCTTCCATGGGCACAGGCTGTAAGAGCAGCATCAAGCACAAAGGGAACAGCTTCCAAAATATCCCATGCAGGCAATTTAAGACGGAGTGAGGAATCTTCACTTACAGAGACCGAAGAAGTACTACTTCCAGAAGTTGTAGGAGTCAAGGGCTGACCACCTCTATTTATTTTCCTAAACATCATGTTCAGGAGCCCCTCTACAATCTGATGAACAGGAGTTCCAGGTACAAGACCAGAAAGAGTAGAAGCAATACAAGCTTGATGCTGCCTGTACCAACGTTTTAACTTTGGAAAACAGTCCAAGAATATGGGTTCTGTAGATGAAGGATTAAAAAGCCTTGAAACTCTCTTGCTTTTATTTTCATCCTTGGGTGAATTTCCTGATGATGCTAATAGGGAATTGCGCACCAGTAAGAGGTATTCTGGAGTTAGATGGGATCCCACTGGAGCAACATCTCCCATTACATTTTCAAGAGGTGGTTGATCGAACCTCCACAACTTCAGCAGGAGAGTAAATGCATTAGAAAACACAGCATGGGAGGAGATTTCTTCCCCTGTATTAAGTGTCCATGAGACATTGGGAGCACATGATCCGAAAACTTCACAAATTGGCATTAGCGCAGCAGCAAGTTGTGGAACCTGTGAGAAAGTAGACATTCAATCAGCACATAGCCAAATTTAGAGGAGTCTTACAACTTTTCCATCCTGACCATAGTTGTTCTTTTGCTCTACTTTCACTTGTTCCTTCTTTTAATAAATCGGCCATTGCTAGGCATTAGCACAAAACCTCACACTTATTGACGCTGGCATCATCAGAAGATTATGAAAGAGGAATTACATTTGTTACTCCTCAGAAGAAGATAGGAACATTGGTTGTCTAGCTTGCTTCTATGGTAAAATAGTAACCAAAAATTCCTCTGATGGAAATGCATGAACAAAAAGTGGTCTGATTATCAATTCTCTGCATACTTGCCCCTCATGATTTTCTGTTTGTGTTGTTGGATTTGTGCACAACACTCACATTATCTATACTACTAATAAAAATACCTTAACATGAAAAACTTTTGATTAACTATTTTGCACTTGTAAAAAACTATAAAAGCTAACATGTCCTTTTGTATTTAAATATGTAAATTAATATTATATCTCTTTGTATTTAAATAACAAACTAATCTCTAACATCATGCAAATTTCTCTATCTTTGCAAAACTTTTGAACGGTCATGTTATGTTTAACGTGATATATAAAAATATTATATTTTTTTTTTCAAAACCTCAATATTAATACACGTTGACAACTTCATTGATACAATATCAACTCTAATGCCCAAAAACAAAAAGAATTTGGTACAAAATTAGTAATGCACAAAGTAAAAACAAGAAAGACAAAAAAAATAAATATTTGAGAAAATAAAAATATATAAACCTTACTACTTGAATGAGAGAATTATAGAAAATGACTCCATTTGATGTTTGTAGTTTTGAAAAAAATACAAACAATTTAAGTATGATAAAAATGAGATAATATCTTATGTATTTTATCAAATGTTTCAATAAAAACTTTTACGTGCAACGCACATAATGCATTGCTAATAATTCAAAAGAAAGCATGAGTAGCTGAAGTTTGACCTACCAAGCCATGTAATGAAAAAATCTGAACAGCATCGACGGATGATATTCCGACAAGAAGAACATTCAGAAATGGTGCATAATTTATCAAATCAGTTTTAAACCCCGAACAATCAGCAGGAACTGGAGGTGACAACAACGCTGTGATAAATTGAACAGAATGTTCCTGCAGGCAGAGACAAAACCATATTTGGAATGAAAGAAAGCAGAAAAAACCAGGAAAAGAACTACAGAAACAAACTGGAAGTATAAGAAGACAAGAAAGTACTCTATTATATACCCTTGTAATCCCAAACCATGTGCAATAAGCTACCTGTATATTCCAGCCACGAGTAAAAGAAGCCCCGCAGAGAATGGTAGCAGCAGAAATCTTCTCATCATTTGAACCGTTGACAGCGATCTCATATATTTTCTCTATTTCTGCTAAGCTTGCATCAAATCCATGAGCTTAAATTCAGTTGCTTTACCACTGGGTAAATTTACAAAAAAGAGCATCTGATATACCTGGCTTCAGGAAAGAAAAGGGTTTAACTGAAGACCAGGCCACTTTTGGGATAAATAACGGAACTTTATTTATCATGTTAATCATGGACATAGCACTGTTCAGTTCAGAAACACGTTGAACTCACTCTGATTTTAGGAAATGTGAGCTCGCTGGACATACGGGTTAACAGGATACAGTAATATTATTGTGACATCTCTACTTTCAGACCATTTAATATAGCACACAAACTAGTCAAAAAAAAAACAAAAACTGTGCTTTCATCAGATCATACACATTCCTTGGGAAATTCAATATAATCTATGCTAACTTCTCTTAATTGAGCCACATGAGTACGGCTGTACCACACAAAAACTATTTCATCCAGGTAACACTGGAGAAAGAAAAAGGCATATTTTTTTGGTGGATCGCAGGAAACTTGAAAGTTACAGGTGCCAGCATACCTTGAAGCCGGAGTTGAAACCAAGGCAGTGACCATTGGAGGAGTTAAAGGTGATCCCTTCACTAATGATGACCAACCAGGAATTTGGCCAGAAACGCTACGAGGTATTTGGTTGCTGCGGCTCCTCACGTAGCCGGGCCATAGATATGATGATGTATCCAAAAGATTTCTGGCGATACATGCCTCAACAATCAGATGCCGCATGTTTCCAGCTGCAAGTAATCATAAATAATCACAAAGCCTGAGATCGGCCATTAAAAAAAATGAACAGACAACAGTAATTAACCTTATCAGATGAAAAACAGTAATTAAACCCATCATGCAGTTCCTTCAGAAAACACAGATATGTAATGCACATTCTGAACCAACGGACTTTTGGTCTAATGGTACTTCTTACCTTGTGAAGATTTTGCTTTCTTAAGGTTAAGGGTTCAAGCCCCCTTCTCCCCCTCCCCCTCCCCCTCCCCCTTTCCAAAAAACAAATGTAATGCACATTCTGCACGATGAACTGTCATGACCCTCGTGCAGGGTAAATGCAGTACAATTATGCCATATTTTGCCACGATAATAACACTACTGGAATCAATGCATGCCGTGAAATCCAATTGATTACTCACTACAGTTCACTGGCATGTCGTTCAAGCTAACATCATCAAGGTATCCGTTCCCAACTGCTAGGCCTGAAAGGAACATCATTGCCTTTGCAGCAGCTTGATTGGCTACTGAACTTACAGGTAGTGGCGGAGTCAACAAGCCTTCATAATCATCCAATTGCTGTAGGCTAGATATCAAGTCCTTGCGCCGCTTTCGTGAAACCTGCTTCTCCTTTATTTGACNCAAAAAAAAAACAAAAACTGTGCTTTCATCAGATCATACACATTCCTTGGGAAATTCAATATAATCTATGCTAACTTCTCTTAATTGAGCCACATGAGTACGGCTGTACCACACAAAAACTATTTCATCCAGGTAACACTGGAGAAAGAAAAAGGCATATTTTTTTGGTGGATCGCAGGAAACTTGAAAGTTACAGGTGCCAGCATACCTTGAAGCCGGAGTTGAAACCAAGGCAGTGACCATTGGAGGAGTTAAAGGTGATCCCTTCACTAATGATGACCAACCAGGAATTTGGCCAGAAACGCTACGAGGTATTTGGTTGCTGCGGCTCCTCACGTAGCCGGGCCATAGATATGATGATGTATCCAAAAGATTTCTGGCGATACATGCCTCAACAATCAGATGCCGCATGTTTCCAGCTGCAAGTAATCATAAATAATCACAAAGCCTGAGATCGGCCATTAAAAAAAATGAACAGACAACAGTAATTAACCTTATCAGATGAAAAACAGTAATTAAACCCATCATGCAGTTCCTTCAGAAAACACAGATATGTAATGCACATTCTGAACCAACGGACTTTTGGTCTAATGGTACTTCTTACCTTGTGAAGATTTTGCTTTCTTAAGGTTAAGGGTTCAAGCCCCCTTCTCCCCCTCCCCCTCCCCCTCCCCCTTTCCAAAAAACAAATGTAATGCACATTCTGCACGATGAACTGTCATGACCCTCGTGCAGGGTAAATGCAGTACAATTATGCCATATTTTGCCACGATAATAACACTACTGGAATCAATGCATGCCGTGAAATCCAATTGATTACTCACTACAGTTCACTGGCATGTCGTTCAAGCTAACATCATCAAGGTATCCGTTCCCAACTGCTAGGCCTGAAAGGAACATCATTGCCTTTGCAGCAGCTTGATTGGCTACTGAACTTACAGGTAGTGGCGGAGTCAACAAGCCTTCATAATCATCCAATTGCTGTAGGCTAGATATCAAGTCCTTGCGCCGCTTTCGTGAAACCTGCTTCTCCTTTATTTGACTGGTGGGAGTCATGGGACTGCACTCAGCTTCATCATTCAAGGCATTTTCCTCTTCCTCAATTATATTGACAATTGCAAGTGTCGTTATGGACAATAACAAGCATAAGCAAGTGTCAAGGCGAGGTATTGGACCTTCACTGGTATCCCTTTCCTACAAGAAAGAACAAGAAAAAAGAAACTACAATAAAAGAAATAATAATCAAGGAAGATCAGTGCAAATTCCATAAATAGTAAATATGAAGCTCTTAAGGACCTTCAAAATGATGCATCCTGCACTCAAACTGCATCAAAAACAATCAGTTAATAGAAAACTTTATCAACAGGTCACTAGACTGTACTCCAATCAAGAAAGATTAAAACCAGAACATATCTAGCCAATCATCTTACTTCCAAAAGTAAGCCTCATGTGCGAAGTGTATATGCTCCAGACCAAGGCAAAAATCTTTTTCCATTAAATTTCTCAGTTACCAAGAACTTATAATAACTCATTATAAAACTAGCTCAGTTGCTAAAATTTAAAAACTGAGTGGTATCATGAGCAAAATGGAAAGGAAGCTGGAGAGAGCACAAATTACGCCTGTGTCACAATGAAGCATTTTATCTATCCTATCGTCTAAAGGACAAAAATCCCAGAATTCAGCGTCCAGCCCTGCTAAAATAAGGTGCTAGGAGCGGTGGTGGACTAAACCAAAGCTATTCTTGGGTAAGTTTTTGCAAAATGTGGCTGCATTCTCAGCTTTGTATTTCACCCCTGAACTAAGAACCCATATCATCTTAGGAGTTTGCTCAATGAAAACTAGGGGAAAATGATATTTCAATTCTGATTGCATGAGTCCTTACCCTTTGAACTAGTTGGAGAGCAGCAATCCACAAACCCAGAAATGTATCCTGCCAGGTGGTGTGATTAACAGCCTGAAGAGCCTTTACTAGACCTGCAGCATAAGTCTGGTTCAGCGATATGGTTGGAGTAACAGACGTCTACCTTTTACTAAAACTATAATTCAAGCATTATAATGCAAGGTACAAAGTGTACCCGTAAGAGTTTCAGCAGCACTTGTAGCTGTCACTTGTGATCCATCCATGGTATCTTCCAGAAAGAGATCAATGGGAAGCCAAAGTGCTGAACGACTAGCGCCATGGCATTGACCAGCAGAAGATACAAGGGAGCCAGAAGCCATCATAGCATGAAACTGCTGTTGCGAACTTGTTTTGCATTCCCGGGACAGGACTCTACGGGAATCAGATGCTAACTGCAAAAGAACCTCCGGAGTAATATTTTTTGAACTTCTCAAAGCTGATGAGTTTGCAGCAAGCAGTCTCAACCGCTCGACAAAACATCCCCAATGTACAGGCCTATGTGGGGAAAAGAAAGTAACTAGCTATTAGATCTTATCTGATAAAGCAAACCAAGCATTAGTTTAGATCCACTCCAAAGTACAAATAACCAAGATACTGCACAAGAAGCTACTGAAATAACTTTTCTCCCTTCTCAAAGTTAATATTGGAGTAGATGAAAGTGTAAATGAACAAAAAAACGTATATAAGGTCCTTACATATTTCGACGTGCCAAGAAAAGGATCCTGGATATTACTTTATCTTTAAAAAAATCTCCAATAATCTCAATTGCCATTACAGCATTTATTTTGCGCATTTCCTCGTGGCGTTCTGTTCTCTTTTCTTCAAAGCTATCCTTATTGTCTATCTCCATATCTTGTGTCCTGGTTGGCCACCAAGATTTTTTTTCAGGGGTAAGTTCCAACAATCCTTCTTCATCCAGTGACGCATCAAGTAATTGCCATACAGTGGAAAGGACAAACCCAACTACAAGGAACCCCGCTTCACATACTTGAAGGTCAAACATTGGCGAAAGATGAAGAACGGCGTCTATGGATTCCATGATCCTGCAATTGCATAACTATATGATGTTAAGGGATACACACCAAAATTACTCGTTGCAATTGCAAATATATTCATCTTGCGCACCCAAATTCAAGCTAATAGACTTAGAAGCTGTACTAAACAGATGTGAGGTAGGTTTGTCCGTGTGAGATATAATATTTCATCATTACATAGAGATAACTTATTTTACCCTCAGACTGTTTCTATATCAAGCATAGTTTTGCATAAAGGAGAGAACTCATAATAAAGTCACGCATTCATTAAATTTTGATAAGAACGATGAATTAATTCTTCTACTCATGGTAAGGTAAAAGACGTTGGAGCACACTTTGAATACACCAACCAGTCACCACCCAAGTCTCACCCAAATCCGCCACCAACACCTAAACCGATGCAGCGAAAGACACTACCCGGCATCCAATCTGCCACTACCAACCACCAAAACCAACACCCACCACAACTTACACCCATCTTTTTCCCATTTGCTTTCTCTATCTCTGATACACGCACGCACGCACGCACGCACAACCACTACCTGAGTAGAAAAAGAAAACATCCCCAAGTTTTCTTTCAATACTTCCATCCGTTTGAACTTAGGCTTTCAACCTATGAGTCATATTAGTCATTTGAGGCTTCTCTCATACCACTGGCTAGAAGTTGGTTTTCTGAATATTTCTGCACCACACCATTTAGTGTTTCCTTCTTGACCACATAATGACTGTGTCTGTTTACACATAGCTTGTCAAGTTCTACCAAAAAAAAGAGGCATCTTTTCAAAAGGACATGAAATACTTTATAGCCAACTACCTGGACTACTCTGTGAGCCTAAAGTCAAGTAATTCTCCTTTCAAATCTCTTCTCTCATTAAATAATATGACTTGCTTGATCTGCTTTCTTATTCTGGTTATCTCAGCACAGAAAAACCTATCATAGGCTGGTACCACAGCCACACACACAAAAAAAAAGTTAGCATATCCTGGACAATGAAGTACCAGAGCATGAACCAAGATCAAAGAGTTTCATTTGAGATTTATAGTGAAAACACAAATAAAATTTCTCACAATTCCACATCTGGATTAATCACGATGAATTATGATCTACATACGTAACACAGAAAACTAGCTAAAAGGGAGAGCCGACAATTTTAGTATTTCGTTCTTGCATCGAAGTTAATCTTCAATGAGATCATTTAAATTTATCTCTGAACAACATTAGATGTTCCACTGAATTCCAGTTCTCCTATAGACCTCCTAAAATTGGACCATCATGTCCAAATTATTTGAGCACCTTAGGATTCTCTCAAACTTATGTTTGCTTTTATACGAAAAGGTAACGAGAAACAAGAGACAGAATTACGATTAAAGAATGATTGGGCCAATGCCAAGGCACCGATTTTATTTTGAGCATGGATGACTCAAAATTAAGATTAATACTTGCCGATTCATATTACATAAATCATGGACAAGGACAGACAATCCACGGATATCATATATGTTATGCTAGATATATACCATGCTACTGCAGGTACTTACTCTGTAATACATTACATAAGTAGGTAGTTCTCGCACTATAAATTGATGTAAATCGTATCCAATTCCTATCAATAGATTAAGCTATGATGATTCTCATGTATAGACAGGCTGCAGCTTGTTATGGGCTGCATTTCTCATTGAAAATCAAGATAACTTTCATGATGGTATACATCATACAAAAATCATCCAGTCCATCCCTGGCCTTGGTTTTCTAGCATGGGTGGCTACCAATGGAGATTGATTAATTATGTGAAATGTAATAAAATCAAACACACCCTCAGGAGGGACAAAATCCAAAATCACATAGTACTATACAAAAGCAAATAATAAAAAGAAATAACTCTTAAGCAATTCAATCATCAATGTGCGAGTCTTACTTTTGATAATTAGGACCATTAACTAGAGATGCCAATGAAAATGCATATCTTTTAAGGAGTTCCATATAAAGCCTGTATGCAGCAGGATAGCTTCTTCGTCTTGGAATTACTCTGCAATAAAATAAAATAAAATAAAAACGGCAGATATTTAGGCATTAACTAATATATAAGTAATCCAAGGAATTACATATAGCAATTCCTTTGTTCACTTAAAAGTTCAAATTCGGGGAGAGAGAGAGAGAGAGAGAGAGAGAGAGAGAGCTAATATTTGGCAAATTAAGCGAATAGGACACACAAGGAAAATAAAATAGACTATATAACAGGAAATATTATTAAAGACCCTATCTTGCTTATGAAGTATCAAACGACATCATACTTTAGGACTAAGGTAATTAAATAAAAGATAATTTAATCATGAAGGAAGGAAGAAAATAAAAGAAAAGGATGCATAATACTCGGTTGTTCTTCACCACTAACACAACAGAAACACACATAGACACCCAAATACTTATCGAGATGCAACAAAACCATAAAAGCTACAGAGAAAAAAACCCTCCCACACACATGTTTATGGAGACATATACACGCATATTAATTAAGCACTGGGAAAAAAAAAGGATTAAAGATGTTTTTACATTAATATTTAAAGGGTTGTTGGGGCTATAGAATTTACTATCACATAGTGCCTCTTAGTTTGTATCAATTCAGTACCTGGTGGAAAGAAGAGCGAGGACAAGCATCGGAGGGACGATTCTCACCGTCAGCGCCTTCTCGAGAAACTTCCAGGTGATAGGAACGTTATTGGCCCAACAAATGTGAGAGACGAGCAAGTTGGCGACCTCTATCGACGGCATAGAGACTCCGGCTGCATTCAAATTCGACGAGAGCTGAATCGCCCACATCAACGGATCAGAACCCCTATCCTGAGCCGACTTTGTGAGTTCGATCACTCCGTCCCACGTACTCGGGTGTACGGTCACCGCCATGCTTGTCCGCTACTAATCTCTTTTAGGGCAGATCTATTAAGCCCTCGTAGAGGTGCATGTGATTTTGGAGGAGAGAAAGAGAAGGAAGAAGGTCGGTTCCGTATGCGTGTGTGTGTGGTCCTGTGATTCGGACTGTTTTAAAGGCTAAAGTCAGTTTTGGAGGCGGGTCTTTATTCCGGATTTTATTGGCTTTGTTAATTTTGACTTTTGACCGGTTCTATGTTGAAGTAATTGGGTATTACAAAGCCTCTTATTTAGATTTTGTTCATTTAGTTTTAAATAATTTAAAATTACGTATAATTAAATTTTTATTATATCCAAGCCATATGATATATGAATTATATTTAGTCAAGTTCATATCAATATAACAATTTTTTTCGTTTACTTCTGGAATTTTGTGACAATTTCAGGTTAAATTTGCGATTTATGCCCCACAAGTGACGATAGATTCATGAATTATATACATCAAGAAGTTTTTTTTTTTTTTTTGAGCAGAATACATCCAGAAGTTTAAGAGACGCCTGCAATAACACAACTAATAAGAGAGAAACATTAAAATTAAGGATGCAAATGTGAAACAAGTGAGGGGGATCAAAGTGTACAATGCCCAATTCTTACCATATAAACACCATTTAACTCCCAAAAAAACAAAATAACCATATAAACGCCCACACTCAATGAAATGCATTGATGAACACTGGTTCCCCAGAGGAAGGGAATACATCAAGTCTGCACACCCCTGAATCCAAACACCAGCATCTGTAGTTTGATCTGGATATCTCAAAAAGCTCATCTGGACCCATCTTCTCAAGATCTTTGGATGACCAATAGTCAATGCTATTGGTATGTTGGGCAGCCATGGATGCTCCAATCTCCCCCACCTGGTGATCTTGGGCACACATTCTCTTGTACAACCTCATTACGGAGACACAATCTTCATAGGGATCATGCACCCCTAACTGGATATCATACCTGTAAAGCCAAAGCCCTCATGTCAAAAAAGTTTGGAAAATTTACAAAAGCAGCTACTTCAGCAAACGTTTAATAGCTTTGATGCGTAGCTGCCTACTTGGCTTGGCTCCTTGTATATAGCTCGTCCGTAAAATGGTTGCATCCCTTTCCGTTGGTGCCTTTAAAAAAATTTACATATCACAATAAGGAATTGCTTCCGTGTGTGATGGGTGATAGGGCACCTAGGGACTTGATAGTGGATTAATGATGACAATATAAATAGGGTTATTGAAAAAAAAAATCATGCCCTTCAATTGGAAGTATGATTTTTTTTCTCCTAGAGCTTACAAGGGTATTTGCACCTCCTTGAAAACAGGACAAATCCCCTAGGGTACATGGCCCAAGCCATAAGAACCATGCTCTAGGCAATCCCAGATCAAAGTCCACAGGGATAGGCCCCAAGAGATTGACAAGCTTCAACTATGTAACCTCCCTTTGAGGTGGAACACATGTCATTGGACCAACCTTTTGGGGTTAATCTTAGAATCATATTGGAAGTGTGATTTTGCTCCAGTGGAAGGAGTGAAGCAAATACCCATAATGCTTCAATTCTAAAAAGTTTTAATACAACCTAGCACAAAAATTGACACACACCTAGGTTCAACCCCCTTTTGACGCCTTTGACCAGGTCAATCAGATGATCACTTCCAGTTGTTTCTACTTAGAGTTGGGAGAGGAAGCTTACAAGAAAGTAGACAAGTGGTTTGAAATTTAGCATTCTATTTTGAGTCATAATTAAAATGACATGACCAAAATAACAAAACGAAGAAAAAAAACNTCAAATTCGACGAGAGCTGAATCGCCCACATCAACGGATCAGAACCCCTATCCTGAGCCGACTTTGTGAGTTCGATCACTCCGTCCCACGTACTCGGGTGTACGGTCACCGCCATGCTTGTCCGCTACTAATCTCTTTTAGGGCAGATCTATTAAGCCCTCGTAGAGGTGCATGTGATTTTGGAGGAGAGAAAGAGAAGGAAGAAGGTCGGTTCCGTATGCGTGTGTGTGTGGTCCTGTGATTCGGACTGTTTTAAAGGCTAAAGTCAGTTTTGGAGGCGGGTCTTTATTCCGGATTTTATTGGCTTTGTTAATTTTGACTTTTGACCGGTTCTATGTTGAAGTAATTGGGTATTACAAAGCCTCTTATTTAGATTTTGTTCATTTAGTTTTAAATAATTTAAAATTACGTATAATTAAATTTTTATTATATCCAAGCCATATGATATATGAATTATATTTAGTCAAGTTCATATCAATATAACAATTTTTTTCGTTTACTTCTGGAATTTTGTGACAATTTCAGGTTAAATTTGCGATTTATGCCCCACAAGTGACGATAGATTCATGAATTATATACATCAAGAAGTTTTTTTTTTTTTTTTTGAGCAGAATACATCCAGAAGTTTAAGAGACGCCTGCAATAACACAACTAATAAGAGAGAAACATTAAAATTAAGGATGCAAATGTGAAACAAGTGAGGGGGATCAAAGTGTACAATGCCCAATTCTTACCATATAAACACCATTTAACTCCCAAAAATACAAAATAACCATATAAACGCCCACACTCAATGAAATGCATTGATGAACACTGGTTCCCCAGAGGAAGGGAATACATCAAGTCTGCACACCCCTGAATCCAAACACCAGCATCTGTAGTTTGATCTGGATATCTCAAAAAGCTCATCTGGACCCATCTTCTCAAGATCTTTGGATGACCAATAGTCAATGCTATTGGTATGTTGGGCAGCCATGGATGCTCCAATCTCCCCCACCTGGTGATCTTGGGCACACATTCTCTTGTACAACCTCATTACGGAGACACAATCTTCATAGGGATCATGCACCCCTAACTGGATATCATACCTGTAAAGCCAAAGCCCTCATGTCAAAAAAGTTTGGAAATTTTACAAAAGCAGCTACTTCAGCAAACGTTTAATAGCTTTGATGCGTAGCTGCCTACTTGGCTTGGCTCCTTGTATATAGCTCGTACGTAAAATGGTTGCATCCCTTTCCGTTGGTGCCTTTAAAAAAATTTACATATCACAATAAGGAATTGCTTCCGTGTGTGATGGGTGATAGGGCACCTAGGGACTTGATAGTGGATTAATGATGACAATATAAATAGGGTTATTGAAAAAAAAAATCATGCCCTTCAATTGGAAGTATGATTTTTTTTCTCCTAGAGCTTACAAGGGTATTTGCACCTCCTTGAAAACAGGACAAATCCCCTAGGGTACATGGCCCAAGCCATAAGAACCATGCTCTAGGCAATCCCAGATCAAAGTCCACAGGGATAGGCCCCAAGAGATTGACAAGCTTCAACTATGTAACCTCCCTTTGAGGTGGAACACATGTCATTGGACCAACCTTTTGGGGTTAATCTTAGAATCATATTGGAAGTGTGATTTTGCTCCACTGGAAGGAGTGAAGCAAATACCCATAATGCTTCAATTCTAAAAAGTTTTAATACAACCTAGCACAAAAATTGACACACACCTAGGTTCAACCCCCTTTTGACGCTTTTGACCAGGTCAATCAGATGATCACTTCCAGTTGTTTCTACTTAGAGTTGGAAGAGGAAGCTTACAAGAAAGTAGACAAGTTGTTTGAAATTTAGCATTCTATTTTGAGTCATAATTAAAATGACATGACCAAAATAACAAAACGAAGAAAAAAAATATGAAGAATGAATTGTCTAAAGAACAAGCAATTAACAACCAAAACGTAGGGTAACTTGCCCTAGATATGTGCGGGTCAGGTACTTGAGCGAGTGGCTGACCATATTTGTTTTCATTAACGGACGGTACTTTGCAGTATCCCTACACAGAGAAGTAATTGTAAGGAACACAGAAATATTTCATGCAACAAAAAAACTATTCAAAGATTTAACAAGCTAATTTATTAATTGCCTTCAGCTCTGCCACCATCAAAACCAAAATGCGTTCAACTCGGCTAGCTCTATAATGGTGAAGTAAGAATTGATGTCTCAAAAAAGTGACATTAAAGTCATTCACTGAAAAACAAAATGACAACTTCGGTAAAAATAGCTTTAGCTATAGNTGCCTTCAGCTCTGCCACCATCAAAACCAAAATGCGTTCAACTCGGCTAGCTCTATATTGGTGAAGTAAGAATTGATGTCTCAAAAAAGTGACATTAAAGTCATTCACTGAAAAACAAAATGACAACTTCGGTAAGAATAGCTTTAGCTATAGTTTTTTTTTTTTAACGGGCAAAACTATAGTTCAAATTGCAAGAAGGGGGATGGAGAAAAAGAAATAGAGAACAGAATTTTTCTCGCCAGATATTTATTATTGTTTGAAATCTAGCATGACTCATTTACCTATTGTGGTCTGTCTCGGATGCAAGAACAACTTTGTTTTNGGAGAAAAAGAAATAGAGAACAGAATTTTTCTCGCCAGATATTTATTATTGTTTGAACTCTAGCTTGACTCATTTACCTATTGTGGTCTGTCTCGGATGCAAGAACAACTTTGTTTTCCACACTATGATTCATCTCTACCTTTGTCAACAGAAAGGCACATCCAAGTCCCACAATAAACATACTAAAAAACCGAGAAAACAGATAATCCTTCATATTGTTTCTAATAACGTCTGGATGCACAAAATATCCAAGATGATTGAAGAAGCCATAAATATAATATAACATACATAAGACACACTATTAATGCAATGGAAATAAGATAAGTTAATTTGGAATGCCTTCAAAAACAGAATGAAAATAATTTCATTTCATGGGAATCTAACCAACCTCTGTAGAAGGTACCACCGCTTCATAATTTCTTAAGATGAATTGTGCCTAGAACTGTGCTGAGTTGAACATTTTCAAATGGGTAGGCCTAGTTAATAATAGATACAAAAGCTAATGTTTTATTTAATCTTTCGAATATAACCACCCATCCATTTCATCATAAACCTTTCTGAATGAAATGTAACTTCATGACAATGGGTTTTCAAATTTCCAGCACACACAAGGAGCTTACCTCAGCAAATGATCAGGATAATTCATTCTCAAGCAATCCAAGTCATGCTCCAGGTTATGGCCCACAAGAAGTCTAGCTTTTCCCCCATCCAACCGTAGTCTCCCGATGCATTCTCCATTGTACAAAAATTGCAAAACTTTGTCTCGCACTTCCTTGAGTGGCATAGCATCTCTCAAATGCTCCTCTGTTATCCCAGTGACTTCATACCTGAAACAAAAATCATGAATAAAGGCACATGACTAGTTGACTCATTCCCAGTAGCATTATAGGAAATTCAAGGACAAATGGAGAGTATATGGAACACGGATACCTATAATTGGTGACAGGTATTTGAGGTAGCACATAAGTGTGGAAAATCAGCTTCTCGTCTTCATCAATAAGGCATACCCGTGCGCAGAGATCAAGAGATCCATCACTTCCACCACCAACCATTTCACAATCTATTGCAATTGCCTCAGTACCTGCACCGTGATTTCCATTGTTTACAACCGAAATATCAATTTCCGCCTCTGTACAAGGCATCTTCTCTGTTCCCTGCAACAGTTCAATACAAAAATCTAATTTAGCCTTTCATCAAGAATGGTTATAAGCATATCAATATAAACCTCTCAATTTGAAAAATATGGTGCTTGAAAGATTTCCGTCATCAACTTACTAGGGGAGCAGGGACAGGTAGGCGACAAATCTCCTTGTGTTCCCTAAGAGAAGTAGGGCTGTCAAAAATTTCCAAACAAAGTTTGCAACCTCGTTCAGCTAAGATCCTCGAACAGTTTGCTCTGGACAATGGACCTAAATGTTTCAAAAAGACAAATATGAGAAAGAACCAATATAATTTAGTTTATGTGGACAAACTCATTGTCCGCACGCAATGGCTCACCGGCAATATGCTCTCTTAATGACTCCAATGACTTGCAGTGCTTTTGACACACCCCACATTTAGGCTCATGAACAGAGTGGTAAGAGGTCTTCATGTGTTCAATTAGATGCTCCCTCTTGTTATACTGTTTGAAACATGCTGCGCATTTGTGTCTGAAAACAGACAAAAATATGAAGTATGCCTCAAATATTTCAACCAAAGACCAAAAAAAAAAAAAAGCAAACAATATAGATTGGCATCAAGTACAAACTTGCAGCAATAAACTATAGAAAAAAGATATGGACCATGAAGCCATATATCATTGTGGCAGCTTGATTTGATCACTAATAAAGCAAGCATTCACAAACACGTTTATCTTTAAGCTTCGAGTTGTTCTACTTATCAACGATGTCAATCATAGAGCTACGCAATGACAAACCAAAGGGTGACGAAAAATAATACAAAAAAAGAAAAAGCTAGACATAAGTATCTCAATTTGTGAAGCTTAGCTACAAGAACGAACAGAAGAGATAAAAATACGATGGTTAAACTGAACATAGAACCTCCTATATACTTAAAACCAATAGCAATTACTTTACCCCGGGGGTGTAAAATAAAGACAGGCCTGAGGTCAAAAACTTTCACTCTATCCATATATTTTCTCTGCACGCAAAACACATTCATCGACAACTGATAATCGACTATTTTCGTACATTTTCTCAGCAAATTAAACAGATCACTGAGGTCATATACTTCGAGTCTCTTTGGGCAAAGAAAACCTTGATTTCGTATCATTCCGTACATGTTCTCTGCAAACAAACACATTCATCGAGCGTACATTTTCTCAGCAATTAAACAGATTCCTCAGCAAGAATGTAAATACCATAATATACGTCATGAAATACACGGAGAGAGAGAGAGAGGGGTGACCTTGTCGTTAGGGTTTTAGGAAGTTCTGCTTCGGACTCCATCCTGTAATGGGGCTGAAAATGGCAGGAAAAACAACCAAAGAATAGCGATGGCGATACGTAGATGTGTGTGTGTGCGCGCTAAATTGCTAATCGATGGAATTGATTACGAATGGTGAGTAGCGGGTTTTGGGTTTTGGAGCGAGGCCCTAGACATTCCTCTGCAGATGACACTGGTGAACACTGAAACCCCTTTCCACGGCGCGTGGCATACCCGATTTCCACGGGCTCGAGAAAAATACATACAATGTGTCATCATACTTAAATTTATGATATGGTGCTAAGAAAAAAAATTGCTGCAGCCGATTCCTCCACTGCTCTCCAACTTGGGCTTGACCCCAAAGATTCGAATCGATTTAAAGTATCATGTTGATGCAAGATGGAGTAAGAATCTTTAAAAAGGTATGAAAAATAATGAAGTTAAAATCTCTTAATTGCAAAAAGTCAAATGGTAATTAGAACTAAATTGGATAAGTTATATACATTTCCTTTTACGACTATCCACTAGAAATTAAATTGGGTAGATTCAATGGTATACGTAAAAAATATTCCCTAAAAAATATGATGTAAAATTTCTATGTTCGTGCTATTTATTATATTTATACATATATAGTGGAAGTGAAAATTCGTATTTTAATTTGGGAATGCAAAAAATATAAAAAGATAGAAAGAATCTAAAAGTTAATAATAATGGTGCTCTAGTTTCAACATAAAAGTTTCAAATGCAAGGAAAACTAGGAGAAAAAAAAAAACTACAGTACTTCAAACAATTTAGGAAAAATTAACATAAATCCACATAGAAGCAAGCCAATACTATACTCCTGTAGCTCATATTATAGTGCAACCTCTAGTGCTCTCATCACTGGAAAAATGGCCAAAGTTGTCAAGTCCTGGCACATGCCTTCTCTGATTAAAACCATATCCTGGTGGTGGCATCCTTGGCTGATAATGATCATACTGCTGCAGTTCCTCTCTGTACAATCCCGGGTATCGCGAGCTTCTTGGGTGATACCAACCACCATGCCCGTTCATGTTATTATGTGGATGACGCCAAAACATTCCGGCAGTGTCCCCTGGAGGCTCATGACGGTCGCAGATGATATGCTTTCTGCTGTGTAGTCTGCAATAAGGGTCTCTGCAGATATGATCATCAAACTGTTTCTCTCTCTGAGGAGGTACATAATCTTCAACCTTATGACCAACAAAATCATTCTCATGACAACAACCATCTTCATCTCTACCCTTGTCACCAACGTTAGAATTTTTCCTGTGACAAGATTTATCGTTATCAGAACATTTTCCTCGGCCATTCACAACGTTGTTTGCGTCATTCATGGGGGCTTTGTCATAGGGTACAAGTTGTGCCCTTTTCCCCATTTTCGAAATCTTATTAATGAGCATATTAGGGTCTATTTTGCCTGTAACAGAGACCAACCTCTTCTCTGCATCTACAGAAACCGAATGCACTCCTAGCACATGAATAAATTAGAGTAAAAAATTAAACAATGGAACTTGTAAATAGATGGATGTGAAATTAAAAAATAACAATATAATGAATAATTAATAGCAAATTAAACCGTGCAAAGGGAAAGAGTACCATCAATTTTCAATAACCCTTTCTTCAATTTCCCGCGACATGCCTTGCAGCAATTGATATTCACTTTCAAAACACAAGTCTGCAGGAATTCATTCTAAAAATATGTTAAAACCGTCAATGAAAAATATAGAGATAAATAAGAAAATTAAACCAATATAGAGGCAATAGTTTGAGTGATTTCGTACAAACAATCAGGAGTCTAAAAGATGCGTAATTAAGAAGGTTCTTGATTATCAAAAAAAAAAAAATATGAACAAAATGAATACTTTTACCTGATCTAATCTATGATCATCCATAAAAAATGGCTTCATTACAAGCAAGCTAATAACGATTGATCTTGTACTTCAACCTGCTAAAGAGTTAGCTAAGAATGTGAACTTAGGAGAGAGAGAGAGGTGTAATGAAAGTGTGAAAATTTCGAGAAAGATTGAAATGCGTCGTATTTGTAATCGAGATTCACAATTGTTAAGTATAGNCGAATCGATTTAAAGTATCATGTTGATGCAAGATGGAGTAAGAATCTTTAAAAAGGTCTGAAAAATAATGAAGTTAAAATCTCTTAATCGCAAAAAGTCAAATGGTAATTAGAACTAAATTGGATAAGTTATATACATTTCTTTTTACGACTATCCACTAGAAATTACATTGGATAGAATCAATGGTATACGTAAAAAAAATATTCACTAAAAAATATGATGTAAAATTTCTATGTTCGTGCTACTTATTATATTTATACATATATAGTGGAAGTGAAAATTCGTATTTTAATTTGGGAATGCAGAAAATATNAGGAATGAGTTTAGGATTAATTTAATTAATCGAAAGAGATTTAGATTTGCATTAAAACGGACCATTAAAATTGGAAGCAACCCCGAAACATGGAATGGAACGTCTATTACGAAAATATTTTTGGCAAGTTTCAAATGGTCAACTGGAAAAAATATCAATCAATTAGTAGGATATTCCAACTACTTTAGTTGCATGTAAATCATTTCCTCGCAGGGAGAGATTTGAGAGAGAAATTCTAGGACGGGAAGGAATTAAGGAAGTTTGAGAATATTATTAAATTTGATTACTTTCTCTATTGTAAAAGCAACCAAGCAAATTGATTCACATTTTTTGATGATGTAGTATATCTATCACTGATTTAAGTAAGATTTCTTGTATATTAATCGAGATACGTANAAATTTGATTACTTTCTCTATTGTAAAAGCAACCAAGCAAATTGATTCACATTTTTTTGATGATGTAGTATATCTATCATTGATTTAAGTAAGTTTTCTTGTATATTAGTCGAGATACGTACAATTAGTTCGAACACCGTTAGACCATTGAGCATATTTGTGTGTCTGCCACCAAGAGAAGGTGGATGATTCATGGACAATCGGGTTACATAGTTGGGTCACAACAAGTCTGTGTCATATCATTTGAGATCAGAACTGGCAAACACACAGATTCTACGGTTTGTTAAAACAGTAATGTTACACTGACCAAATTTCTATCTCATCGTCCTGGTGGTGTTGCAATTGTGATTAACCTCTGCAGAAATGAGATGAGACCTAAAATGGAAAAACTATAGCAGCCATCAGACAGCATGACTGTCACGTGCCCTTAATGCTGGTAAACTGAACAATTTACTTGAATTCTATGAAAACAAAGATTAGAAATCATCACTTGCTGCATGCAATACTCTCATGAAACATTTTCCTTTTCTAAGTAACGTAGAGCCTGAAATTTCTAAATGAAAATACCTCCTAGTAGTACACACTTCAATTAATACCTGGTTGAAATTTTGAGCCACAGGCCATTTAGAAAGAAGTGTTACATCCAAAAATTGAGTTGGGATGTTCATAAATTACATTGATTCAAGGCCACAAGATTTTAGCCACCCCGAGCTTCTCTCCTCGTGGCATCATGAAGCAATTCGATGTCAACTCCATCTGGAGGTAGCTGGACGTATCGCACTACAGATCCTCTAATGAAACAATTCCTCACCGAAAGCTGCCACGTACAAGAAATTAATACATACACCCAACATACTTCACAAATCAAGGAAAATGCAGAAAAACGAGAACATCAAAGAGAAAGAGAGGTGACATGCTAATAAACACCCACATCAAGCTCCAAAGAGGAACCACGAGCAAAAATGGCTAGTTGGGTCAAGCAATCAACCGCTGAATCAAATGAATTGCCATGCCAAACATGTACATGCACAAAAGCAGGAAACAAAACCCTCACTCTGATATTCCATGGCCAAATCCACATTCTGTGTGGATGTGCTTGCAGTGTGTGCCAATATGCGTCAGCTTTCATTGAACTCATAGTAGTGTTTCACCTTGTTCTTATTGAAATAAAGTTGTAAGCTTACTGGGAATAGAAATTTAATGACATTTTTTAATCAAGAATCTTTTCACTGATCTCTTTCTGATTCACATGCACATATTTAAGCTCCCCATAAAAGCACTACACAATAAATGGGGAAAATAACAGCAAAAAAATTTCCAAAATAAAAATGAATTTCCGTTTAAAATTTGTGTGAGCAATGACATGACGTGCACAATAAGACACTGTATTGATACTTCCTTAAAGGCTTAAACCAATAAATGGGGATTGATAAGAAAAAATCCCAGCCTATCACATCAGCCAAAAAGGAAGGTTTCTTATGCAGTTGGGGTATGATGGGTGGGGGACGGGTTCTTTTGTTTTTCCTTTTCCCATTTAGTTTTGTTTATTTACTTTTAGTGGGTTGGGGAATGAAGGAACTGCCAAACTCCTAAGCATTTGCATAGAAATTAAATAAAAATGACTTGAGCAACCAATTAATCTTCAATGACGACCAGTCATTCCCCTTATAAGACCACAGATATGGGCTATTCTATGAGATGTGTGTGTGTGTGAGAGAGAGAGAGAGAGAGAAAGACCAAGGGGCAAAAGCTGAACATATCATACTGCAAAACAATTTAATAAATCACCGAAGATATGAAAACCCAGTTTCCCATCAAAGCAACTACCAGCATTCCATAATAATTGTATTCAACAGTTGATATTAGTTTTGACAAGCAAATCATGAATCAATGATGTGCACACCACTTTTGGAACAGCAAATAATTCTAGATCCCCAAAGGAAAGAAAATAGGAAAAATCTAAGCTGTTTTGACAATGCTATCAACACAAACACCTTGTGTTATATTCATTATATGTATTAATCCCTTTTTTTTTTTAATTTTTTTTTTTGGGGGAGGGGGAGGGGGGAAGGGGGACTATGTGCATTAATCCCTCAACCTCATGCTATACGCTTAAAATTTCAGAACTAAAAATGACCTCTGAACCTTGACTCACACCGTATGTACCACACATCTCTTCCCATGGCGCAGAAAAAACCGCACATCTCATCTATCAATTGTAACACAAACACAGACACACCACTAAAGCCTTCAGAAGCCTTGACAAACCTCAATCCTAGAATCTCAAAATCACAATTCTAAGTAACCATGTCATCCTAATTCCTAACAATACTTCTGTCATAAGCAAATCGAACGTTCATCAATATTCAGCTAAAATACAGTTCAAAACCTTTTTTTTAAAAAAAGGCGCCGATAAACCCTAAACCCTACATTTAACATTGCATAACCAATTTCTAAACTTCAATTTATGTCCGTACCTGCAACACTCAACAAATTAACATAAAATTCCCTTTAAAATCAAACATACTCTAATCCTTTAAGTTGCAAGCAAAAGTACTAGTCTAAACCAACCATGTTTGACCATCAAATCAATGAACCAAACAATCTTTATAATTCAATCTCCAAAAGGTAATAGAAACTAGAAAAAATCAGGTAACAAAGCCCTAAAGAAACTTGAGAGAAACATTCAGAAATACCATATGAGGGTAATTATCCTGATCGACAACCCTAGTGTTCTCGAGCTTGATGTTGAGGTACTGATCAACGGAATGCAAGGTGCCCCGAATGGCCAAATCGTTCTTCAGTTCCACGGTTACTTCTCTGCCGACCAAGTCCTTGAAATATGAGAAGAACAACTGCAAATCAAACAAAACATAGATAATTATCAAGGGCAAAGAGAAAGATTTTGGAAAAATCATTACCCAATTTGAAGGAATCGTAGAGAAGTTGGAAGAAAACACAAGCATAAGTTCAAAGTACAATCTGAGGAATCAGACACCAAAAAGTTTGAAAAAAAAATTAAAAAGAAAACACGAGAAAGGATTCAAGATAAGGGTAGACAACATTCACAGAATGGGTAGAGAAAAACAATTACCATTTTATTTTTCTGGAGATATCTACTGTCCTTCTCTTCCTTGGTCTAACAATGACTCGCTTTAGGGCTAATCCGATGTAAAGCAATTGTGTATGTACGTACCGTACGAGGTCGGAATATATATCACTTAGGCACATGTTTTTACCAAACTGTCCCCAGCACTCTCTCAAATTACGCGTGCAACTCGGATGGGTTATAGAGTCAACCTAGGTATATCATTTTCAACGTTAATTCTACCCTAACGTTATTTCGGGTTGATAAAATCAACTCAAGCACTGTCCAAGTTTAATTCGGGCGAGCTCGCGTTAAACTCGAGTTAATAATTTTAGACTAATTTTGGGTTATTTTACGGACTGATTTCAGATTAATATTCTAAACCTAATACATATATTATATAATATTCAAATAATTTAACAACCAATAACTTCAAATATAATACAAATATATTACCACCCTCTGGTGGCGAAAATGCCCAAATCAAAGGATATCACCAGCTCCAACGGTAGCTTAAATTCATAACATGGATGAATTATAAACTTNCCCTAAAGAAACTTGAGAGAAACATTCAGAAATACCATATGAGGGTAATTATCCTGATCGACAACCCTAGTGTTCTCGAGCTTGATGTTGAGGTACTGATCAACGGAATGCAAGGTGCCCCGAATGGCCAAATCGTTCTTCAGTTCCACGGTTACTTCTCTGCCGACCAAGTCCTTGAAATATGAGAAGAACAACTGCAAATCAAACAAAACATAGATAATTATCAAGGGCAAAGAGAAAGATTTTGGAAAAATCATTACCCAATTTGAAGGAATCGTAGAGAAGTTGGAAGAAAACACAAGCATAAGTTCAAAGTACAATCTGAGGAATCAGACACCAAAAAGTTTGAAAAAAAAATTAAAAAGAAAACACGAGAAAGGATTCAAGATAAGGGTAGACAACATTCACAGAATGGGTAGAGAAAAACAATTACCATTTTATTTTTCTGGAGATATCTACTGTCCTTCTCTTCCTTGGTCTAACAATGACTCGCTTTAGGGCTAATCCGATGTAAAGCAATTGTGTATGTACGTACCGTACGAGGTCGGAATATATATCACTTAGGCACATGTTTTTACCAAACTGTCCCCAGCACTCTCTCAAATTAAGCGTGCAACTCGGACGGGTTATAGAGTCATCCTGGGTATATCATTTTCAACGTTAACTCTACCCTATCGTTATTTCGGGTTGATAAAATCAACTCAAGCACTGTCCAAGTTTAATTCGGGCGAGCTCGCATTAAATTCGAGTTAATAATTTCAGACTAATTTTGAGTTATTTTACGGACTATTTTCAGGTTAACGTTCTAAACCTAATATATATATTATATAATATTCAAATAATTTAACAATCAATAACTTCAAATATAATACAAATATATTACCACCCTCCGGTGGCGAAAATGCCCAAATCAAAGGATATCACCAGCTCCAACGGTAGCTTAAATTCATAACATAGATGAATTATAAACTCTTTGAGTTGAATTTTGATAATTTTTTTTAGACTATATCACGAGGAATTTAGTCCTTTTGTGAATAATTTACTTTTGACTGAATCAGATAAAAAAATTGATGTACATATAAACTGACTCAAATACCCTTTCCAATAAACCAAGTAACACTCCTTACAACAAACCGAAAAAAAAATATGTTTGGGAGAGTCAAGTTATATTTTTCGTAAAAAGATCATAATATTTTATTGTTGATTATAAAATATTATAATTAAACATGAATAATTTTAAGTAGATATAATTTCATCTTTAAAAATTAAATTTTTGATTGATCGTAATTTTTTGAATTATAATTTACCATATCATGTAACAAGTTTAGGTCGTGACGAATATCAACCAAATGTAATTAGGCTAAAAAATCAATCCAATTAAAGATTGAAAATTGGAGGAGAAGAGTCTCTCCCACTCAACTTTATGTTAGTTTTTCAAGTATAAGAAGCAATTAAAAAATAATTAAAAACTGGATTGAATTATTTATAGGAAATCTTAAATATATTTTCCAAAGAGTAACCCTTCTAGATCCTTCGAACCTCAAATGCAATATCATTTTTTGGTTCAATGGCCAAAAATGTCTCGTCAACTTACGCAAGCCAACTTATGCGCATTTCAACTAATCTCTTCTCAAATACAATCAAAAACATACCATCTACGCTGAAGTGATGGATAAATACTTTATAACCTAGCCACGTTGTTAAGATTCAAAGTCAAGACGTCCAAGTTTACAACTTATCTTTGTTACTACTTAAACTATCCATTGGAGAGAGAAGTAACACAATATGACAACAAAAACCCTGAGGGCGAGCAGTAATATGTAACAATGTTAAGGTTAGTTGGTTAACAAAAGGTATCAAAGTCCACGAATCAGATTAACAATACATGCATGCATTGCTAATTCAAATCAAAGCAAAGAACACCAAATAGAAGCATTAACACGAGAACAAGCAGAGACACCAATTGAACCACTAAATTTACAACTGTCAGACTAGAAAGCTGAGAAATTGAAAAATGTTCCTACACCTAGAAAAGCTTACAGATAGTTTTCATCTGCTCGGATAGAAAGAGAATGTGTGATGAGCAATGTTTACTATAGTCTTTGCTTCACCCTCCTACCATTAACATCAGTTCCATCCAGAAATATTTCGTTCCCATACTTGGTGACAATGACCGAGTGCTCGTTGATCCTAGCCACATACTCCAAGAGTTCAGTCAAAACAGAAGGGCAACTTTCTTTCAAGTACTCAAAACCATCTGTCTGCATCACAGCTGGGAAAATAAAAGATATGGAACAAGCATCAGCTGATTATTCATACAAAATTTTGAGACATGCGAAAGCAAACAGCAACATCAGCTCATCATCACATTCAATTTTGGCCATAAACCATCAATTTTGAATAGGACCAAGGGTGCTAATTGCAAGCTCCTTGTGTTTACAACTCCTTAAACATTTTCTTCCTGATGAGGAATTGTATTAGCAGAAAAATTGGATGTAGAAAAACTTTTTTAAAAAATATCAAAGGCTCTAAACCCACTGAGAATTTTGAAATCTGCCTGTTCGCCCTTCTTCGGACATGTAAAAGGAAGGGCAGTTGATGAGACTATGATGTGGTGAACCATATCTGAAATACTAAAACCACTCCCCTGAGATAGAGTCTCTATTTTACATGTCCTTTAGAAACTTGGGAGAAGAAGGGGGAACATCTCCAAAAGCAGGTATTAGAAGTAATATAAGTGGTAAGTTAAAGGATTATAAGCACAGAAGAATGCAGATCATGAGTAGACAGCACCAACCACAATACCGTCCGGACAGGTCACTCCAAGATAACAAATTCACAAACCCACTCAAGGACACGGTACAAATTTTGAACCATGCAGTCAGACAAAATTCCAGATGAATACCCCCAAGAAATTGGTCACCAGCCACTCCTATTAATTGAAATGATTCTTGCCATAGATAAACAATTACTTATGTTGCTACTACTACTACTACAACTACTGACATTAAACTAGAAAATTGAGGTAAGGCCGCACCCTGAAAATCCTCTCAGGGGTGGCTCACGGTAATTTGAAGCCTAAAGCGGAAACACGAAATGAGGCTTTTTAAAAAATTAATTGACGTTAAATATGTTGTGTCACAGAGACGGAAGAAAGATGCGGTAGTAGAGATTTTAACCTTTTTTTTTTGTCTTTTATCTGAGAGAGAATTTTGATTTCAACTTTTGTTTCTGTTTTTTAATTTTTTTTACCAGATAGATNACCAAGGGTGCTAATTGCAAGCTCCTTGTGTTTACAACTCCTTAAACATTTTCTTCCTGATGAGGAATTGTATTAGCAGAAAAATTGGATGTAGAAAAACTTTTTTAAAAAATATCAAAGGCTCTAAACCCACTGAGAATTTTGAAATCTGCCTGTTCGCCCTTCTTCGGACATGCAAAAGGAAGGGCAGTTGATGAGACTATGATGTGGTGAACCATATCTGAAATACTAAAACCACTCCCCTGAGATAGAGTCTCTATTTTACATGTCCTTTAGAAACTTGGGAGAAGAAGGGGGAACATCTCCAAAAGCAGGTATTAGAAGTAATATAAGTGGTAAGTTAAAGGATTATAAGCACAGAAGAATGCAGATCATGAGTAGACAGCACCAACCACAACACCGTCCGAACAGGTCACTCCAAGATAACAAATTCACAAACCCACTCAAGGACACAGTACAAATTTTGAACCATGCAGTCAGACAAAATTCCAGATGAATACCCCCAAGAAATTGGTCACCAGCCACTCCTGTTAATTGAAATGATTCTTGCCATAGATAAACAATTACTTATGTTGCTACTACTACTACTACAACTACTGCCATTAAACTAGAAAATTGAGGTAAGGCCGCACCCTGAAAATCCTCTCAGGGGTGGCTCAAGGTAATTTGAAGCCTAAAGCGGAAACACGAAATGAGGCTTTTTAAAAAATTAATTGAATTAAATATGTTGTGTCACAGAGACGGAAGAAAGATGCGGTAGTAGAGATTTTAACCTTTTTTTTGTCTTTTATCTGAGAGAGAATTTTGATTTCAACTTTTGTTTCTGTTTTTTAATTTTTTTTACCAGATAGAGAGAGAGAGAGAGGAGTGGAGTAAATATAAGTTGACTTTTAAGTACCTTTTTATTTTTTAACTTCTGATTTTTAAAATTTTAATGTTATGAATTGAATCATGGACCCAAATATTACAATAAAAATTTCAATTGGATTTAATTTTTTGGAGCTTTTTTATGACTTAAAATTTAATGGATTTAAATTTCTTTGGTGGGCTAATAATGTATCTAAAATTATGGACCTTTTAAAAATTTGGGGCCTAAAGCTTGGGCTTTATTTTTTAAGTTGTTGGGCTGGCCCTGAATCCCCTAAAAGCAGCTTCTTAAGAAAAAAGCAAAATATTCCTTGTCAAATAGCAAAAATCAATAAAATAAGATTCCAATCGGTTGAACAAAAATTACCTCTCAGATTTTCAGGCATTGCAATAAATTCAAGGCATATTGATTTCAGCTGCAAACAGTGGTGCTGCTCAGCAAGGGCTAATGTCGTTGCAACAGTGTTGATGGCAACATCCACACAGAGATTAGCCTCACAGAGCAATCTGAGCCTATCTAAACCATAGCGATCAGCAGCTGCAAGCATATGCTGAGACATCAAAGTAGAGGCCCACTGTGAGTCCAAACCAGTNTTTTTTTTGTCTTTTATCTGAGAGAGAATTTTGATTTCAACTTTTGTTTCTGTTTTTTAATTTTTTTTACCAGATAGATAGAGAGAGAGGAGTGGAGTAAATATAAGTTGACTTTTAAGTACCTTTTTATTTTTTAACTTCTGATTTTTAAAATTTTAATGTTATGAATTGAATCATGGACCCAAATATTACAATAAAAATTTCAATTGGATTTAATTTTTTGGAGCTTTTTTATGACTTAAAATTTAATGGATTTAAATTTCTTTGGTGGGCTAATAATGTATCTAAAATTATGGACCTTTTAAAAATTTGGGGCCTAAAGCTTGGGCTTTATTTTTTAAGTTGTTGGGCTGGCCCTGAATCCCCTAAAAGCAGCTTCTTAAGAAAAAAGCAAAATATTCCTTGTCAAATAGCAAAAATCAATAAAATAAGATTCCAATCGGTTGAACAAAAATTACCTCTCAGATTTTCAGGCATTGCAATAAATTCAAGGCATATTGATTTCAGCTGCAAACAGTGGTGCTGCTCAGCAAGGGCTAATGTCGTTGCAACAGTGTTGATGGCAACATCCACACAGAGATTAGCCTCACAGAGCAATCTGAGCCTATCTAAACCATAGCGATCAGCAGCTGCAAGCATATGCTGAGACATCAAAGTAGAGGCCCACTGTGAGTCCAAACCAGTAAGATCTTCCATGTCAGGCAGTGAATCCCAATATATAAAATGGAGCAAAGCCTGCAAAGCACAACAACAGGATGTAAGTCAATGCAGCACACATGTCAACTTTAAGCCAAATGCAGAGCAAGATCATCCTAATGAATATACAAAGAACAAAATCCTATGACATCTATTAATGAGCATGGGCTTCTAATGGAAGTGGATTTTGTTGAAATACATTTCAAAAAGTACCCTTCAGTACAACAAGTCTTCAAAACTCACAGTGTCTCCCAAAGAGAGATGGATTCCAACACAATGACAATCGCCAGAAAACATTTGCAATATGCTAGTGAGCTTACTATTGAATATCATTAAATTTTGTTGCCACACAGAACTGCCACAAAAGGCACATGAATAAGAAGGATGAATACAAAAACCTCACTGTTGTGTTTCTTGTGTTTACAAATATCTTGCTTCTATCACATTTCTCCAAATTGCACCTACACTATCAAAATCTCCAAAATGGGTAATCGAATAATCGCATAAACCTGAGCAATCACCATGCCAAGTTAAAAAGTCACTGACGCTAAAAAAACCATTAACTTACAATGGTTTGCCTAAGGGAATGTCACAACTAGCCTTTATTGCCTAAATCTTAACTTCAATTCACAACACAATTCATTAGGTAAAAATTTATACTTGTGCCTTTCGCCAAGGATCAAAATGTACGCGTCTTCGTAAATTTTGCATAAAGGTTTCCAGGTTCCAATTAATTTGTTATAGTAGGGAAGCTGACTTACACTGCTTGAATGATTTGAAAAAAATGGCTGATGCACCAGAATAGTTCACAGAAGTAACAACAAACTAATGTTAAAATGCAAATTTGCAACTATTTAAGTCAAATTTGCAGGACTTCTATAGAGTTTCTCTTAACTGGATAATGAAGATTGAACTTGGTGAGTTGTAAACTTGTAATCATCAAATGATTGCAAAAACTGCGAATTATTTCAGTAAATGCTTCATCAAATATAGGGAAATATAATTGCATTACATTTAGTAATGAACCTGCAACTGCAATTTATTAGACAATGGAAATACAATTTGAACAAATTTGCTATTTTCCCAGGGTTTTGAAGTTTTATAATCAAATTCTTTTGCTTACAGCTCTTGTCATTGAAGTTACACTGGTTATCCTTCACCTAACACAACCCTCCTCCTTTAGTTGGGCTCATGACCAACTGTGTAACAAACAACACATTTTGGAAATTGATTGTAATTAGCTAATTTCGTGAAGTCTTGTTATAAATCTCAACCTAAGTCCATGGTTGTGACACTTCAAAGATCAAATTCCAGAAACTTNATTGGAGGAGAAGAGTCTCTCCCACTCAACTTTATGTTAGTTTTTCAAGTATAAGAAACAATTAAAAAATAATTAAAAACTGGATTGAATTATTTATAGGGAATCTTAAATATATTTTCAAAAGAGTAACCCTTCTAGATCCTTCGAACCTCAAATGCAATATCATTTTTTGGTTCAATGGCCAAAGATGTCTCATCAACTTACGCAAGCCAACTTATGCGCATTTCAACTAATCTCTTCTCAAATACAATTAAAAACATACCATCTACGCTGAAGTGATGGATAAATACTTTATGACCTAGCAACGTTGTTAAGATTCAAAGTCAAGACGTTCAAGTTTACAACTTATCTTTGTTACTACTTATTGGAGAGAGCAGTAACATAAGCAATATGACAACAAAAACCCTGAGGGCGAGCAGTAATATGTAACATTGTTAAGGTTAGTTGGTTAACAAAAGGTATCAAAGTCCACGAATCAGATTAACAATACATGCATGCATTGCTAATTCAAATCAAAGCAAAGAACACCAAATAGAAGCATTAACACGAGAACAAGCAGAGACACCAATTGAACCACTAAATTTACAACTGTCAGACTAGAAAGCTGAGAAATTGAAAAATGTTCCTACACCTAGAAAAGCTTACAGATAGTTTTCATCTGCTCGGATAGAAAGAGAATGTGTGATGAGCAATGTTTACTATAGTCTTTGCTTCACCCTCCTACCATTAACATCAGTTCCATCCAGAAATATTTCGTTCCCATACTTGGTGACAATGACCGAGTGCTCGTTGATCCTAGCCACATACTCCAAGAGTTCAGTCAAAACAGAAGGGCAACTTTCTTTCAAGTACTCAAAACCATCTGTCTGCATCACAGCTGGGAAAATAAAAGATATGGAACAAGCATCAGCTGATTATTCATACAAAATTTTGAGACATGCGAAAGCAAACAGCAACATCAGCTCATCATCACATTCAATTTTGGCCATAAACCATCAATTTTGAATAGGACCAAGGGTGCTAATTGCAAGCTCCTTGTGTTTACAACTCCTTAAACATTTTCTTCCTGATGAGGAATTGTATTAGCAGAAAAATTGGATGTAGAAAAACTTTTTTAAAAAATATCAAAGGCTCTAAACCCACTGAGAATTTTGAAATCTGCCTGTTCGCCCTTCTTCGGACATGTAAGAGGAAGGGCAGTTGATGAGACTATGATGTGGTGAACCATATCTGAAATACTAAAACCACTCCCCTGAGATAGAGTCTCTATTTTACATGTCCTTTAGAAACTTGGGAGAAGAAGGGGGAACATCTCCAAAAGCAGGTATTAGAAGTAATATAAGTGGTAAGTTAAAGGATTATAAGCACAGAAGAATGCAGATCATGAGTAGACAGCACCAACCACAATACCGTCCGAACAGGTCACTCCAAGATAACAAATTCACAAACCCACTCAAGGACACGGTACAAATTTTGAACCATGCAGTCAGACAAAATTCCAGATGAATACCCCCAAGAAATTGGTCACCAGCCACTCCTATTAATTGAAATGATTCTTGCCATAGATAAACAATTACTTATGTTGCTACTACTACTACTACAACTACTGACATTAAACTAGAAAATTGAGGTAAGGCCGCACCCTGAAAATCCTCTCAGGGGTGGCTCACGGTAATTTGAAGCCTAAAGCGGAAACACGAAATGAGGCTTTTTAAAAAATTAATTGACGTTAAATATGTTGTGTCACAGAGACGGAAGAAAGATGCGGTAGTAGAGATTTTAACCTTTTTTTTTTGTCTTTTATCTGAGAGAGAATTTTGATTTCAACTTTTGTTTCTGTTTTTTAATTTTTTTTACCAGATAGATAGAGAGAGAGGAGTGGAGTAAATATAAGTTGACTTTTAAGTACCTTTTTATTTTTTAACTTCTGATTTTTAAAATTTTAATGTTATGAATTGAATCATGGACCCAAATATTACAATAAAAATTTCAATTGGATTTAATTTTTTGGAGCTTTTTTATGACTTAAAATTTAATGGATTTAAATTTCTTTGGTGGGCTAATAATGTATCTAAAATTATGGACCTTTTAAAAATTTGGGGCCTAAAGCTTGGGCTTTATTTTTTAAGTTGTTGGGCTGGCCCTGAATCCCCTAAAAGCAGCTTCTTAAGAAAAAAGCAAAATATTCCTTGTCAAATAGCAAAAATCAATAAAATAAGATTCCAATCGGTTGAACAAAAATTACCTCTCAGATTTTCAGGCATTGCAATAAATTCAAGGCATATTGATTTCAGCTGCAAACAGTGGTGCTGCTCAGCAAGGGCTAATGTCGTTGCAACAGTGTTGATGGCAACATCCACACAGAGATTAGCCTCACAGAGCAATCTGAGCCTATCTAAACCATAGCGATCAGCAGCTGCAAGCATATGCTGAGACATCAAAGTAGAGGCCCACTGTGAGTCCAAACCAGTAAGATCTTCCATGTCAGGCAGTGAATCCCAATATATAAAATGGAGCAAAGCCTGCAAAGCACAACAACAGGATGTAAGTCAATGCAGCACACATGTCAACTTTAAGCCAAATGCAGAGCAAGATCATCCTAATGAATATACAAAGAACAAAATCCTATGACATCTATTAATGAGCATGGGCTTCTAATGGAAGTGGATTTTGTTGAAATACATTTCAAAAAGTACCCTTCAGTACAACAAGTCTTCAAAACTCACAGTGTCTCCCAAAGAGAGATGGATTCCAACACAATGACAATCGCCAGAAAACATTTGCAATATGCTAGTGAGCTTACTATTGAATATCATTAAATTTTGTTGCCACACAGAACTGCCACAAAAGGCACATGAATAAGAAGGATGAATACAAAAACCTCACTGTTGTGTTTCTTGTGTTTACAAATATCTTGCTTCTATCACATTTCTCCAAATTGCACCTACACTATCAAAATCTCCAAAATGGGTAATCGAATAATCGCATAAACCTGAGCAATCACCATGCCAAGTTAAAAAGTCACTGACGCTAAAAAAACCATTAACTTACAATGGTTTGCCTAAGGGAATGTCACAACTAGCCTTTATTGCCTAAATCTTAACTTCAATTCACAACACAATTCATTAGGTAAAAATTTATACTTGTGCCTTTCGCCAAGGATCAAAATGTACGCGTCTTCGTAAATTTTGCATAAAGGTTTCCAGGTTCCAATTAATTTGTTATAGTAGGGAAGCTGACTTACACTGCTTGAATGATTTGAAAAAAATGGCTGATGCACCAGAATAGTTCACAGAAGTAACAACAAACTAATGTTAAAATGCAAATTTGCAACTATTTAAGTCAAATTTGCAGGACTTCTATAGAGTTTCTCTTAACTGGATAATGAAGATTGAACTTGGTGAGTTGTAAACTTGTAATCATCAAATGATTGCAAAAACTGCGAATTATTTCAGTAAATGCTTCATCAAATATAGGGAAATATAATTGCATTACATTTAGTAATGAACCTGCAACTGCAATTTATTAGACAATGGAAATACAATTTGAACAAATTTGCTATTTTCCCAGGGTTTTGAAGTTTTATAATCAAATTCTTTTGCTTACAGCTCTTGTCATTGAAGTTACGCTGGTTATCCTTCACCTAACACAACCCTCCTCCTTTAGTTGGGCTCATGACCAACTGTGTAACAAACAACACATTTTGGAAATTGATTGTAATTAGCTAATTTCGTGAAGTCTTGTTATAAATCTCAACCTAAGTCCATGGTTGTGACACTTCAAAGATCAAATTCCAGAAACTTCAGGGAAGGAAGGAGTCAAACTTCATAAAATGAAGTTTGAAAACATAAAATGGAGGAGTTCACACTTCATTGAAAACATAAAATGATTCATGAATGGGATCCTATTTGAGCAACACTTTTTAGCGCTCAATTAGTGAAATTTTTGTTTAGTTTCTAGCTTAAAAACTATTAGGAACCGCCCTCTGCTTGTTTCCCTTCAGTTAGAGTAGAAAACACTTTAGGAAAAATTGGAGAAATGTTAACGATTTGGGTAGTAGAGATTGCCTTCTCGATGCTTGAGTGATCTGCAAATGGCTTGAGCGGTCTGCTCCACTGAACTGGATTGAATCCTTTTCACATTCCATTACCAACTAACATGCCACTGCTCTCTAACGCCTTTAGCAGTCCTTCACAAATTTAGGTTTACTGGGTTTCCAAGTCTACTCAAATTCCAAAGATATATAGAGGGTAAGCTATTCCAAACTAGATATTTCTATTTTAAGCCTCAAAACAACCTGATAAACCTTTAGAGAGCTAAGAACAACCCTAAATCCCTAAGATCCAAAGATCACACTATCTTGATTCTTTTAATTCAACTTTACACATTGAAGAAAAAGTTCTTGCTTAGTGTTCTACGAAACCCACATTGGTTGTGTGCATACCAAGAGTCTTGGGAGAGGATCCTTAAAAATTGCTCGAGGGATAGACGATTCATCTTGGTGAGCGCGTTCAAGTGAAGTTATTCAAGACTTTCGTGGGTGCTATCTGAAAGAGAGATTTGACAAGGAAAAAAACATCTAATCGTTGACAAATTAGTTGAGGTATAAGATTCGAGTACTTGCATATTAAGTTTAGAACAGTAGATTAGGTTAGGTGAATTGAGTGTCGGTTCGACAGTTATTCACGAGAGGGTTTCCATATAAAAATTGTTTGTCTTATGAATGTTCTTATTCTTGTTTTAATTTTACAAACACACACACTTACACACACTATGTTTGATACATTGATACTTTAATTGCTTCATTCCATTTATTCATGAAATTGAGTTTTGTGGAAGTTGGCTTGTTGAAGGGATCAGAGGATTGCTTTATTGGATTGTTGGGTTTATTGATCGTATATACATATCATCCATTTATTTATTAGAGGTTGTTCTTATTGCGGGTAAAAGGGATTCAAACGCTTAATTGATAAATAATCTTTAATATGGTAATTATGGTCGATTAGATAATAAATTGGCGATTGTCCAATCGATAATTTTTAATTAACCTATTCACCCCCTTCTAGATTGTGCATCTGATTCGTCATATATAATTGAGTGGAAAAACCCTTATATTAGGAAATTCTATCTTGATTACATATAACAAATTCATTTCTCTTCTTCAAGCGCAAGTCCCACTTGTGCATATGATAAGTCCTACAGTTGGTCCAAAATAAAATAAATCTTTGAACATCAAGTCCACCCAAATCTATAGGACTAACTTTGCTCCAGTCCGGCACACATAATCCACACTACAGCTGCAATCAACAGCGATTCAAGTCAGTGCCAGTTTATTCAAACCATTCAGCCAGGCTTCTGAAAGTCCTGCCAGTATAGGGCATCTACACAGGTATCATTTTAGATTTCTACAGTTTTGGGTCTCCTCAAAGATCCTCATGGTTGGAGCAGAATATCTGAAGGAGTGGTCAAATATTCCACCTATCCAGTGGCCTCCCTCCTGCACACCCTCAGCCTCTGTTTTTCATCAGTCATGCTAAAGTCTGTATACAAGTACATCTAACACCTTTTTCTCTTTTTTTATAAGTCAAGTAAATGGCACGTCTGAAAATATTTCATAGTAGGAAGTCCCAGTGTTATAGAAATAAAGCAGTATGTGAGCTTTCCTTCATCCAAATATTGCTTCTCATGCATCAATAACATGATTGCATCCAGTATAATAGGAGATTTTGGAATTGTCCAAAACCACCAGCAAAGCAGCAGAACTCCATTTTTTCCCCATCATGTCACTACTATCGTCTGCACCATATTTCTGGTTCTAAAACCTTCCTAACATCTACCTAAAACCTTCCAGCAAGCCGAACACCTAAATGCCTATGACCGTTAAAAATGCAGACCAGCAAGTGACAAGCCCTTAATGTATAACAAAGACCCTTCTAGTCATCTGACTCATCCTTATTCCCCAAGAGTCTTATAAGTTACAACCCCAGTCTGGCAAAGAGGAGCCCGAAATCTCGTAATGTGTTGCAGTAGACATGATCCAAGCCAAAATTTTTACTCATCATTTCAACTTCTCTCAACGAAGTTGGGTTCGGTTAACTTAGTGCAAACCGTAGCAAATATAAGTATAAAATAAAGAAACGAAAACAAGTACAAAACCCATGGAAGTATTTTGTAGACACATTACCTCCATGTGAACCACATTTACCATTTTTGACATCATCTAAACATATTAAGCCACAAAAGAATCATACTGCACCAGTAATAGAGTATGCAAAATTTGTCACTTCTGCCACGAATAATTAATACTCTGATTCTCTGAAGAGGGATATAATTTAGTGTGGGTCATTATCTTGCATGAGTGAAGAAGGCATGCAGACTATAGGACTGGGCATTGGATAGCAACAAAAAAGCCACACAAGAACATACATCAAATAGACAAGCGATAAAATTGTGGACAGCATAAAGATGTGGATGCACTAAACCTTAAAAACAGGAGCCTCCATGTCCTCAACTATTATGCAGTGGGAATTTTGATCCTTCATTGGACCAAAAAATTGGGCCCTGAATACAGGTGAGCGAGCAGCAAGTACCAACTTGTGAGCAGAAAATATTTCTCCATCAATTTCAAAACCTACATCAGTACCCTTCCCACTTTCCAGCAGCTGTCCAAAATGCTGACCAAAGTCGGATGGCGGTACTGGTATACTATAAATCTTAGGGCCCTCAGTGTGGGACCTAACGACCCCAACAGTGCAATTAACAATAAGGCAATCATCTTTCAGGTAGTCTGATGTCTCTAAAGTAGTTCTTTTGAAAAACCGCTTGTAACCCCTGCAGCATCCAATCACATAACCCATTCAATTATGTACCAATAGTTCATCCTTCAACAGTTTATCCTAGACACTAATAGAATGACATATTTAAAAAATTTATACACATTTAAAAATATATCAGGCAGCATTAATGGTTGAAACAAAAGTCTCTCTAGTAGATCCCATGCTTCCACATGAATACCAGGTAATGCTTCTGCATCATNGATCAAATTCCAGAAACTTCAGGGAAGGAAGGAGTCAAACTTCATAAAATGAAGTTTGAAAACATAAAATGGAGAAGTTCACACTTCATTGAAAACATAAAATGATTCATGAATGGGATCCTATTTGAGCAACACTTTTTAGCGCTCAATTAGTGAAATTTTTGTTTAGTTTCTAGCTTAAAAACTATTAGGAACCGCCCTCTGCTTGTNGCAGTCAGACAAAATTCCAGATGAATACCCCCAAGAAATTGGTCACCAGCCACTCCTGTTAATTGAAATGATTCTTGCCATAGATAAACAATTACTTATGTTGCTACTACTACTACTACAACTACTGCCATTAAACTAGAAAATTGAGGTAAGGCCGCACCCTGAAAATCCTCTCAGGGGTGGCTCAAGGTAATTTGAAGCCTAAAGCGGAAACACGAAATGAGGCTTTTTAAAAAATTAATTGAATTAAATATGTTGTGTCACAGAGACGGAAGAAAGATGCGGTAGTAGAGATTTTAACCTTTTTTTTGTCTTTTATCTGAGAGAGAATTTTGATTTCAACTTTTGTTTCTGTTTTTTAATTTTTTTTACCAGATAGATAGAGAGAGAGGAGTGGAGTAAATATAAGTTGACTTTTAAGTACCTTTTTATTTTTTAACTTCTGATTTTTAAAATTTTAATGTTATGAATTGAATCATGGACCCAAATATTACAATAAAAATTTCAATTGGATTTAATTTTTTGGAGCTTTTTTATGACTTAAAATTTAATGGATTTAAATTTCTTTGGTGGGCTAATAATGTATCTAAAATTATGGACCTTTTAAAAATTTGGGGCCTAAAGCTTGGGCTTTATTTTTTAAGTTGTTGGGCTGGCCCTGAATCCCCTAAAAGCAGCTTCTTAAGAAAAAAGCAAAATATTCCTTGTCAAATAGCAAAAATCAATAAAATAAGATTCCAATCGGTTGAACAAAAATTACCTCTCAGATTTTCAGGCATTGCAATAAATTCAAGGCATATTGATTTCAGCTGCAAACAGTGGTGCTGCTCAGCAAGGGCTAATGTCGTTGCAACAGTGTTGATGGCAACATCCACACAGAGATTAGCCTCACAGAGCAATCTGAGCCTATCTAAACCATAGCGATCAGCAGCTGCAAGCATATGCTGAGACATCAAAGTAGAGGCCCACTGTGAGTCCAAACCAGTAAGATCTTCCATGTCAGGCAGTGAATCCCAATATATAAAATGGAGCAAAGCCTGCAAAGCACAACAACAGGATGTAAGTCAATGCAGCACACATGTCAACTTTAAGCCAAATGCAGAGCAAGATCATCCTAATGAATATACAAAGAACAAAATCCTATGACATCTATTAATGAGCATGGGCTTCTAATGGAAGTGGATTTTGTTGAAATACATTTCAAAAAGTACCCTTCAGTACAACAAGTCTTCAAAACTCACAGTGTCTCCCAAAGAGAGATGGATTCCAACACAATGACAATCGCCAGAAAACATTTGCAATATGCTAGTGAGCTTACTATTGAATATCATTAAATTTTGTTGCCACACAGAACTGCCACAAAAGGCACATGAATAAGAAGGATGAATACAAAAACCTCACTGTTGTGTTTCTTGTGTTTACAAATATCTTGCTTCTATCACATTTCTCCAAATTGCACCTACACTATCAAAATCTCCAAAATGGGTAATCGAATAATCGCATAAACCTGAGCAATCACCATGCCAAGTTAAAAAGTCACTGACGCTAAAAAAACCATTAACTTACAATGGTTTGCCTAAGGGAATGTCACAACTAGCCTTTATTGCCTAAATCTTAACTTCAATTCACAACACAATTCATTAGGTAAAAATTTATACTTGTGCCTTTCGCCAAGGATCAAAATGTACGCGTCTTCGTAAATTTTGCATAAAGGTTTCCAGGTTCCAATTAATTTGTTATAGTAGGGAAGCTGACTTACACTGCTTGAATGATTTGAAAAAAATGGCTGATGCACCAGAATAGTTCACAGAAGTAACAACAAACTAATGTTAAAATGCAAATTTGCAACTATTTAAGTCAAATTTGCAGGACTTCTATAGAGTTTCTCTTAACTGGATAATGAAGATTGAACTTGGTGAGTTGTAAACTTGTAATCATCAAATGATTGCAAAAACTGCGAATTATTTCAGTAAATGCTTCATCAAATATAGGGAAATATAATTGCATTACATTTAGTAATGAACCTGCAACTGCAATTTATTAGACAATGGAAATACAATTTGAACAAATTTGCTATTTTCCCAGGGTTTTGAAGTTTTATAATCAAATTCTTTTGCTTACAGCTCTTGTCATTGAAGTTACGCTGGTTATCCTTCACCTAACACAACCCTCCTCCTTTAGTTGGGCTCATGACCAACTGTGTAACAAACAACACATTTTGGAAATTGATTGTAATTAGCTAATTTCGTGAAGTCTTGTTATAAATCTCAACCTAAGTCCATGGTTGTGACACTTCAAAGATCAAATTCCAGAAACTTCAGGGAAGGAAGGAGTCAAACTTCATAAAATGAAGTTTGAAAACATAAAATGGAGGAGTTCACACTTCATTGAAAACATAAAATGATTCATGAATGGGATCCTATTTGAGCAACACTTTTTAGTGCTCAATTAGTGAAATTTTTGTTTAGTTTCTAGCTTAAAAACTATTAGGAACCGCCCTCTGCTTGATTCCCTTCAGTTAGAGTAGAAAACACTTTAGGAAAAATTGGAGAAATGTTAACGATTTGGGTAGTAGAGATTGCCTTCTCGATGCTTGAGTGATCTGCAAATGGCTTGAGCGGTCTGCTCCACTGAACTGGATTGAATCCTTTTCACATTCCATTACCAACTAACATGCCACTGCTCTCTAACGCCTTTAGCAGTCCTTCACAAATTTAGGTTTACTGGGTTTCCAAGTCTACTCAAATTCCAAAGATATATAGAGGGTAAGCTATTCCAAACTAGATATTTCTATTTTAAGCCTCAAAACAACCTGATAAACCTTTAGAGAGCTAAGAACAACCCTAAATCCCTAAGATCCAAAGATCACACTATCTTGATTCTTTTAATTCAACTTTACACATTGAAGAAAAAGTTCTTGCTTAGTGTTCTACGAAACCCACATTGGTTGTGTGCATACCAAGAGTCTTGGGAGAGGATCCTTAAAAATTGCTCGAGGGATAGACGATTCATCTTGGTGAGCGCGTTCAAGTGAAGTTATTCAAGACTTTCGTGGGTGCTATCTGAAAGAGAGATTTGACAAGGAAAAAAACATCTAATCGTTGACAAATTAGTTGAGGTATAAGATTCGAGTACTTGCATATTAAGTTTAGAACAGTAGATTAGGTTAGGTGAATTGAGTGTCGGTTCTACAGTTATTCACGAGAGGGTTTCCATATAAAAATTGTTTGTCTTATGAATGTTCTTATTCTTGTTTTAATTTTACAAACACACACACTTACACACACTATGTTTGATACATTGATACTTTAATTGCTTCATTCCATTTATTCATGAAATTGAGTTTTGTGGAAGTTGGCTTGTTGAAGGGATCAGAGGATTGCTTTATTGGATTGTTGGGTTTATTGATCGTATATACATATCATCCATTTATTTATTAGAGGTTGTTCTTATTGCGGGTAAAAGGGATTCAAACGCTTAATTGATAAATAATCTTTAATATGGTAATTATGGTCGATTAGATAATAAATTGGCGATTGTCCAATCGATAATTTTTAATTAACCTATTCACCCCCTTCTAGATTGTGCATCTGATTCGTCATATATAATTGAGTGGAAAAACCCTTACATTAGGAAATTCTATCTTGATTACATATAACAAATTCATTTCTCTTCTTCAAGCGCAAGTCCCACTTGTGCATATGATAAGTCCTACAGTTGGTCCAAAATAAAATAAATCTTTGAACATCAAGTCCACCCAAATCTATAGGACTAACTTTGCTCCAGTCCGGCACACATAATCCACACTACAGCTGCAATCAACAGCAATTCAAGTCAGTGCCAGTTTATTCAAACCATTCAGCCAGGCTTCTGAAAGTCCTGCCAGTATAGGGCATCTACACAGGTATCATTTTAGATTTCTACAGTTTTGGGTCTCCTCAAAGATCCTCATGGTTGGAGCAGAATATCTGAAGGAGTGGTCAAATATTCCACCTATCCAGTGGCCTCCCTCCTGCACACCCTCAGCCTCTGTTTTTCATCAGTCATGCTAAAGTCTGTATACAAGTACATCTAACACCTTTTTCTCTTTTTTTATAAGTCAAGTAAATGGCACGTCTGAAAATATTTCATAGTAGGAAGTCCCAGTGTTATAGAAATAAAGCAGTATGTGAGCTTTCCTTCATCCAAATATTGCTTCTCATGCATCAATAACATGATTGCATCCAGNTAAATGGCACGTCTGAAAATATTTCATAGTAGGAAGTCCCAGTGTTATAGAAATAAAAGCAGTATGTGAGCTTTCCTTCATCCAAATATTGCTTCTCATGCATCAATAACATGATTGCATCCAGTATAATAGGAGATTTTGGAATTGTCCAAAACCACCAGCAAAGCAGCAGAACTCCATTTTTTCCCCATCATGTCACTACTATCGTCTGCACCATATTTCTGGTTCTAAAACCTTCCTAACATCTACCTAAAACCTTCCAGCAAGCCGAACACCTAAATGCCTATGACCGTTAAAAATGCAGACCAGCAAGTGACAAGCCCTTAATGTATAACAAAGACCCTTCTAGTCATCTGACTCATCCTTATTCCCCAAGAGTCTTATAAGTTACAACCCCAGTCTGGCAAAGAGGAGCCAGAAATCTCGTAATGTGTTGCAGTAGACATGATCCAAGCCAAAATTTTTACTCATCATTTCAACTTCTCTCAACGAAGTTGGGTTCGGTTAACTTAGTGCAAACCGTAGCAAATATAAGTATAAAATAAAGAAACGAAAACAAGTACAAAACCCATGGAAGTATTTTGTAGACACGTTACCTCCATGTGAACCACATTTACCATTTTTGACATCATCTAAACATATTAAGCCACAAAAGAATCATACTGCACCAGTAATAGAGTATGCAAAATTTGTCACTTCTGCCACGAATAATTAATACTCTGATTCTCTGAAGAGGGATATAATTTAGTGTGGGTCATTATCTTGCATGAGTGAAGAAGGCATGCAGGCTATAGGACTGGGCATTGGATAGCAACAAAAAAGCCACACAAGAACATACATCAAATAGACAAGCGATAAAATTGTGGACAGCATAAAGATGTGGATGCACTAAACCTTAAAAACAGGAGCCTCCATGTCCTCAACTATTATGCAGTGGGAATTTTGATCCTTCATTGGACCAAAAAATTGGGCCCTGAATACAGGTGAGCGAGCAGCAAGTACCAACTTGTGAGCAGAAAATATTTCTCCATCAATTTCAAAACCTACATCAGTACCCTTCCCACTTTCCAGCAGCTGTCCAAAATGCTGACCAAAGTCGGATGGCGGTACTGGTATACTATAAATCTTAGGGCCCTCAGTGTGGGACCTAACGACCCCAACAGTGCAATTAACAATAAGGCAATCATCTTTCAGGTAGTCTGATGTCTCTAAAGTAGTTCTTTTGAAAAACCGCTTGTAACCCCTGCAGCATCCAATCACATAACCCATTCAATTATGTACCAATAGTTCATCCTTCAACAGTTTATCCTAGACACTAATAGAATGATATATTTAAAAAATTTATACACATTTAAAAATATATCAGGCAGCATTAATGGTTGAAACAAAAGTCTCTTTAGTAGATCCCATGCTTCCACATGAATACCAGGTAATGCTTCTGCATCATAGAACTCTATACCATAAATTCAATCAACTAGCAATATACTAAAGCAGTTATACAGTTGTCATACAACTGGTAAAGTCAGAAACACTTACAGGTTTCATATATTTCAGATGACTCGGGCAAAACAATTGAGGTTAATTTAAAGATAATCTTCACAAAAAAGACGGACAAAAACCCAAAAATGTACCTCTAATACTATCCTAGTCGTCTATACCAGAACCAGACATATTCTTGCGACTAGAAATGTTACAGAATTCTTTGATAGCTACATTGATAAAACACTAATTACCTCCAAACTCCAGACAAGGCTATCTTGGAACAAATAAGGAATGACCAGGATTGGGATTGCAAGCAAGACTATTAAAGAATGGGTCACCAAATTAATAGAAAATAAAAAACAATCATGAAACCATCAGAACAGGACAATCTCATAATTAGAAACATCTCGGCAAAACAAAATTACTCCAAGGGGCCTCTAAGTCATAATAACCCACAAATAAAGCACCAAACAGCAATCCAACGTGAAATATGAAGAGTCAGTGCAATATTCAGAAAAATCAACTGAATAAAAATTACCACATGCTTCCTCGGTATTTTAGAGTGTATGGCCCGCTCTCCAACGGCCTCCCAAAATGGGTATGAACCTTATGCCTCCCTTTCCCACTCTGGTCCATAAGCGTCAATTCAAAAAGAGCCCTCACATCCGTACCCTCACTCGCAAGCGCAATGAAGAGGGAAACATACGTCGCATTGTCCTCTACGCTCTTCCCATCCGGATAGAAGTAGACCGCCCACGCATACCCACCGACCACGAACATCTCGGACGCTGTGTACTTCCCAATCCCGATTCCCTTCGAAAGCGAGTATCCATTGATCCTGAACTCATGCGAACCATTTACTGTATCCGTCGTAGACGTCGATGTCGACACCGGAAGCGATGGCGATGATTCGGACAACGACTTTGAGGTTTCCTTGTAGACCCTTCCCATAGCCACCATACGCAGAGTTTTTTTAATGCTGTTTCTCTATAATATTCCAAGATTTTACAGAAACCAATTCAATCTTGGAATTGGGAGGGGTTTGCTCTGATCGATATGAAAAGTGACTTACAGTCAGATCTAGGGTTTATAGGCAAATTCGGAAGAATTGGATTTGGTTTACTTCAAATGGGGATTGTGGCAAACAACTCTTGGGTTTCTGCACGAGAAAATTCAGAGATTTTCGAAGATGAATTTCTAGGGTTTCAGCGGAGAGGGAGAGAGAGAGGGGGTGAGAAACTATGGCGGTGTAGTTTAGATGGGGATTTAAATACTTACCCGAAAATAAATGGGGCTTTAAACAGTCCCCGGTACCGACAGAATGTTACATTGGGTCCTAAAATTACATTTAGATTCCGTTTAATAGGATTGTCGAAAAATTAGAATAATTAAAAAGTATGAGAAATAAATTTTTTTATTTTTTGAGAAATTTTTTTTGTCTTTTTATTTGATATTTTTAATTATTTAGTATTAATATATATATGTGTGTGTATAATATATTTTCAAAAANCATTGGGTCCTAAAATTACATTTAGATTCCGTTTAATAGGATTGTCGAAAAATTAGAATAATTAAAAAGTATGAGAAATAAATTTTTTTATTTTTTGAGAATTTTTTTTTGTCTTTTTATTTGATATTTTCAATTATTTAGTATTAATATATATATGTGTGTGTGTGTATAATATATTTTCAAAACACACAGTTTTTGTATACAAAAATGTGTTGTACACGTGAACAAAAAATCAACCTGTAAGCAACGGAAATATTCGTTATAATGGTGATACCGTGTGATAATGTTGATATGATATCACCAATTAATAATATCAAAATAAATAAATAAATTAGATCCTACTAAAACTAATAACTAATCATCTATTGAAGGAAATAAGTATTCACTCTTACTTAATATAAATAAATTAGTTATTGTCTGTCTCTGAAAGNCGTGTGATAATGTTGATATGATATCACCAATTAATAATATCAAAATAAATAAATAAATTAGATCCCACTAAAACTAATAACTAATCATCTATTTAAGGAAATAAGTATTCACTCTTACTCAATATAAATAAATTAGTTATTGTCTGTCTCTGAAAGCACAAAATAATAAATAATAAACATATTTGTATTCATATTCAAAATCAAATCACACATATAGAGAGGAGACAAATAAATTTAAGCATCGGTTATAGTGGTGGTAGGAGACGGTGATAGTTCTGGTGGGTGACAATAATCGTGACGGCATTGGTGATGGTGATGGCGCCGACAATGGTGGTGGTGGCGGTGGTGGCTGCAGTAATGGTAGTAGTAGAAGTAGTGATGAGATGGTTTCAAACACTATTTTTTTTTAAAGTATTTATGAGAAATAATTTTTTAAATTATTTTTAAAAAATCACTTCAAAAACACCCTTAGCCCCCCTATTTTTCTATTAAATTTAAAGTGTTAATATTAGTCGCTAAATTAATTTTAAAATAAAATTTAAAATGATCTCAACCATGAAAAGCAAAAGTTATTTTGTTTATCTTTTGAAATTTGAATTGTAAACTACTTTATTATATAGATAATTATTAAAATATAATTTATTTTATCGATTTTATAATTTATTATTGATTGATGATACTATTTCAGTTTCGTCGCATTCAACATTTACTCTTTCGCTAAACTGGAGGCAAAATATGGCAAAAGATGACAAATATAATTTTAGAAACTATTCAAGTATCTCTAATAATTGTTGAACAAATATAGGGGTCTTAATATATTTTATCTCAACAATCAAGAGGGGGATAAATAGCTAAACTCACACATTACAAAAATAATGATATAATTTGATTCTTTTTTACACCTTAATATATCATTATCATTAAATTGGTGACGAGTACCAATAAATATTAAAATTCACTATCAATTAAAAATTCTTAAATTGTATTGAAAAAATTATTTAATATTATAATTAGGAATTTGATTTTTGAACTTAAAAAAAAAAACAAAAATTAAGATTGATTCAATCATCATTTATTTTGATTAAATAATATAAAATTTATCCTATTTTTTTTCTTACCAAAAAACATATACTTTTCCATACGGCCATCGATACTAATTAACTCAATCAATACACTCTTCAATATCAAACAATCACATTATTCTACACCTACATTTCTCTTTATTTTAATTTTTAATTGTGTAATTAAAATTTTTTAAATTATTATTTAAAATATAAAATATTATAAGATCAATATTTATTTTTTAATATTATATAATGTATTCAGATACAATATTATTACAACTAGTGGACACGAATTGCACATTAACCTTCTCCCATCCATAAGAGTGTCTCCAACAATAAAACATATTTTAACTACTCAAAAAATAATATTTTTTATTTAAGCTACTCACTTTTTCAATACATACTCTAACAGATTTTCTATATTTTTAACTATTTATTTTAAATATTATTTCTCATTTATTTTGTATTATTTTTTTTGGGAATAGTGAAAGAGAAAAAGATAAATAATAGAGAAAATGAGAGGAAGAGAGATAAAATATTATAAAAAAATGTTTATATATCGCTATAGTGATATTCTAAATATAGAGTATTACTGTAGTAAAATATTATTTTAGATATTTTGAAGATAATCTGTTGAAATTAAATTTTTGGGTTAAATAACTAAAAGTTGAAGTTTTGTGTCTTTTAAATAATATGTTTGATCATGACTCAAATTTGAATAAAAATTTTGATTTGGTATAATGTACTGCAATGGACAAACTTTAATATCTACTAAAATATTTTAAAAAATTTGCTTATTATCCAAAAACTTATTTTTTTTGTATCATTCAAATCATGATATTTAATAAAATAAATGAAACTTTCGCATCTCTCTACAAATGGGTAATTTTGAAAAATTGAACATGTATACAACACTACACGAGAATAAATAAATTATTTCAGAATTCTAAGATTATTCTAATCCCTTATCATTTTTTATAAATGCAGATAAAGAGAAAAAATATATATAACTATTTTGACATGAGCTTGGTCTGAAGAAAAAAAAAAGATATGTTTTTAACAAAAATGAAGGATCGAAGAAAAGAACGACAATTCTAAAGGTAGCAAATGTTTAAAATTTCAAGAAGAATTGGTAGTCTGAAATTGTAATACTGATAGTGTTTAACTTGAAAAAATGAAAGAAAAAATTGATGGGTAGGTTTATGATGTGCTTGGCAATTCATTAATGGACTGGATTGGCTTGGATTTAAATCCCAAACTAATCCGGTGAAATCCTAATAGCCAGGATTTGTAAAAAGATAACAAGAAATTGTGTTATTCAATTTCTCATTTGGATAATGCATTATAATGGGGTTGGAATATAGACAAACTACAATTTTTTATTAAACATCTAATATATTTGACATTAATTGACCATTTTACCCTTGAATCTTATTCAATCCTATATCTTTTTTGGCTCGACAATTGTTAGTTACCACTTTTTATTTTTATTTTTTTTACTTTTTTGATCATCNTTAATTATTTTTAAAAAATCACTTCAAAAACACCCTTAGCCCCCCTATTTTTCTATTAAATTTAAAGTGTTAATATTAGTCGCTAAATTAATTTTAAAATAAAATTTAAAATGATCTCAACCATGAAAAGCAAAAGTTATTTTGTTTATCTTTTGAAATTTGAATTGTAAACTACTTTATTATATAGATAATTATTAAAATATAATTTATTTTATCAATTTTATAATTTATTATTGATTGATGATACTATTTCAGTTTCGTCGCATTCAATNTTGAATTGTAAACTACTTTATTATATAGATAATTATTAAAATATAATTTATTTTATCGATTTTATAATTTATTATTGATTGATGATACTATTTCAGTTTCGTCGCATTCAACATTTACTCTTTCGCTAAACTGGAGGCAAAATATGGCAAAAGATGACAAATATAATTTTAGAAACTATTCAAGTATCTCTAATAATTGTTGAACAAATATAGGGGTCTTAATATATTTTATCTCAACAATCAAGAGGGGGATAAATAGCTAAACTCACACATTACAAAAATAATGATATAATTTGATTCTTTTTTACACCTTAATATATCATTATCATTAAATTGGTGACGAGTACCAATAAATATTAAAATTCACTATCAATTAAAATTTCTTAAATTGTATTGNTATCATTATCATTAAATTGGTGACGAGTACCAATAAATATTAAAATTCACTATCAATTAAAAATTCTTAAATTGTATTGAAAAAATTATTTAATATTATAATTAGGAATTTGATTTTTGAACTTAAAAAAAAAAACAAAAATTAAGATTGATTCAATCATCATTTATTTTGATTAAATAATATAAAATTTATCCTATTTTTTTTCTTACCAAAAAACATATACTTTTCCATACGGCCATCGATACTAATTAACTCAATCAATACACTCTTCAATATCAAACAATCACATTATTCTACACCTACATTTCTCTTTATTTTAATTTTTAATTGTGTAATTAAAATTTTTTAAATTATTATTTAAAATATAAAATATTATAAGATCAATATTTATTTTTTAANGGCCATCGATACTAATTAACTCAATCAATACACTCTTCAATATCAAACAATCACATTATTCTACACCTACATTTCTCTTTATTTTAATTTTTAATTGTGTAATTAAAAAATTTTAAATTATTATTTAAAATATAAAATATTATAAGATCAATATTTATTTTTTAATATTATATAATGTATTCAGATACAATATTATTACAACTAGTGGACACGAATTGCACATTAACCTTCTCCCATCCATAAGAGTGTCTCCAACAATAAAACATATTTTAACTACTCAAAAAATAATATTTTTTATTTAAGCTACTCACTTTTTCAATACATACTCTAACAGATTTTCTATATTTTTAACTATTTATTTTAAATATTATTTCTCATTTATTTTGTATTATTTTTTTTGGGAATAGTGAAAGAGAAAAAGATAAATAATAGAGAAAATGAGAGGAAGAGAGATAAAATATTATAAAAAAATGTTTATATATCGCTATAGTGATATTCTAAATATAGAGTATTACTGTAGTAAAATATTATTTTAGATATTTTGAAGATAATCTGTTGAAATAAAATTTTTGGGTTAAATAACTAAAAGTTGAAGATTTTGTGTCTTTTAAATAATATGTTTGATCATGACTCAAATTTGAATAAAAAGTTTGATTTGGTATAATGTACTGCAATGGACAAACTTTAATATCTGCTCAAATATTTTAAAAAATTTGTTTATTATCCAAAAACTTATTTTTTTGTATCATTCAAATCATGATATTTAATAAAATAAATGAAACTTTCGCATCTCTCTACAAATGGGTAATTTTGAAAAATTGAACATGTATACAACACTACACGAGAATAAATAAATTATTTCAGAATTCTAAGATTATTCTAATCCCTTATCATTTTTTATAAATGCAGATAAAGAGAAAAAATATATATAACTATTTTGACATGAGCTTGGTCTGAAGAAAAAAAAAAGATATGTTTTTAACAAAAATGAAGGATCGAAGAAAAGAATGACAATTCTAAAGGTAGCAAATGTTTAAAATTTCAAGAAGAATTGGTAGTCTGAAATTGTAATACTGATAGTGTTTAACTTGAAAAAATGAAAGAAAAAATTGATGGGTAGGTTTATGATGTGCTTGGCAATTCATTAATGGACTGGATTGACTTGGATTTAAATCCCAAACTAATCCGGTGAAATCCTAATAGCCAGGATTTGTAAAAAGATAACAAGAAATTGTGTTATTCAATTCCTCATTTGGATAATGCATTATAATGGGGTTGGAATATAGACAAACTACAATTTTTTATTAAACATCTAATATATTTGACATTAATTGACCATTTTACCCTTGAATCTTATTCAATTCTATATCTTTTTTGGCTCGACAATTGTTAGTTACCACTTTTTATTTTTATTTTTTTTACTTTTTTGATCATTGTTGGTTAGCAATTTAATAATATGAAAAATATAAGAATATTTATGTATTCACCAAATACATGTTATTACACGTTGATTTTATAATACAAATTTATAAGTCGCTCACAAATTTATTTTATCCGCCAAAAATATTAAAAAATTTAGGACAAAAAATGCGTCACAACCCAAATTCACATGAACTATATTAGTAATTAACCTTTTTTTATTTTTAAAAATTAAAAGAAGAAAAAATTAATTACAATCACCAGAAAAAATACAAGATGCCATTATGGGGAAACTATATACAAATCTCATTCAAAACATAATGTGGGAAATGACCTCATGGATGGCGGCAATAAGCTTCAAGAAGATGGTAATTTGGTCCATGACAATGTTTTGGGACACTCTGAAACATGGGATAAGAAAATTAGACAAAAGGAGAAGCATAGGAAAGATGATAATCTTAAGACCCTTTCTGAGCAGTTGAATGAGGTCCCAGTGGATAGTTATGGTGTAAATAATGTGTAAAAAAAATCCACAGGCGGTACAGAGATAGAGAGAGGAGGGAGTTAGAAGAGAGAGATACATACCTTGGCTAAAGGGGACGCAGGCGCCGTTGTCAAACTCGAGGGACCAACACCAGCAGCTAGGTGAAAAGGAAGGGAATGGGGGCAGGTAAAACCCCTACTTTGTGCTTTACTGTTTAAAGGGTAACAACGTAATTTCGTTAGTTATCCAGCCGGTGGGCTTTGAAATCCCAAAGTTCAGCTGGTTTCATGTATCCGGATCAAATGGGATTTGAGGCCTAATCCCATTTGACATCCCAACCCAAAGTTGGGATACGTGAGCCCCGGATATTTTTATCCAATCTTACATGTCTTGTCTGCCTTTATCCGTCCAAACAAACACACCCTTAAGGTTTATACGGCATGAAAGATGAGTGAGATTAAAGTTTTAAAAAAATATAAAAAATAAAGAAAATAGAAGATGAAAAGAAAAAAAATTACCAAATGATTTGTGAAAATTTTAGTGGTAATCAATGATGGAAGTAACGTAGTAGAGAAAGGCAATAAGAGGCAGATAATAAGTTATCGAATAAATTTTTCAGTTTTGAATAAGTTAAAAAGTTATTTTTAAAAATTTAGTATATAATTTGAGTCTACTTCAATTTGAGTCAAAAATAAATTTTGTCTTAATTTAATATAAATTTGAGTCAAAAGTTATTGAAAATATTTGAATCATTTTAACTCAAATTTAAAATTAAGTATATATTTGAATCAAGGGGGAAACTACTCTAACAACAGTCCTGACGCAACCTTTGCAGTTTGCTGTCAGCCATTTTTATTTTTATCTATGGAACCCACAAATCACTCGCATTGGGCAATTGATGATCAGGCGAGGCCCGTGGAATTGATTAAATACTTACTCTCACTCGCGCGCACACGCATACACACACACACACACAAAAAGTTATCCGACGTGGGATTACTCCAGCCCCTGCTGTCAGCCAGTTGAACAGCATAACATCTCTACTGAACTATTGAGTGTCAATTGTCGGATTAAATAGGTGGCGGATGAAAAATATATAAACTCGTACACAATAAATTTAATAAACGGGTGAAAAAAAATCTCAACACAAATATGGCCAATTTAATAAACAATCTCAACACAAATACGACCAATTTAATAAACAAATAACACGACACGACTCATTTAACCCGTTTAATTTTAAAAAATTATTTTAATAAATTTTAATACTCGAATTTTTTTATTGTCAATTGCACTTACCTCAGAAAAGATGAATTTTTAGTCAAATCTTATATCTCATAAAAATAAAACTTGAAGGGTTAAAAAGAAAAATAAGAGGTCATTGTTTTTTATAGGCAACTCAACCCTCTTCATCTCTCATAATTTTCCAATGTGGGACAAAAACAATAGGCATTTGTTTGCCTTTGTTTTTGAAGTGCTCCACATCTCATATCTTTTGTCTTTGAACTACTACTTTATTTCTTTTTTCTTATTAATTTTTTTACTTCTTTTTTTCTTACTAATTTTTTAAAATAATTATTAATTTATTATTATATTAATAATATTTAAACGAGTAAACGTGTAATAAACAATTTGACATGTCTTACCCAAACACAACTCGTTTATTAAACGTGTTTGGCGTGTCAACCCGTTTATCATCCAAACCCGTTAAGATCTCAGTCAAAACCGTTTAATTCGTGTCGGTTAATCGCGTCGTGTCAAATTTTGACAATCCTAATATGAACGTGGGGCCCCAATTGAGAACTTTATGTGGATCTACCCAAATCCTCCAAATGGTCCTACCCAATTGCCCAAAAGAGTCCAACAAGAACAAGAGGAAGATGACACTTTTTTGTACTGATTCGGAAAACCTGGAATCCGAAGACCAATTGGAGGACATAAATCCCTAATTTTGATTCCCCAATTTTATTAAGTGCTTTTTTTGGGTGCCACAGGACACTAGGATTGGAATAAAATCTTTGGGAATTTCAGCTGTTGAGGAGGATAAGTCCAAGATGGAGTGAGTGATGCTTAACACATGATAAGAGATTTGCCATCAGAGGCTTGGGTTTCTGAACTGGGTTTTCTCTGAGATGGTCGAGCTTTGCTTGATGGCTTCGCGTGGCTACCCTCCTGGGCTAGTTTTCCATCCAGAGCAGGGTATGTCCAAGGTATCAAAGGTACGTGTGTGATTGATTTACATGTTTGTTATATGAGTTTTGTTGGGTTTCTTGATCTGGGTAGCTGAAGCTAGTAATAATTTCAATTTGGGTTTATTCTTGTGCTACTATTGTGCTGGACTGCTTGTGTTTGGATCTGATTTGTTCTGTGATTGATTTCATTGTACATGTTTAAACTTTTTGAGCTTGACGGCATCGGTTGGTGTTTCTGAGTGTCAAGACTTGCGTGGTTGAAATTTTTTATTTTTTTTTAATCTCACCTCACTGCTGAAGAGCTAGTGAGTGGGTAAGATAAGGTGTAGCGCAGTCTGGTCAGGGCATCTGTTTAGGTTCGAATTCTTTCACCTTGGTGTGGCTAATGGTAAGAAAAATTTGGAGTAGTTCCCTATGGAAGAGTTATTTAAAGTTGTGGAACCTGTTGTTCAGTCAAGTTTGGATTTAAATAGTTCATGTCAAAGCTTCACGCAACCGATTTCTATGCATCTCAGTATTTTGTGTTTGTTCTAAAAAATTACAATTTGGGAAGTTATTTACACTTTTGTGCGTTGACACATTTTACTCTTATGAATATGAAATTTTGATTCTTCTATATTTCCTATTTCTGATGTTGTGTATTTAGGGGTATAAGCTTTTGATCAGTCAGATTCTTTTCCTGTAACAAAACAGAAAAAGTGGAAGTTGGTCTCTTCTCAATATTCTTTCTCAGCGTTGTACTTCTTTGCCATCAGTCCTATTTTAATTTTGATTTTCGTTCTGTTGAATAATTTGTCACCATCTTCAGTAACTTTCAAATATATCTGTTAATCATTTATAATGGTCGTTCCACTGCGAAATTTTATAACGTTAACTAGTTATATCTCTTTCAATTAACATAATGTTAAAGTTTTGTTGATTTCTTGCTTCCATGGTCACAACCACTTAGGATTGTAAGTCTCTTGCAAATGGGAAATAGTATNTAATGGTCGTTCCACTGCGAAATTTTATAACGTTAACTAGTTATATCTCTTTCAATTGACATAACGTTAAAGTTTTGTTGATTTCTTGCTTCCATGGTCACAACCACTTAGGATTGTAAGTCTCTTGCAAATGGGAAATAGTAGNGGGGAGAAAGACAAGAACAGCCGTTTCAATTAATCAAAGAGAAGCTGACCAACCCCCACTTATTTTCTTTACCTAACTTTTTGAAAACGTTTGACATTGAAAGTGATGCTTCAAGTTTTGGCATAGGAGCAGTGCTTATGCAGGAAGGAANATGAGTGTTGCTTGCTATAAATATTTTTTTTTTGAATAAAGCGGACGGCATATTTTGAATGAATTATGCAAATTCTTTGATTGATGGATACTACCTGTTGCCTATCTCATCCCCTCTCTTATTATTAGTAAGATATGTTGCTCCTCTTCCCTTTTAATAATTAAGCTTCCAAATCTTCTTCGTTCGGCTGGGAACAGAGTGTTCTTTAACATTGTGGTATTGATCTATCATAGAATGAACTGATGAAGTTGGTTAATCTTTGTTTGGTGCAGGATAGTCAACCTTTTTTGCCTAGTCTTGGATCAAGACAAGATATAAATAGATTAAGCTCCCTTAACCTGAGGACGTATCAGAGTGAAGAGCCAGGGAAAACCATAAGCGGGCTTTCAGGGGCAAGCCAGTTTGTCAGGGTTGACTCAACTATGAGAAGCCCTGTACTTATTGATGTGCAAGGTTTGAGAGATCACTAGTTATTGTGTTTGTGCATCACTTTCTGTAGATCTAAGCTCCTTTCATACTATATTAACGTAAGATGAAGTTCACATAATTTGGTTTGCGTCATGTTTCTATTTGGGTGTCTCATTGTGTGAAATCACCATACAGATCAATTAAGCATGCCATTGGAATTGTTACTCTCATTTTTGCACGCTTTCCTATGTGCACTTTTTTTGATAGTTGGATGTTACTAAAATTATCTCATTTGTTCCCTTATTTTGCCAGACACTCGTCCAAATTCAGTACTCTTCAGCTTTGGGATTGCAGAAAAATGTACAAGGCATGAGAAAATCTTAAAGTTCCTCATGTCTGGATCAAGCGAAGCAGAACTAGGTGGACTGGATCTATCTGTACTCTCTGAATTGATGGGCCTTCAAGCATTGACAGTTGATATGCCACAACAGCCACTTGCTCCAGATTGTAGAGTTTGTTTTCATAATGCTGCGTCTCAGCCCTCCCTTATCCATCCTACTAGTGACTTTTATCCCCAGAAGCCTCTTTTCTACTCAATAGGGGATGTGGCATATAATTCAGATATTACAGTTCACCCAGATGGCCGAGTCACAATCACGGGTGTTGCGACTGAGATGAAGGATATTCTTTCCATTATTGCTGAGTTTTACTTGTCAAATAATTCGACAAAGTGGAAAAAGCAGTCAGTGCTGGTTCCACACTTCAATTGGTGTGGATCCTTTCCTAGTCTTTTATTCTAATCAAAATTTTATGCCTGGAGAATGAACATACATCTATATGTTTGCTTGCTGAACTATATATATGTTTGATGCCAACTCATTAGTTAATTTGCTCTCTCTACTGATGCTCATTGAATGGGCTGTTCAATCGATAATAAATTCGAGACCTCTATGAGAAGGTCTAATCATGGTGTATTTTGTATGTTTGAATTTCCTGATTGTTAACCACCATTAACCCCCTTCTTGGCCGCTAAGTTCACCCGATTCAGAGCTTCGGAGATAGAATGTTCCGATGCAAGTTATCGGCTATAATAATGAATAAAAACAAAAGCCTTTTTCAGGGCCATTCACTTCTTCTGTATAGAAGGGCCGATGAGTTTGTGAATTGTATCTATGGTGAATAACCCGACCTTTGGACTTTCCACTTTTTCGTAATAATTACTGCCTGCATATCTTCTATGTATTTGGACTTTCCACTTTTTCATATTTTTTTTTCTTTTAATGGTCATCCTTTGATTGTGAAATGCATGAGCTTTCTTATTATCTTTTCCTTCCTGTTGCAGTTTAATCTAGTAGTCCTGACGATCAATGTCGTGGGCTCCATCTGGATGACAGTATCTATTTCTTTTCCCCTCCATTTCAGCCTACNTTATTATCTTTTCCTTCCTGTTGCAGTTTAATCTAGTAGTCCTGACGATCAATGTCGAGGGCTCCATCTGGATGACAGTATCTATTTCTTTTCCCCTCCATTTCAGCCTATCCTTGACTGTTTCTAGTGAAAGTTATATTGAAGCAATGCCCATCCTCAAGTCAAGGATTAAGTCCTGCTCTGTAGCCCACAAGTAATAAAATATCATTGAGATGCTTCAGGCAAGAAGACCCAATAAGCCCCTAGCCTAGGCTAGTAGCATTTTGGCATTTGGCATTATCAGCATCACTTGGGTCACCTTAATAGATACTCTTGCTAGCAGCCCGGAGTGTTCCTTCTTTTATCTTCAACACTTAGAAGTTTGATAAATAATAAAAAGTCATTGGTTGATAATTGAAATTTTTCTTGAATAAGTTCAAATGAAAGGTGGTTAGTTAGTGGGAGTAGATGGGTGGTTATAAGGAATACATGGTAGATTGTGATCAGAGGATTTCTAATTTATAATTTAAATATCTAAGAAATTAGAAAAGTAGGATGGACGGCTGCTCAAAGGTTTTCTCTAAAAATTTTTTTGCTATATATATATATATATATATATAGAAAGATAGATAGATAGATAGATTAGATATTTGTTTTGGGGGCTTTGTTGGGGGAGCACCTAAAACTTCATGGCACTGACCCTTTATGACTAGTATTAGAATCTTTTGTAGATTAACTTCTTTTGATGAAATTTGGAATAGATCCATGTCCTTGTTTCTCTTTGAGTGTTAGTTTCAAGTTCTTTAGCTATGATTTTTTATGAATGTAGCCCGAACCCAAAGTTTCCACATGAAGTTGTTTTCATTATAGCACATAATTTGGTTTCTTTTTTAGAAGGAAAAACTTTCTGGCTTGCGAACCTCACCCTGCAATCATTCCTTCAACAGGCTGGATAGCAATGAAGTAAGGGCTAATATCCATGGGTCTTCGTTGAAGCTTGAAGCTGTTAAAGTTGCTCCTTTAAAGAGGTACTCTTCTTTTATTCTATTTATTTAGTATATTTTAAGTTTCACTTTCCATTCTCCTGTCTCATGGAAGGGCTTGCTAAGATATCTTTGGAGGAAGTAATATAAATGAAACAGTTGGATGTCACTGACTTTAATTTTATGAAACTATGCGGCTATTATTTCTTCCAACCTAGGACCAGAGTTTCCAGTGCTTTGAGTGTTATCTTCTGCTAAAAGAAAATTTAGAAATAGCTTGTCCCACATTCAGAAGAAGAAGAAAGACTATAGTGTATGTGCCTATGTGGTGATAATTATGTTCCAGTAAAGCAATATACTTCATTTATACTGGCTCCCAATGGGGGGTTTTGCTGCAGTGTCTACACATGAACTTCATGGGTCATGTTGCATCCAATGCCTTGAGCGTAGGTATTGATTCTATGCAGGCATCCTGCAAATTTGTATGCTTTTCTAACGGGAATGTAAGGATGCACAAGCATGTTACTGCATTTGCTCACAGGATATGAATGCTTCTTAGTCTTTACATCTTACTCTTTTTTGCAGTCCTGAGAAAATCAAACTCAGGCCATCACCTAAAAAGAAGTGCGGGAGGAAAGCAGCTAAAGAGAGGGGTCTCTACCAAAAAAACTACTTCCACGCGTGTGAAAGCCTTTTATCCATAATGGTTGACAAGAAGAGGCACAGGAAAACTGCCATCCTTTCTCTGAAGAAATCCGGTCCTGAACTACCCCAGCTCCTGACTCAGTTCTCTGCCAGCATTGCGGGGACTGGCCTTGCCGTTCTTTTCTCAGTTGTCTGTAAATTAGCTTGCAGCAGGGTGCCCTTCTGTGCATCCAAACTCTTGAGCACTGGATTGGGAATTGGATTGGTTTGGCTCTCGTGGGCTGTTAATAGACTGAGGGACACTGTAATTCATATANGTGCCCTTCTGTGCATCCAAACTCTTGAGCACTGGATTGGGAATTGGATTGGTTTGGTTCTCATGGGCTGTTAATAGACTGAGGGACACTGTAATTCATATAGGCAAGAACTCAGGCAAGTTGGATTTTAAAGAAGATGACATGATGAAAAACCTAGACAAAAGTGTGGAGGAAATTTACTTCAGAGCTGTAACATTGATGGCAGTTGCAGTGCTAAGGTTTGCATGAGCTCAACCCGCGACCATTGAATTTATTTGAACACGGAGGATGTGGAAAACTCGCAAGGAGGTCGTAAGTTTAATTGGAAATGTCCTACCTAGTTTAGTGATGCTTTGAAGGGCTTAAGCTCAGCTGGAGGTCTAAAGTGGATAATCTGAGCCAATACAAGTGACCTGTCATGAGCTTGAACTTCTTCTTGTCATCAGCTTACTAAGTTTTGTAGAGCTAATGTTTTATGGTTTGGATGTATGTAAATTGACCGGAAGTTCACAGCTATCGTGTGCATGCTTGTGTCAGTGGGGAGTCCAACTTATGTATACCGACTCATTTAGATTTATCGACGGATTGGAGGGGCTACTGGAACTTCTATGAATGGATCTTTATCCNGCTAATGTTTTATGGTTTGGATGTATGTAAATTGACCGGAAGTTCACAGCTATCGTGTGCATGCTTGTGTCAGTGGGGAATCCAACTTATATATACTGACTCATTTAGATTTATCGACGGATTGGAGGGGCTACTGGAACTTCTATGAATGGATCTTTATCTATGCCTCATTGTCCATCTAAATGGTTGCAAATCATTTGTCATCTCCTACAACTTTGATTAAATACTTACTTTGATGGATGTTGTTTGGTAGCTGTGGATGAAAAATTGCCCTAAATGTTTATCTCGGTGCTGTAGACTCGTACTTCAGTCATCTTTCATCAGTTTTAAACATGTTGGCTCCCTAGGTCTATATGTAGTTTTGCCGCCGCTGGAAAATAATAAGCTAACAAGAAATGAAAGTAACTGTACTTCTGAATGAAGCCGGTTATTTGAAGTAGTTGCAAGGCATGACCATAATGCAGATCGCAATTTGAATAAGCATTGCTCACGAGAGAATGCATCACTTATTAGAAAACACTAACTACAAATCCAAACATTACACAAATGACAAACACTTAACGAAGCAAGCAAAAATTACCGCAGGTAATGTGTGCCGGTAGCATGTAGTANCATTGCTCACGAGAGAATGCATCACTTATTAGAAAACACTAACTACAAATCCAAACACTACACAAATGACAAACACTTAACGAAGCAAGCAAAAATTACCGCAGGTAATGTGTGCCGGTAGCATGTAGTGACTAGTTAAAAACCAGGACTCTGCCTGGAAAATTATTTATCAATGATACAAAAAAAACTTTCAAAAACAATTACACTATTTTGACCAATCATGCACTACAAAAGAGAAGTGAAGAATTCTCTTTTCAGAAAATTTGATTTCAATACCACTTGCTATCAGCTTAACAATACCAAGAACAAATGTAGCATCCAACGGCACCCATGACATGACAATTACACATGGCATGTACTTCCAAGATANACCACTTGCTATCAGCTTAACAATACCAAGAACAAATGTAGCATCCAACGGCACCCACGACATGACAATTACACATGGCATGTACTTCCAAGATACAACGATCAGGTCTTTTGATTCTCAACCTCGTTTTGCAAAAATGCATATGGCTCAAAGATCCCCTGCCAGTATAACTCAGCTAAGTACTTTTGAAACTACCCCTGCACCAACTGTTCTACCTCCCTCTCTCAGGGCAAATCTTTGTCCTGCAGATAACAAACAATAACTTAAGTTCTTCCCACNAGCCAATACAAGTGACCTGTCATGAGCTTGAACTTCTTCTTGTCATCAGCTTACTAAGTTTTGTAGAGCTAATGTTTTATGGTTTGGATGTATGTAAATTGACCGGAAGTTCACAGCTATCGTGTGCATGCTTGTGTCAGTGGGGAATCCAACTTATATATACTGACTCATTTAGATTTATCGACGGATTGGAGGGGCTACTGGAACTTCTATGAATGGATCTTTATCTATGCCTCATTGTCCATCTAAATGGTTGCAAATCATTTGTCATCTCCTACAACTTTGATTAAATACTTACTTTGATGGATGTTGTTTGGTAGCTGTGGATGAAAAATTGCCCTAAATGTTTATCTCGGTGCTGTAGACTCGTACTTCAGTCATCTTTCATCAGTTTTAAACATGTTGGCTCCCTAGGTCTATATGTAGTTTTGCCGCCGCTGGAAAATAATAAGCTAACAAGAAATGAAAGTAACTGTACTTCTGAATGAAGCCGGTTATTTGAAGTAGTTGCAAGGCATGACCATAATGCAGATCGCAATTTGAATAAGCATTGCTCACGAGAGAATGCATCACTTATTAGAAAACACTAACTACAAATCCAAACACTACACAAATGACAAACACTTAACGAAGCAAGCAAAAATTACCGCAGGTAATGTGTGCCGGTAGCATGTAGTGACTAGTTAAAAACCAGGACTCTGCCTGGAAAATTATTTATCAATGATACAAAAAAAACTTTCAAAAACAATTACACTATTTTGACCAATCATGCACTACAAAAGAGAAGTGAAGAATTCTCTTTTCAGAAAATTTGATTTCAATACCACTTGCTATCAGCTTAACAATACCAAGAACAAATGTAGCATCCAACGGCACCCATGACATGACAATTACACATGGCATGTACTTCCAATATCCAACGATCAGGTCTTTTGATTCTCAACCTCGTTTTGCAAAAATGCATATGGCTCAAAGATCCCCTGCCAGTATAACTCAGCTAAGTACTTTTGAAACTACCCCTGCACCAACTGTTCTACCTCCCTCTCTCAGGGCAAATCTTTGTCCTGCAGATAACAAACAATAACTTAAGTTCTTCCCACTTTCTGAGATCCATGACCCAGAAATCTATCGAAAATATGATAAAAGGAAAAAAAAAGAAAAAGAAAGCAGATTATGTGGCATATTTGACAATTATTTAAGTGACAAGTCAAGACAACAACAGAGGTCTATGTATAATCAGTTGTGAACCTCTGTGCATTGGTGTTGAAGCTTTCAAGTCAATCAGATGAAATAAATCATCGAAGAAAAAATTGGTGGTCTTTAATGTCCAAAAATGGGTGCTGGGATTCCAATAAAATATGTCAAATAAAAAAATACAAGCAATAAAATGAGAGTAGGAATGGGATCAAATTAAGGGTTGAATACCATTTCCCCCTTCTACCCCCCCTCCCCCAAGGCAAGTTTTTCTCGGGAGTCATAGGAAGAGAGAGAAGTAGGGGGTTGGGGAAGGTTTTCCCCTAATCCAAAAATGAAAACCAAAAAGGTAATGTAAGGAGAATCTAATGAAATAATACAGGGGCCCTTTATTCCAAAGTAACCAAGGGTCACCAAAGGCACTTCTTCAAGCACCCAAAAAAAAGAAGATTATTTCACAGCAGCAGCAGCTAGTACCTAAAAGATCTGAAAATACTTGTACTCCAGCACAAGTATCAAAATCAATGGTTGTTCTTTAGAAACATTGTATTTTCATACAAACATTATATTTGTTGTCATAATTCAAAAAAAATATATAAAGTTGTCATGATGAGGGGCAGGAAGGCATGCAACATTTCTTTTTCTTTTCTGATTATGAATGAAAATTTCAAAATTTGACCGAACAGGGTATGACTGTTCTTGCCCTTTTCTTTTGGAAGATGATGTCTATACACACCTGATTCAAGTGGAACTGGGGAAATCAGCTCAAAAACAGCAGTCACATTGTCTCCAGGCATAACCATCTTAACATTTTCAGGCAACTCCACTTTACCAGTAATATCTGCAGTTCGCAAGTAGAACTGAGGCCTGTAGTTTGAGAAGAAGGCAGTGTGGCGTCCACCTTCATCTTTCGTAAGGACATATATCTCCGCCTCAAACCTCTTGTATGTTTTCACAGAACCAGGCTTCGCAATCACCTATTCGATTATAAGACACCAGAAGATAATGAAATTACATCCTCCCAGTTTTATTTTCACCATTAAATTCCAAAATCAGATTTCAGTTTCATCATATATTTCAAAAAAGTGTTCTGGAGAACCACTACAGTGTTCAGATCTTTACATGGGTTGTTTGAACACATCATGCATCAAAAGAAATGAGTCTCTGTATTTTGCAACAGGTGACTAGAAACTCCTATGCATCACTAATGATAAATAAGTGATCCTTAATAAAGTCAATGAGAAGAAAATAATTAATCCAACAAAGAACAGAAAAGAAGATTGAACAGACAAATAATTTGCTTCACACTTTCAAGTATATGGAAAGTTGCTCAAGTTCTCCCATTTGGAATTTTGATAAATTGAGAAAAGCATTTAAACGATGAGTTATACTCTACATCCTGCTATGGTTTCCAGAATACCGTACTGAGCAGATTCAATTATCAACTTACCTGTCCCCGCTGTATATCGTCCCGCTTTAAACCACGTAGAAGAAGACCGACATTATCCCCAGCCTAGTAAAATGCAAAAACTTGCAATCAGTTCCAGACAGATGCATTAGTATCTTAAAAGGTTTAGAACCAGTCACTTGCCTGTCCAAAATCCAAGATTTTCTTGAACATCTCAACACCAGTCACTGTAGATTTTAGATTACCCTAGAGTGGACAGAGCTATAGACGTTAGAAGCAGCATTCCTTATCAAGTTAGACTACAAAGATTAAAGCACTTCAGAGAAAGATCAATAGAAAGAAAATGCATCACATTTCACCATTAATGACTCAGTATATTGCTCGTAGAACAAAATCAACAGCTCAAAGAAATTATGAGAGAGAAGTTNACCATTAATGACTCAGTATATTGCTCGTAGAACAAAATCAACAGCTCAAAGAAATTACGAGAGAGAAGTTGANTCACATCAGTTCAAATACGATCCGTTGACGGACCAAACATATATAGTAATGCCCCCCACCCCGGGCCCACATCCTCCAATTTGTGTTATTTTTGATGTAACACCGTTAGATAGAGAGATAAGGATTGTTTCGTAACATCGCTTAAGATTTAAAACTTAATACTTTAAGCACTTAGTAAACTAGCAATGCACCACATGTATTGCACGTAAATAATTTTTTTTNGAGAGAGAGTTGCAACAGCGTGTTCCATAAGAAGTAAATTTGCCAAAACTAATTTTACACATTCACCTGCATCAGCCCCAAAATCTCAACATCCTCCCCAACTTTAATTGTCCCTTGTTCAACACGGCCAGTAGCAACAGTTCCACGTCCCTACAAACCACAAATGAATAAATCAGAGCTATAAGAGCGCTAAGGGTTGTTCAAAAAACAAACATCTACAAAAGAAGAAAATTTATTTGCTAGTTTCCCGAGGAGGGATAACACAGCAGCTTAGTACAAAAACAAATAACTTTAACGAAATCGATTAACACATTTGTAGCACAAACAAAAACATTATTGCAGCAATACCAGATCCATTATAAAATATATAGCAGAGAAGAAAGAAATTTTCCACCATTAGGCGATGGGGTTAGTTCCTCAACAGGCATAATGCAAATAGACATCTTATTACCTGAATCGAAAAAACATCTTCAATTGGCATTAAGAAAGGCTTGTCAAGCTGGCGTACAGGATCTGGAATGTATTCGTCAACAGCATCCATGAGTTTCAAAATAGCTTTTTTCCCTATTTCTTCATTTGTACCTTGTAAAGCAGACAAAGCTGAACCCCGGATGATGGGGATTTCATCCCCAGGAAACTTGTAGAAGTTAAGAAGCTCTGCGATATTATAAGTTCATGTGAAACAATATTAAGTGCAGTTACAATATTGTTTAACCCAGCCACTGATGTGCATGAACATACTCAAAAGCTATCTTACCTCGGAGCTCCATTTCCACAAGTTCCAGCAACTCTGGATCATCAACAGCATCAACCTTATTCAAAAAGCACACAAGTGATGGCACACCAACCTGTATAATGCCAAAGAGGAAGAACCTTATATACATAGCTGCACCAACCAGTGTTATCGATAGTCAAATGCACAAGCTAAAATTGCTCAAATTCAGCTAGCAATAGACACACCTGGCGTGCAAGTAGAATATGTTCCTTTGTCTGCGGCATAGGCCCGTCAGGGGCAGATACAACCAAAATCCCTCCATCCATCTGGGCAGCTCCCGTAATCATGTTCTGTAATCAAAGTAAATTATTAAAACGTGTAGAGCATAGTCGCTAAAATCTTCAAAATCTCAATTCCAGTCTTGTAATTCAATCTGATTCAACACCGTCATGATGTGAATTGGTAGTTCGAATCTCTTTAGAGGATCTATGCGATTCATATGGAAACACACGAGACACTATGATTGAACTAAAAAAGATTCATTCTATGCAGTAATCTATTAATTGACATATAAAATAGTTCTGNTGTGAATTGGTAGTTCGAATCTCTTTAGAGGATCTATGCGATTCATATGGAAACACATGAGACACTATGATTGAACTAAAAAAGATTCATTCTATGCAGTAATCTATTAATTGACATATAAAATAGTTCTATTACAAATTATGGCTACTAACAAAATTAAACCAGGAACCAAATTTATGTTGTATTGAGTTGGCAACACTTTCTTTTTCCTAAACAAATCAAAAAATTTAATACAAAAGTTTTGGGCAAGCATAAAACAAGACTCCACAACCCTAACTCAATTTGAAAAACAAAGAATTTGATTCAAGAGACAAATCTTGATTCGACAACAATGGTGTAGAGAACATAAGACTGTACAACCGAAGAGATCCACACAGTTAATCAATTCACAAGTAGGAATCATAGTCAAAAATTTGCTAGTCACTTCAAAATTCAAATGAAACAAATCTAGGAAAATGTAGGGATACCACTTTCATAACAAGCAGAATACATACTAATAAAGAATACCAATTTGGACATGCAAAAGTATCTTAACTATCTCTTATCAGGAACCTAAATATCTGATTTCAAAGTTCAGCAACACTGAGTTCCCTCCCTTTTCCTTTGTCTAGAGCTCTTAACCACACAATTGCATAAGTTAAGGAAAGTAAGTGGAATGTCTACATCTTATTTATTTATTTACTCATTCAGCTATGTGTGGGAAACAATTAGTCCACAGCAGGTGCTGAAAAACTTAAGACACTCAAACAAGGAAGACAGCAATGAAGATTTAGCAAGTAAGAACAATGGTAAGGAATGAAATAATTGAACAAGTTACATTATTTTGTTTCCAATAGGACTACTAAAAAGGTCTTACTTTAACATAATCTGCATGACCAGGGCAATCTACATGAGCATAGTGCCTCTTAGTAGTCTCATACTCCACATGTGCCTGCAACAAGTTGAACACTGGAATCAAGAACGAAATATAGAAGATCATTTTCTTGAAAGAAGTAAGATGGAGACAACAATAAAGGATCAAAGAGCATGCAATATTCTAACCGTTGCAATAGTAATTCCCCTCTTTTTCTCTTCAGGGGCCTTATCGATCTCATCAAACGCAACAGCCTTGGCCTTCCCTTCTTCTGCCAACACCTGAAAAAGGCACATGTGCATTTTAGAGGCTGGAAAACTGAAAAAAAAAAAAGAATCTAACGCAAAGCATCCCACATTGCAATTCCTAATATCTTAGTTACTCAAAGAAAGAAGAAGATAGTAGTAGTTTAAAAACTGCAAGAAAGAGACGATCAAATGCCTCGACTACCAAACCTTTGTGATTGCAGCAGTCAGTGTTGTCTTTCCATGATCAACATGTCCAATTGTTCCTACATTAACGTGGGGTTTTCTGCCAAAACATCAATTAGATTAGAAACACAACTTGAAACTCACTGAAACACAAATTGCCCATTTTCCCTTTACTTTCTTGCCTTCATTTTTTCTATTGAGATTAAAATGACATATTCCTGAACAAATATGGCGAGCAATCAAAATAAGAACCCATTCCTTCTGTCAGTTTACAGAATCAGAAAAATAAAGAAAAACAGTGCTTTTGGACAGATTTGTCAGGCACCCTTTTTGTAGGAATTTTGCCAGTGACATCTTTCTTTAGATAGACAAACAAGATGACAAAAGAACATGCAATTTTACTCTGAAATAAAGAAAAAGGCAATGTCAAAATGGGCAGTCACTTTTAGCAAATCACAGACAGTCACTTTTAGCAGTAATGAAACGAACACTATTAGATGCATATATATTGGTGGGGAGTTTGGACTCACGTTCTAGTAAAGGTGGCCATGGATCTCCACCATGGGTTGGGGAGTGTTGCACTCTCATTTGGAGAGAGAAATTCAGAGACTGAGAAATGGGAGGAGACCGATCCGCGACAACATGAGTACAATTGAGGATATAGGGTCAGCAATCGCTTGGAATTAGGGTTTCTAAATGCAACCGTAGCCATGGCTAAAGAAGAAGACAGAGAGGATAGCGAGAGAGAGACTGTAGAAATAGAATGAGGTGATATGGCGGTTTTGGGGTTTTACGGCTTCTCCCTCACCTCCCTCTACCTCCAGGGTTTTAGAAACTTTAGGGCTCCCTCATTCTGGGTGAAAAAATACGACGTCGTATATTGCCAATTCGGATACTGGCCTTGGGTATGTTCTGATTAAGCCCATCAATGCATCGGATTTTGACGTGAATCCGATCCAAATTTAAATTCGATTGATTGGATATAAATTAATATTTTTTATCGATAATTTAAATTTAAATTCAAATCAGATCAATTTTTTGGATCGAATTTTAGAATTTTCGCAAATTCAAATATGAATCACAAAAAAATAAAATCCATGGTATTACCGGATCGAATTTTTAAACTTGAATTTAGATCACATCAGTTCAAATACGATCCGTTGACGGACCAAACATATATAGTAATGCCCCCCACCCCGGGCCCACATCCTCCAATTTGTGTTATTTTTGATGTAACACCGTTAGATAGAGAGATAAGGATTGTTTCGTAACATCGCTTAAGATTTAAAACTTAATACTTTAAGCACTTAGTAAACTAGCAATGCACCACATGTATTGCACGTAAATAATTTTTTTAAAAAAAAATTAATAAAAATATATTTGGTATATGGGTACTTGAATTAAATATTATCTCAAATTTACCAAATTTATTTTTTCAGCTCTCATGCTCCACTATAAAATTTTTAAAAACTTTGTTTATTTTCGAGAGTTATTGTTTTAACTTTAAGAAAAATAATAAAAAAAAGAAAATAAATAATTAAAGTTCTATTTTGTTTCTATAGTTTTGTAATTGAAAGTGATTTTTTAGTGATATTTGAAAATTAAATTTTTCAAAATTAATTTGATTAAGATTCCACTTATAAATCATTGAATAAAATAAAAATAATTTATCAGTATACCAATCGTATTAGAACTTACTGTATTTAAGATTAGTTAGGTCAATTGAGATAAAATATAATATACAACGTCATAATATATATTATAAACCATATTAAAATTTTTTAAAAATTCAAGTTTTCACATAAAATGTTAACACAGTTTAATAAATTTATTGCAACTAAAAAATTACGTAAAACTATATATACATTATTTTTTATTTTAAAAATAAAATGGTTAAACATTTGATGAAAAATAACATATATATATGTAGTCATAATATTATCTTTATAAATGAGATGAGTATTATTATATTGATGGAGTTTTTGAAAATTTTGTTAAAATTTAAAATAATGCATATATTTTTTAAAAATAGCATAATCAATAAAAAGGTTTCATAAAAATTGATATTTATAAATAGAGAATAGATAATTAGAAAATTAATTTGATTAAAAATCTACTTATAAATCATTGAATAAAATAAAAATAATTATCAATATACCAATCATATTAGAATCTTACTGTGTTTAGGATTATCTAGATTAATTGGAATCAAATTTAATATACAATTCTATAATATATATTATAAAGCATATTAATTTTTTTTAAAAAAAATAAAGTTTTCACATAAAATCTTAACAAAGTCTGCAAAATTTACTGTGACTAAAAAATCATGTAAAAATATATATATATATATTTTTTTTATCTTAAAAATGAAAGGGTTAAACATTTTGAATAAAAATAAAAATAAAAATATGTAGTCATATTATTATATTTGTAAATAAGGTGAGTAATATTATATGATGGAATTTTTGAAGGCTTTTTTGAATATTTGTTAAAACTTATAATGACGCATATATTTTTTAAGAGTAATATAATCAATCAAAAAGTTTCATAAAAATTGACATTTATATATAGAGAATATATAACTAAAAGTGATCTTAGATGTAATTTAGACATCAATCAAAAAGTTTCATAGAAATTGACATTTATATATAGGGAATATATAATTAAAAGTGATCTTAGATGTTATTTAGAGATTTAAATGCATAAGGATATGATGATAATTTAGATATTAAGTGTGAAATGATAGAATGACCGTTTTAATTATTTATGAGGGTAAAATAGTGAATTAAATTTTTTTAATGTTAAGCTACTTTTTTTAGTAATATAAATATAGATATAGATATAAATTAATACTACTTAATATCTTAACTACTTCTTAAGAATAAGTTAAAATTTTAAATAGTAAATTACCTATTTATTACGTAATGCTCAAAATATTAGTCAGTAAGAATTTTATTAATTCCTCATAATGGACAAATATACCTTCAATCCATCTTACACTCTTGACTTTTCAATATCCACTATCCGCCACAACCACCACCATTGTATTGTCGCCGCTACCACCTCTACTGTCACCATTGTGCCATCGTCATCACCACCACCATCATTGTGCGACCACTATCACTACTATCATTGTGTCATCACCACTACCACTATCATTATGTTATCGCAACCACCATCATTGTATTGTCATCGCCACCACCACTGTCATTGTCACCCACCACCACCATTGTGTCACTATCACCACCACCACCATCATTATCACCGTTATCACCACCATTGCCGTTATCACCGGTACCATTATGTTATCACTAACCCCACCACCATTATGCCTCCACTGTGACCACCATTGTATTGTCACTACCACTACCACCACCACCACTGTCGGCACCACCCTCATTATTGTGACGGTGGGGGTAGGTAGAGGTGTTAATTGATNCCATCAATGCATCGGATTTTGACGTGAATCCGATCCAAATTTAAATTCGATTGATTGGATATAAATTAATATTTTTTATCGATAATTTAAATTTAAATTCAAATCAGATCAATTTTTTGGATCGAATTTTAGAATTTTCGCAAATTCAAATATGAATCACAAAAAAATAAAATCCATGGTATTACCGGATCGAATTTTTAAACTTGAATTTAGATCACATCAGTTCAAATACGATCCGTTGACGGACCAAACATATATAGTAATGCCCCCCCCCGGGCCCACATCCTCCAATTTGTGTTATTTGATGTAACACCGTTAGATAGAGAGATAAGGATTGTTTCGTAACATCGCTTAAGATTTAAAGCTTAATACTTTAAGCACTTAATAAACTAGCAATGCACCACATGTATTGCCCGTAAATAATTTTTTTANATTAAAATTTGAGCCAATTAAAATTTATTTTTCAACATATTAAAATTTGAGCCAATTAAAATTCGATCCAGACTGATTAAATTTTATTTTTTTAAGTATTAAATTTGACCTTATTGAATTTGTTTTTATCTATTAAAATTTAAGTTGATTTGAACTTAACCTGAGCTGCTAACGCAATTTAAAATTTGATTTGATTCGAGTCGATCAAAATTTATATTTTTTATTTATTAAAATTAGTGCTAATTAAAATTTAATTAAAATTTATTTTACGTATAAAAATTTAAGTCAATTAAAATTTATATTTTTTTATGTATCAAAATTCAGGTCAATTAAAATTTAATGCAAGTTAATTAAAATTTGATTCGAACCGATTAAAAACGACTCAAATTTTAATACATAAAAAATAGAATTTTTAATCGACTCGAATTTTAGTACGTAAAAAATATAATTTTTAATCAATTCAAATTTTAATACATAAAATATAAATTTTAATTGGCTTGAATTTTAATTAAAGATATGTAAAAAAAAAATCAAAAATACGTAAAAAAAAATCAAAAAATAGAGAGGATCTCGTTAAAGATATATCTATTTAGAGGAAATGTGGATGAAATTTTTCTTAAAATATATTATGACTAATTTAGTAAAATTATATTTTAATTAACGCCATTAATTTAGGTGTAAGTTAAGATTCAAAATATGGAGAGAGTATTTCTGAAAATATAATAAACTAAAAATGACGTGACTGAAATTTTTCCCATCAAAATTGTCCATCTTACTTCTCATTTGCATAGCCGCTTGGCCCTCTCTAGCCTAGGCTAGCCCAAGTAGGGGTTGGTTTGGAACGTAAAAATAACGCAGGCCCGGTGTAATATTGTTGAAAAGTGGGGGGACAAATTAGACAATACATGTTATTTCATCTCCACCTACCAACCGAGACCTTCCTTTGCGTTCCGTCCANGTGTGAAATGATAGAATGACCGTTTTAATTATTTATGAGGGTAAAATAGTGAATTAAAATTTTTTAATGTTAAGCTACTTTTTTTAGTAATATAAATATAGATATAGATATAAATTAATACTACTTAATATCTTAACTACTTCTTAAGAATAAGTTAAAATTTTAAATAGTAAATTACCTATTTATTACGTAATGCTCAAAATATTAGTCAGTAAGAATTTTATTAATTCCTCATAATGGACAAATATACCTTCAATCCATCTTACACTCTTAACTTTTCCATATCCACTATCCGCCACAACCACCACCATTGTATTGTCGCCGCTACCACCTCTACTGTCACCATTGTGTCATCGTCATCGCCACCACCACCACCACCATCATTGTGCGACCACTATCACCACTATCATTGTGTCATCACCACTACCACTATCATTATGTTATCGCCACCACCATCATTGTATTGTCATCGCCACCACCACTGTCATTGTCACCCACCACCACCATTGTGCTACTGCCATCACCGCTACTATTATCACCATCACCCACCACCATTGTGCCACTATCACCACCACCACCATCATTACCACCGTTACCACCACCATTGCCGTTATCACCAGTACCATTATGTTATCACTAACCCCACCACCATTATGCCTCCACTATGACCACCATTGTATTGTCACTACCACTACTACTACCACCACCACCACCACTGTCGGCACCACCCTCATTATTGTGACGGTGGGGGTAGGTAGAGGTGTTAATTGATCTGAATTCGAACTTAATAGTTCGACTATTTACACATAAACGAGCATGCTTGTTTGACTATTTACACATTAACGAGCTTAAAAAAATGTTAAAGTTTGGCTTGATTAACAGTCCTAGGGGTAGGGATGAGGTAGTTACAATGGATGGCTAAAGAGAAAGACAAAATTAAAATAATAATAATTTTTAAGTTTCAGTTTCTTATATTTGTCAAACAGTTTGATTTAATTAAATATTTAATTTTCAATTGATACCAAATAATTTGTAAATTAAAAAATTTAATATTCAGTATTCAATTTTTAATATTTAGCTTTCAATTTTATTAAACATCACCTAAAAAAATAATAAAATTTAACAACAAATGATGGCTATTAAATCAACCGTTCACCTCACCAAACCCTCCAAGATGATTTGTTCATTCTTAGATATGCCACGAAATTAACGATGCAAAAAGGAATGGATCGGAATTGAGTTGAGTTGGTATATGTTTATCGTCAGATTTATATCAATTTTACTCAATAAACGAATTTGGTTTGTCCATTCAATTATAATTTAAATTCATACCTTATAGATTTAAATTAATTTCATATCAAATTAATAAAAATAATATTTAAAAGAAAAAAATTCAGTCATCTAATTTAATTTGAATCCAAAATATTATTGTCATCCCCTACTAGTTTATGTTTAAATATCACTGACACTCTCTACCGCTAAATCACCATTTCTAACAAAAATAAATTCTTCTAAAATACTAAAATTATCCTTTACATAAATTTCAAATAATTTTTCTACACAAAATTTGATTAAAATTCGAGTCGATTAAAATTTATTTTTTTATATATTAAAATTTGAGCCAATTAAAATTTATTTTTCAACATATTAAAATTTGAGCCAATTAAAATTCGATCCAAACTGATTAAATTTTATTTTTTTAAGTATTAAATTTGACCTTATTGAATTTGTTTTTATCTATTAAAATTTAAGTCGATTTGAACTTAACCTGAGCTGCTAGCGCAATTTAAAATTTGATTTGATTCGAGTCGATTAAAATTTATATTTTTTATTTATTAAAATTAGTGCTAATTAAAATTTAATTTAAATTGATTAAAATTTATTTTACGTATAAAAATTTAAGTCAATTAAAATTTATATTTTTTTATGTATCAAAATTCAGGTCAATTAAAATTTAATGCAAGTTGATTAAAATTTGATTCGAACCGATTAAAAACGACTCAAATTTTAATACATAAAAAATAGAATTTTTAATCGACTCGAATTTTAGTACGTAAAAAATATAATTTTTAATCAATTCAAATTTTAATACATAAAATATAAATTTTAATTAGTTCAAATCAAATTTTAATCGGCTTGAATTTTAATTAAAGATATGTAAAAAAAATCAAAAATAAGTAAAAAAAAATCAAAAAATAGAGAGGATCTCGTTAAAGATATATCTATTTAGAGAAAATGTGGATGAAATTTTTCTTAAAATATATTATGACTAATTTAGTAAAATTATATTTTAATTAACGCCATTAATTAAGATTCAAAATATGGAGAGAGTATTTCTGAAAATATAATAAACTAAAAATGACGTGACTGAAATTTTTCCCATCAAAATTGTCCATCTTACTTCTCATTTGCATAGCCGCTTGGCCCTCTCTAGCCTAGGCTAGCCCAAGTAGGGGTTGGTTTGGAACGTAAAAATAACGCAGGGCCGGTGTAATATTGTTGAAAAGTGGGGGGATAAATTAGACAATACATGTTATTTCATCTCCACCTACCAACCGAGTTGCGTTCCCTTAACGATATTGGTGTAGTTTAATTTATTCCATTGCCTTTGCCGCAGCTATCTTCTTCCACTCGCCATGGCTCTCATCTTCTTCTCTCTCCTGACAATAGCATTAGAATTCTTGTATTTGCGTGGGGTTACACCATTCAACTTCAGTTATCCGGCAGTCTTCAACTTCGGTGATTCAAATTCAGACACCGGTGGCCTCGCCGCCGGGATTGCTTTCCCTGTGGGGCCGCCGAATGGACAAACCTATTTCCTGAAGCCATCAGGACGATTCTGTGATGGCCGTTTGATCATCGATTTTTTGAGTAATGTATCTTCACCTTGTAACTAGCTATTACGAGAATAAATTACAAGAGCTTTTGAATGCAATTAATTTAGCAAATGTCTCAAATATGAGGTACCAAACTTACTCTGTAGCGATTAGAATACGCAGTGAGATTTTAACTTTGATCCAACATTGGTTTGATAGATTGATGAATATAATTGCTTGAATAGTATAGGTAGACGAAGTGGTAACGAGGATGAACTGTAAATTCGAATTTTTTGAATTCGAATCTTGATTATCTCTTGGAGTTAGACCATAAAGATTCCTCGTAAATACCCTAGATCCGGTGTAAATTGTCTGCCTTATACCAAATCAAAAAAAAAATTAGTTAAAGTATACGTAAACTAACTTAAACAATACTGACCCTCGAATAAATATATAAAAAAAAATGATTATAGATAGATGCAAAACAATAAACTAGCTGGGCCAACTCTCCTACCANAAAAAATATAATTTTTAATCAATTCAAATTTTAATACATAAAATATAAATTTTAATTAGTTCAAATCAAATTTTAATCGGCTTGAATTTTAATTAAAGATATGTAAAAAAAATCAAAAATAAGTAAAAAAAAATCAAAAAATAGAGAGGATCTCGTTAAAGATATATCTATTTAGAGAAAATGTGGATGAAATTTTTCTTAAAATATATTATGACTAATTTAGTAAAATTATATTTTAATTAACGCCATTAATTAAGATTCAAAATATGGAGAGAGTATTTCTGAAAATATAATAAACTAAAAATGACGTGACTGAAATTTTTCCCATCAAAATTGTCCATCTTACTTCTCATTTGCATAGCCGCTTGGCCCTCTCTAGCCTAGGCTAGCCCAAGTAGGGGTTGGTTTGGAACGTAAAAATAACGCAGGGCCGGTGTAATATTGTTGAAAAGTGGGGGGATAAATTAGACAATACATGTTATTTCATCTCCACCTACCAACCGAGTTGCGTTCCCTTAACGATATTGGTGTAGTTTAATTTATTCCATTGCCTTTGCCGCAGCTATCTTCTTCCACTCGCCATGGCTCTCATCTTCTTCTCTCTCCTGACAATAGCATTAGAATTCTTGTATTTGCGTGGGGTTACACCATTCAACTTCAGTTATCCGGCAGTCTTCAACTTCGGTGATTCAAATTCAGACACCGGTGGCCTCGCCGCCGGGATTGCTTTCCCTGTGGGGCCGCCGAATGGACAAACCTATTTCCTGAAGCCATCAGGACGATTCTGTGATGGCCGTTTGATCATCGATTTTTTGAGTAATGTATCTTCACCTTGTAACTAGCTATTACGAGAATAAATTACAAGAGCTTTTGAATGCAATTAATTTAGCAAATGTCTCAAATATGAGGTACCAAACTTACTCTGTAGCGATTAGAATACGCAGTGAGATTTTAACTTTGATCCAACATTGGTTTGATAGATTGATGAATATAATTGCTTGAATAGTATAGGTAGACGAAGTGGTAACGAGGATGAACTGTAAATTCGAATTTTTTGAATTCGAATCTTGATTATCTCTTGGAGTTAGACCATAAAGATTCCTCGTAAATACCCTAGATCCGGTGTAAATTGTCTGCCTTATACCAAATCAAAAAAAAAATTAGTTAAAGTATACGTAAACTAACTTAAACAATACTGACCCTCGAATAAATATATAAAAAAAAATGATTATAGATAGATGCAAAACAATAAACTAGCTGGGCCAACTCTCCTACCAACCCTCCTAGACTTCCTGCGTTCTCGCCTACAATTCAATTTTTCTCATAATTATGAATTGATAGATGTCCATGTAAGTGGTTAAGGATGGGTGATCCTCGAGAAGTCCTCGTGTTGTACCCAATTAAAAAAATAAAAAAAAAAAAAACNTCTCTAGCCTAGGCTAGCCCAAGTAGGGGTTGGTTTGGAACGTAAAAATAACGCAGGGCCGGTGTAATATTGTTGAAAAGTGGGGGGATAAATTAGACAATACATGTTATTTCATCTCCACCTACCAACCGAGTTGCGTTCCCTTAACGATATTGGTGTAGTTTAATTTATTCCATTGCCTTTGCCGCAGCTATCTTCTTCCACTCGCCATGGCTCTCATCTTCTTCTCTCTCCTGACAATAGCATTAGAATTCTTGTATTTGCGTGGGGTTACACCATTCAACTTCAGTTATCCGGCAGTCTTCAACTTCGGTGATTCAAATTCAGACACCGGTGGCCTCGCCGCCGGGATTGCTTTCCCTGTGGGGCCGCCGAATGGACAAACCTATTTCCTGAAGCCATCAGGACGATTCTGTGATGGCCGTTTGATCATCGATTTTTTGAGTAATGTATCTTCACCTTGTAACTAGCTATTACGAGAATAAATTACAAGAGCTTTTGAATGCAATTAATTTAGCAAATGTCTCAAATATGAGGTACCAAACTTACTCTGTAGTGATTAGAATACGCAGTGAGATTTTAACTTTGATCCACCATTGGTTTGATAGATTGATGAATATAATTGCTTGAATAGTATAGGTAGACGAACGCTATAGTTGTTCAAGCGGTAACGAGGATGAACTGTAAATTCGAATTTTTTGAATTCGAATCTTGATTAACTCTTGGAGTTAGACCATAAAGATTTCTCGTAAATACCCTAGATCCGGTGTAAATTGTCTGCCTTAGACCAAATCAAAAAAAAATTAGTTAAAGTATACGTAAACTGACTTAAACAATACTGACCCTTGAATAAATATATGAAAAAAAATGATTATAGATAGATGCAAAACAATAAACTAGCTGGGTCAACTCTCCTACCCACCCTCCTAGACTTCCTGCGTTCTCGCCTACAATTCAATTTTTCTCATAATTATGAATTGATAGATGTCCATGTAAGTGGTTAAGGATGGGTGATCCTCGAGAAGTCCTCGTGTTGTACCCAATTAAAAAAATAAAAAAAAAAAAAACAAAAGTGGTTAAGAAAGTTATCTTTCTATGTTGCAGTGGATACAATGGGTGTGTCACCCCTTAATTCATACTTGGATTCTGTTGGTGCACCGAGTTTCGAGAGGGGGTGTAATTTTGCTACCGGAGGATCGACCATACTTCCAGCCAATGCAAACTCCATAAGCCCATTTTCGTTTCGAATCCAGGTGGCTCAGTTTGTCAGATTTAAGGCCCGAGTTCTTGAATTACTAGCAAAAGGTATCAATAACTAATCTCTTAGATGACCGTTAAACCAAAAAAAGTTAGTTTCTTAAACATGGTTATACTTTATTTACGTTCATATAAAATATGACTAATTTTTCAGTTTGAATTATTGGTTTCAGACAAAAAGTTACGAAAATTCCTACCTTCAGAAGACTCTTTCAGGCAGGGTCTTTACATGTTTGACATTGGCCAGAATGATCTCGACGCTGCATTGTATTCAAAATCTGAGGATCAAGTCACTGCTTTAATTCCAACTATCTTGGCAGAATTAGAGATAGGAATAAAGGTCCTCTTGGCAAAAGACTGTATCATCAATCATATATATGTTTGGTCTTTCATTGTTTATTCAATTTCCAAGTTTCGTGCCTTGCAGACACTTTATAATGAAGGCGCGAGGAATTTTTGGATTCATAACACGGGTCCTCTTGGATGTTTACCTAGAATAATTGCCATATTTGGGAAAGACCCTTCCACGTTGGATGAAGTTGGATGTGTCAAAGTTCACAACCATGCTGCTATGCTTTTCAACACACAACTCCATTCTCTATCCATGAAGTTCCAAGAACAACTTCCTGAATCCAACGTCACTTATACCGACATCTTTTCCATAAAATTTAACCTCATTTCGAATTTCTCTCAACTTGGTAAATTGGTTTATGAATTTACCAATCTTCTATGTACTCTGTACCATTATCGGGATTGTTAATTGTCTATTGTTTTTCAGGTTTCAAGCAGCCTTTATCAGCTTGTTGTGGGTATGGTGGTCCTCCGTTGAATTTTGATACTCGGATAGCCTGTGGAGAAACCAAGAACCTGAATGGTACATTGGTGACTGCAAAACCATGCAATAACACTGATGAATATGTAAATTGGGATGGGAATCATTACACAGAAGCTGCAAATCTATTCATTTCATCACAAATCCTTTCAGGAAAGTACTCTGGACCCGCCTCTATTGATGAATATCCCATTTTTAGCTGGCTTCAAGTTGAATGAGTACAGATTATAGTACTAACTTGTATTGGCTTTGTTTGGATTATTGTACTTAATTTGTTGTATTAACTTGCTTGGGTCACAATTTTTAACCCATTATCCATTACTCCGTTCAATTTGTCCATAAATAAATAGATTGGGTATATATATTAATCAATGCAGATTTTAAATGGATTAGATATTATGATTCATTTTAATTAAATGAGTTAATATGAATTATAAATAAGTACTCATTGATTTAAATATTTATCTTTCTATTAAATAACACAAGTATTAAAATTAAATAAATATATTAATATATCNCATTACTCCGTTCAATTTGTCCATAAATAAATAGATTGGGTATATATATTAATCAATGCAGATTTTAAATGGATTAGATATTATGATTCATTTTAATTAAATGAGTTAATATGAATTATAAATGAGTACTCATTGATTTAAATATTTATCTTTCTATTAAATAACACAAATATTAAAATTAAATAAATATACTAATATATCAAAAAATATACACACTCATGCACTAAAAAATACATATATATATATATTAATACACCAAAATACACTCGNACCCTCCTAGACTTCCTGCGTTCTCGCCTACAATTCAATTTTTCTCATAATTATGAATTGATAGATGTCCATGTAAGTGGTTAAGGATGGGTGATCCTTGAGAAGAAAAAAAGTGGTTAAGAAAGTTATCTTTCTATGTTGCAGTGGATACAATGGGTGTGTCACCCCTTAATTCATACTTGGATTCTGTTGGTGCACCGAGTTTCGAGAGGGGGTGTAATTTTGCTACCGGAGGATCGACCATACTTCCAGCCAATGCAAACTCCATAAGCCCATTTTCGTTTCGAATCCAGGTGGCTCAGTTTGTCAGATTTAAGGCCCGAGTTCTTGAATTACTAGCAAAAGGTATCAATAACTAATCTCTTAGATGACCGTTAAACCAAAAAAAGTTAGTTTCTTAAACATGGTTATACTTTATTTACGTTCATATAAAATATGACTAATTTTTCAGTTTGAATTATTGGTTTCAGACAAAAAGTTACGAAAATTCCTACCTTCAGAAGACTCTTTCAGGCAGGGTCTTTACATGTTTGACATTGGCCAGAATGATCTCGACGCTGCATTGTATTCAAAATCTGAGGATCAAGTCACTGCTTTAATTCCAACTATCTTGGCAGAATTAGAGATAGGAATAAAGGTCCTCTTGGCAAAAGACTGTATCATCAATTATATATATGTTTGGTCTTTCATTGTTTATTCAATTTCCAAGTTTCGTGCCTTGCAGACACTTTATAATGAAGGCGCGAGGAATTTTTGGATTCATAACACGGGTCCTCTTGGATGTTTACCTAGAATAATTGCCATATTTGGGAAAGACCCTTCCACGTTGGATGAAGTTGGATGTGTCAAAGTTCACAACCATGCTGCTATGCTTTTCAACACACAACTCCATTCTCTATCCATGAAGTTCCAAGAACAACTTCCTGAATCCNCCTACCAACCCTCCTAGACTTCCTGCGTTCTCGCCTACAATTCAATTTTTCTCATAATTATGAATTGATAGATGTCCATGTAAGTGGTTAAGGATGGGTGATCCTCGAGAAGTCCTCGTGTTGTACCCAATTAAAAAAATAAAAAAAAAAAAAACAAAAGTGGTTAAGAAAGTTATCTTTCTATGTTGCAGTGGATACAATGGGTGTGTCACCCCTTAATTCATACTTGGATTCTGTTGGTGCACCGAGTTTCGAGAGGGGGTGTAATTTTGCTACCGGAGGATCGACCATACTTCCAGCCAATGCAAACTCCATAAGCCCATTTTCGTTTCGAATCCAGGTGGCTCAGTTTGTCAGATTTAAGGCCCGAGTTCTTGAATTACTAGCAAAAGGTATCAATAACTAATCTCTTAGATGACCGTTAAACCAAAAAAAGTTAGTTTCTTAAACATGGTTATACTTTATTTACGTTCATATAAAATATGACTAATTTTTCAGTTTGAATTATTGGTTTCAGACAAAAAGTTACGAAAATTCCTACCTTCAGAAGACTCTTTCAGGCAGGGTCTTTACATGTTTGACATTGGCCAGAATGATCTCGACGCTGCATTGTATTCAAAATCTGAGGATCAAGTCACTGCTTTAATTCCAACTATCTTGGCAGAATTAGAGATAGGAATAAAGGTCCTCTTGGCAAAAGACTGTATCATCAATCATATATATGTTTGGTCTTTCATTGTTTATTCAATTTCCAAGTTTCGTGCCTTGCAGACACTTTATAATGAAGGCGCGAGGAATTTTTGGATTCATAACACGGGTCCTCTTGGATGTTTACCTAGAATAATTGCCATATTTGGGAAAGACCCTTCCACGTTGGATGAAGTTGGATGTGTCAAAGTTCACAACCATGCTGCTATGCTTTTCAACACACAACTCCATTCTCTATCCATGAAGTTCCAAGAACAACTTCCTGAATCCAACGTCACTTATACCGACATCTTTTCCATAAAATTTAACCTCATTTCGAATTTCTCTCAACTTGGTAAATTGGTTTATGAATTTACCAATCTTCTATGTACTCTGTACCATTATCGGGATTGTTAATTGTCTATTGTTTTTCAGGTTTCAAGCAGCCTTTATCAGCTTGTTGTGGGTATGGTGGTCCTCCGTTGAATTTTGATACTCGGATAGCCTGTGGAGAAACCAAGAACCTGAATGGTACATTGGTGACTGCAAAACCATGCAATAACACTGATGAATATGTAAATTGGGATGGGAATCATTACACAGAAGCTGCAAATCTATTCATTTCATCACAAATCCTTTCAGGAAAGTACTCTGGACCCGCCTCTATTGATGAATATCCCATTTTTAGCTGGCTTCAAGTTGAATGAGTACAGATTATAGTACTAACTTGTATTGGCTTTGTTTGGATTATTGTACTTAATTTGTTGTATTAACTTGCTTGGGTCACAATTTTTAACCCATTATCCATTACTCCGTTCAATTTGTCCATAAATAAATAGATTGGGTATATATATTAATCAATGCAGATTTTAAATGGATTAGATATTATGATTCATTTTAATTAAATGAGTTAATATGAATTATAAATGAGTACTCATTGATTTAAATATTTATCTTTCTATTAAATAACACAAATATTAAAATTAAATAAATATACTAATATATCAAAAAATATACACACTCATGCACTAAAAAATACATATATATATATATTAATACACCAAAATACACTCGCATATTAGCATACCAAAAGCACACACACTAATACACTACTCATGACTTGCGGGTTGACCCATGACCCGACTCATGACCATTGGGTTACCTATGGCCTATGACCCATGTGTTAACCCATAACCCGTTGATCGCCCCATGACCCACAATTAACCCAGACCCATTATTAGTGCATGTTTTAGTGTACTAGTATGTGTATTTTTAATAGGAGTATCAATCATGTCGTGTTCGTGTGACCCGCGTATCGTGTTATTCGTGTCATGTCATTGNACACACTAATACACTACTCATGACTTGCGGGTTGACCCATGACCCGACTCATGACCAGTGGGTTACCTATGGCCTATGACCCATGTGTTAACTCATAACCCGTTGATCGCCCCATGACCCACAATTAACCTAGACCCATTATTAGTGTATGTTTTAGTGTACTAGTATGTGTATTTTTAATAAGAGTATCAATCATGTCGTGTTCGTGTGACCCGCGTATCGTGTCATTATTATTTGTGTCATACTCATGTCAAAACCCACCAAAAAAAAATCTATTTATTGTTTTCTTAGTATTAAATATTAATTTATAGTATTTAATACGTGTACTTAATAATTGTATCAATTTTATAATCGTTCATATCGAGTTTGTATCAACAAGTCACAATTGAAACTCTTGATTTTTAATGTGTTAGTTGTGTGTATGTTGGTGTATTAGTGTGTGTATATTTGTATTTTGATGTACTAATGTGTGTATTGGGGTACTTATGTGTGTCTATTAAGAATTTTAATTATTTTGTGAGTTAATGGAACTTAACCCATTATAACTCATTTAATATGTGAGTGAAAAATTGATTGAATTTATTTTAACGTAATCCAATTTAACCTAATTNTTGAAACTCTTGATTTTTAATGTGTTAGTTGTGTGTATGTTGGTGTATTAGTGTGTGCATGTTTGTATTTTGATGTACTAATGTGTGTATTGGTGTACTTATGTGTGTCTATTAAGAATTTTAATTATTTTGTGAGTTAATGGAATTTAACCCATTATAACTCATTTAATATGTGAGTGAAAAATTGATTGAATTTATTTTAACGTAATCCAATTTAACCTAATCCATAACCAATTCAACCCACTCATTTGCCACCTTTAGTTACCATGATGGGGTGAATCTTGGTCCCATAAATGGTGAAGCCCTGATGTTCTGAGTTTTAATCTTGACAATTCTTTAAGGTCAGATTATGAGATATTTATCCCTCATAGATACTCCAATCTCAGCATAGATAACTTGTATTTGACCAGACATCTAAAGAAATTAATCGAGATGCGTATAAACTAATCCGAACATCTCTTACCATTGAAAAAAACNAATCTTGGTCCCATAAATGGTGAAGCCCTGATGTTCTGAGTTTTAATCTTGACAATTTTTTAAGGTCAGACTATGAGATATTTATCCCTCATGGATACTCCAATCTCAGCGTAGATAACTTGTATTTGACCAGACATCTAAAGAAATTAATCGAGATGCGTATAAATTAATCCGAACATCTCTTACCATTGAAAAAAAACAGAGTTACCATGGTTATTGTGATCCAACAAACTCCCTTCCTTTTACCTTAAAAAGCTACCAAAGGTATAATCGTGTCAATTATGTCTTCATTTCTAGGCTCACATTGTTCTGATCGGTGTTTTTAAGGGATAATTTTGTAAGGAAAGTCTAAACTACAACATATTCTAGGAGACTTCACCCATTAGTGTCTATTACAGTTATTTCTTTCGAAAAAATGCTATGCATAACAAAAAATTTATTAAAAAGGGTTTTTATCAAATAAATGAATAGTACTATGTCTTATGAAAATCATTTTGATCAATATTTTGTGAGACCAAGGGTAATATAAAACTATTAATTCATTTTGTAAGGATGATTTTTGATAATTTTTTTGTATGTAATATGTATAATATTACTCTTTCTTTCGAAGAACGCCTAATCTCTACCTAATCTACCGTAAAATATATATATATATATATATATTGAAGAGAATCAAAATTTTCGTTATGCTCCATTGACTCTATTCTAACATAATTTATTTAAATGAAAAATCATAGAAACTATAAAAAGATCAACAAAATCTAGATAAATTGTTTTCGCTTCTTTTTAACAAAAAATCATTGAACGCTACCAAATTTTTGTTATGACAATTAAGTCATATTTTTTATAATTTATTAAAAATTAGTTCACAATCCTTTCAATCAGTTTCTCGTTTCATTTGAGGAGGTATTTTAGACAAATTAAAAAAAAATTATTTATCCAAACCTAAATCCAATAAGCCGACCCACCCACACGATCAACATCCGCAATCTGTTCTTCAAACTAGCTCAAAACCCTAGTTCTTCCTCACCAAATTAGAGAGATTCTCGGACACATAAATCCAATTACGCAAAGGGCTCAACGGCTTTTAGCGTTATATTTATCACTTCCATGCCGGAACAGGGCCCTTCTTGCGGTTCTTTGTTTTCAATTCCTTCTCACTTCGATTTGCAATGCAGAGCTCGAAATAGAGAGACCACGCAGAAATTGATGATTTTGTTTTCACTCATGGGCTTGAGGGCATCGAGACTGGTGATTTTTTAGGGGTTTATTGGTTTCAGGGGTGGTTGCTTGATGTCATCGCTGGTTGTGGCTGGCTAGTCGGGAAGGAGGAGAGAAGTGGGGTTTGATTGCATGGGCGGGTCGGGTTATTTAATGCAATCTTTCGATTGACTAAAATTAAATAGTTTGACTTTTGACAATCATTGGGTCAGAGATTTATTCCTCGTGATTATACTTGGGTCTCTACATAAATAATTTGATTTTGATCAGATCAAAAAAAAAGATTAGTCGAAATATGTATAAGCTAAACCAGAGGAATAGAATTACTTGACAGTTATATCGAACATTCCTCACGGTTGAACTAAATAAAAAATAAAATTTTTGGAGTAAAATATTGTTTAAGGGTCAAATTGAAATTGGTGATTTTTTCAATTTACTCTAATTTTATTTTTTTAAAAAAAATATTTAAAACTAGGGGCTTTTTACATTTTATATCCTAAAAAATTTTAAAATTTTCACTTTAATGTATAAAAAATATTATAATATGACATTTCTATTAACTTATATTATTTTTTTATCAAAAGACAATTCATTAACATTGATGAAAAAATTAATTGAAAGTTAATAAAGTGGTCACATTACAACACTTTTAATATATTGAAGGTGTAATGTGAAAAAATTATTTTTTAAAACTACAAAATAAAAAATTTGAAATCTTTTAGGTATAAAATATAATTCGCCCAAACATTGGACTTAAAAGTTAAAAAAGTTCTAACACGAAGCCCAAACCACGAGAAATTATTCATTACTGCGGCTCCTAACGACCTAATGCTAGTCTCTTTCTCTCTCACGTTGCCACTTCTTTCAGTTCCTTAACCTTTTCTTCCTACTCCTAGGATCCGATTCTCTCTCTTCCCACAATTCATCCCTTTCTTCTCTAGAAAATCACTCTCAAACCCTAATTCTTTAACCTGGTTTCTCTCTCTCTCTCTCTCTCTTCATATTTGATTTCTCAGTTTCAAATCGAATTGGTTGTCCGCATGCTGTTTCGTAAAAGATGGTTCCATGGGGCGGAATCACATGCTGTTTGAGTTCAGCCGCTCTCTATCTTCTTGGAAGGAGCAGTGGGAGGTTTGTTTGTTGTATTTTCTTCCTTCTTTTCTTTTCTTTCATTGCTTTTTGCCTGAAATCGTACAAGCCATCAATATGTAATCTTGCATTACATCTGATGATTGATTATTTATTTTCCATTCTTTCATTGGTTTTTTCCTGACATATTCCAGACAATTAATATTTAAGCTTGCATTGCAACTGATTGATTAATTATTGTGTTCTTTATCTGTTTTTCTTTTCGAAAAAGGGATGCAGACGTTCTCAAATCCGTTAGCCGAGTCGATCAGTTGAAGGATTTGGGTAAGCAAAAAATTCTTCTTGAAAGTTTACCTTGTTGCAATGTTCTTTTCCAGACAGAGAGAACCAACAATTGATGCGTTGATGTTTCGAGTTTTTGTGTTAATAAGTTGATTACCATAATTGTTTGAAGTTGCTAGTGTTTGCCGCTCTTTGCTGCGCTTTTACTTTCCTCTCTCTCTCTCTCTTTCTCACCTCCATCTTCCCTTTGGGTGTATCTCCTCGAATTTTTGTGCTAATAAGAGGATTCCTGTTTTTTCTTTTCTTTTTCATATTGGTTATTGTTGTTGGCTGTGTAAGAGGATCTGAGGCACTTCAACCCGGCTTCCACCTGTACAGAAAACTCACGATGCTGACTTTCTTGGTCACTCGGATACAAAAGCTGTATACCGGTGGATGCAACATTCTTAATGGGCCACATCCCACAGGTGATGTTCGACAAAGCTTACAAGGAAAAAGATCATCGAAGATTGTGGAATTTACTCCAATCCGAATTCTATGTTCAGAATATTTAAGAAAGAGATCGTGAAATTTTGATCTAGTCTTACACTGCCCTTTGGGGGATGGGAGGTTGCGTTACTTGGGTATAGTGTCTGTCTTATTCTCACTTTTCCAATGGCTCATATTATTTGATTGATGAAACACTGTCTATTACAACTAGTGGATATTAAAGAATTCTTTGATACTTTGTGTCTATGGCAATGAATTTGTATCAGTAAAAACAATTCCGGAGAATTTTTCAGTGACTGATTAGTCTGCTTAATGGCATTGAATGACATCGATAACACTCACTTAAACTTTATGTTTCTCTCTTTGACCTTTCAGCGCAGTTACTCGATACAACATGCAAAGTTGTGCCTTTGGTTGTCACAGTTTCTGGAAGAGTTGGTTCAGAGACACCAATCAATTGCGAGTATAGTGGTCTACGGGGTGTAATTGTGGAGGAAACGGTACATGAACACATATTTGAGGAGCTTAAATTGCAATATTTGATTTTCCTCATTCTCTGGTTAATGTTTGTAAACATTCATTTTGACATCCTTTCAGGCAGAGCAACACTTTTTGAAACACAATGATGCCGGTTCCTGGATACAGGATTCTGCTATGATGCTTTCCATGTGTAAAGAGGTTCCCTGGTACCTGGTGGGAAAACATTACTACACCCCTTACTTCCTCTCTGGACTGTATTATTTATTTTTTGGTTTTAAGATATTAACTAGAGGGTATATATGGTTGCTTCCTTTGTATCAGGATGATGGAACTGGACGTTTATTTGTTGTTGGAGCCCGAAATGCCACAGGTTTGGTATTAACAGTTGGAAGTGAAGTATTTGAGGAGTCTGGGCGATCCCTTGTACGTGGAACATTAGACTATCTCCAAGGTCTTAAGGTTTGTCATGTTCCTGGTATGTTCTCATGATCATACATTATTCTCCCAACCACCTGCATATTTAATGCGGATCCTTTTTTGCAGATGCTTGGAGTCAAGAGGGTTGAACGGGTTCTTCCAACTGGTACAGCGTTGACTGTTGTTGGTGAGGTATGGGGTGTTCTTTGAGGGGAAATACATATTTTTCTTCTTTCTGTCTTTGTGGCTGAAACCCAACATTTTCAACTCCTCACATGCTGGTTACAGGAAAAATGTACAAAACCATCTACGGCATAATAGGAGTGGTAACAAATAATGAATTGCTAATACATGACGAACATTCAATTCTATTCTATTATCCTCCAGATAGGATGCAACTCACTAGCCATTTAGTAGTTCTTCTTAAGAGTTTGCAAATGGCATTGTGGTTTCTAGGAAGACATGTAGCATTTGATGTCACATGGACACATGTTTTGGATCTTCCCACGATGCTATAATCAAGCAATTTGTTCCAACTTATTACCTTGTTCAAGTAATTCTGATTGCAAATTTTTCAAACCTCAATCACGGAGAGCATAAGAGAAGTAAATTATATTATAAAATGCTGAGGTCCAAAATGAGTACTGTTATAAGGGTGGAATTCGTTTCTGTGGAGCAGAGTTGAGGCATCTATATGTGCTAGCCAGAACCTGTTTCCTTGCTCCAATTGGCAGGAGTCCAGGAGCATGTCTGTCGCATAGTTGTTTTTCTTTTTCCACAAACGTAATATTATCTTTTTGCTGCTTCCCATCTAAGGATATTAAAATTCTTGAATAATGATTTGTTGGAGTACCTTTATAGGTTCCTAGATGGTGAACTTGACAATCTATCAGATAGGTTAGCTGGTGTTTCCCCCCCCCAAAAATTTTGCCATATGATTTGATCTTTTTATGTATGTTATTTATTATTTTGCTGAATCATTTTCTTCAATATGTTGTCAGGTTATTAAAGATGACGTTGGAACTATTCGGATTCAGCAACCCTACAAAGGCCCATTTTATGTCTCCCATAAAACTATTGACCAGCTCATTGCAAATCTTGGGAAATGGGCTAGGTTGTTATGCGTACATTTGTGCTTGTTTACAACTGCACAGTCTTGCATGAACATTGGATCTTTTGATGTTTTCTCCATTGTTTTTTACATGTACTCATTAGAGTTATGCCCTCCAGGTGGTATAAGTATGCGTCTCTGGGGTTGACTGTGTTTGGTTTTTATCTGATTGCAAAACATGCTTTTCAATATTTCATGGAGAGAAAGCGCCATTCGGAGTTGCGAAAGAGGTATGGTTCACTTATTAATGTACACAACTTTATGTTTGTATGTTTCGCTCTAGGCAAGTGGTGACTCTAGGATTATGCCATGACTCATGCCATGACAACTTCTCAATGCAGGGTTCTTGATGCTGCTGCTAAAAGACCAGGGCGAGATAATGAAGGTAGCTAGCTTTGTGTATTTCTTCTATGACCCTTCTTTGAAATAAATATTTTGGTGCTGTATTGAGAAGTTGCATAAATTTCATTCCTTTTATGTTCTTGTTCAGATGGCAATGCTGAGAATGCATCAGACAGTACTAGAAAAGATTGCCTAATGCCAGATTTATGTGTGATATGCCTAGAGCAGGAGTACAATTCAGTTTTTGTTCCGTAAGTTCTCCAACAATCTCTCATTTTGTTTCAGATAGAAAATTATAAAATGCTCGATCCTTTTGTGATACATTTTCTTCTTCTTATGTCTACTTTAATCCCATAGATCTCTCTTCAGATACGTGAATTGTCTGGATAAAAGATTTGACCAACTCTGTTATGTGCATGCACCTGCATCATTGCCAAAACTAATTCCTAGGTTGAAANAATTCTTGAATAATGATTTGTTGGAGTACCTTTATAGGTTCCTAGATGGTGAACTTGACAATCTATCAGATAGGTTAGCTGGTGTTTCCCCCCCCAAAAATTTTGCCATATGATTTGATCTTTTTATGTATGTTATTTATTATTTTGCTGAATCATTTTCTTCAATATGTTGTCAGGTTATTAAAGATGACGTTGGAACTATTCGGATTCAGCAACCCTACAAAGGCCCATTTTATGTCTCCCATAAAACTATTGACCAGCTCATTGCAAATCTTGGGAAATGGGCTAGGTTGTTATGCGTACATTTGTGCTTGTTTACAACTGCACAGTCTTGCATGAACATTGGATCTTTTGATGTTTTCTCCATTGTTTTTTACATGTACTCATTAGAGTTATGCCCTCCAGGTGGTATAAGTATGCGTCTCTGGGGTTGACTGTGTTTGGTGTTTATCTGATTGCAAAACATGCTTTTCAATATTTCATGGAGAGAAAGCGCCATTCGGAGTTGCGAAAGAGGTATGGTTCACTTATTAATGTACACAACTTTATGTTTGTATGTTTCGCTCTAGGCAAGTGGTGACTCTAGGATTATGCCATGACTCATGCCATGACAACTTCTCAATGCAGGGTTCTTGATGCTGCTGCTAAAAGACCAGGGCGAGATAATGAAGGTAGCTAGCTTTGTGTATTTCTTCTATGACCCTTCTTTGAAATAAATATTTTGGTGCTGTATTGAGAAGTTGCATAAATTTCATTCCTTTTATGTTCTTGTTCAGATGGCAATGCTGAGAATGCATCAGACAGTACTAGAAAAGATCGCCTAATGCCAGATTTATGTGTGATATGCCTAGAGCAGGAGTACAATTCAGTTTTTGTTCCGTAAGTTCTCCAACAATCTCTCATTTTGTTTCAGATAGAAAATTATAAAATGCTCGATCCTTTTGTGATACATTTTCTTCTTCTTATGTCTACTTTAATCCCATAGATCTCTCTTCAGATACGTGAATTGTCTGGGTAAAAGATTTGACCAACTCTGTTATGTGCATGCACCTGCATCATTGCCAAAACTAATTCCTAGGTTGAAGGTTGTATGGTTCATAGAGATGAGGTTGACCGGATAATCCCATCTTTAAGATCTAGAGTCTGATGGATCATTATTTGGTGTACAAGATGGGTGGAAGTTTTGTTATGTTGGGTTGGTCTCTCTCCACTTGAGGTGTACGAAGAAAATAAGTTCTGCTTCTTTTCATTATTCATTTAGAATACAACCCAATCAAAAATTTAGTGGGAACCCATGACCCTGGCCTCATTTTTTCGCTGATCTTTGATGTGATTGGAGTAGCTTTCTCATGCATGCATTACTCCCCTAGCCTAATATAAATAATTTCATTCCCAAAGGAATATGTCAATATCGTAGAAGTACATCTCTTATTTCATTTTCTTTGGCACACCATGAAAGTGGTTGCTTTTGCAACTTCAGACACAGCCCTGCCATACTGAAGTGTATAGGTGTCTATTTTGAGTCTCAGATTGAACAGTAGTTCAATATTTTGATGTTTAGTGCTTTTGAGCTTAATTTAAACTGTAAAAAAGTCGATTACTGGATGTCATATTCAGGTGTGGTCATATGTGCTGTTGTACATTGTGCTCATTGCACTTAACAAACTGTCCACTCTGCCGGCGACGGATAGACCAGGTAGTGAAGACATTTCGCCATTGAACTAGGTTTTGAGGTTGGATAGCCACCATCGACTAGGACACCTGAAAGCTGAAGCTTGGGGTGGATTTGAATGTCTGAATCCCGCTTTATGATGGCAATGGAACTTGGTTACATAGTTCAAGATTCTTATTGGATACACAGTATGGCCATTGCATGTTGAAGTTTTCGAAGTTCTTTTTCTTTGAGAAATTTTACGAGTACAGTTGACTTATATGCAGATTATCGACAGGCTCTTCTGGAATTTTCTCTTACCTTTGTGAACTATGTACAGTGGATGTCTTTCTAAAGTTGATGTGATTTATGTCTATAAGCCTTCTTTGTCGCTCCTTTTCTGTTTGCTCATGTTTCTGTGCTCTCATTTGGTGTTGAATAGCCTGTGGCAGAGTCTAGTTTGTTTTTTTAGAAGCATTAAGTTGGGGATCAGCTTAATAGAGTGATAGTTTGAGAATTTCTATTAGCAAAGACATTTTTTAGGCTTAAAACACGTTTCTAGTCCACAGATAAATTTAATTCTTTTAAAGAACCATTAAACTGCTAGGCTTACATGCGCAGAGGTGCAAATGAACCAAACCGAGTTGGGCACACTGTTCGGGCTCAATTTGTTCGCTTGCACGGAGAACTCAAGAAAATTAGTACCGTGACGAGATTTAAATATCTTGTTGAATCTAGGTTTGTTAGTTTTTTTCTCGGAACTTGTATTTGGCTCGTTGGATTAATCAGACCAAGCTCAAGATTGTGTTCAAGGACATGTCATTACTGAGGCTCTGTTCATTTATTGGATGAGCTTCAAAACTGAAATAGAGTTTAGTTTGTTTTACAAATGAATGAACTTGAACAAGCTTTAATCTGAAGCACATGGATCGGTTCATTTAGAACCAACCTTACAAACATCCATGGAATTCTAGTTCCAGATCAGGAGCATACCCAATGTAATTATGAGATTCCCGCAACCATGCTTTGATTGGAAATTAGACTTTGAGGGCAATGAATCTGATACCACCTAGAATCTTACTAGTCACCCATGTGTACTTTCCATTTCTTTTCTAAAACATCAGAGGCCGTGCTGTGTGAAACAGCTCAGAAGCATTTAATCCAATCATCTTTGATACTTCTTTGAGAGAAAATGAGCTATCTGGAAAGTTGGAATATGATCCCTAACCATTATATTACTCAGACAAAGTGGAAAACTCTCTCTCTCTCTCTCTCTCTAGAGAATCTTAGCATAATTCCCCCTTTGAATTGTTTGCATCTTTGTCTAGCTTTCACATCATAACTGGCTTTCATATGAGAAAAAAATGACTCAGCTTCCTGGTCATCACTATCTTCTTCTCTTTAAATTGTGTCAAGTCTCTTAGTTCCTATATCTGAAAGCCACTTGGATTCCTTGCAACCCAACAATGGCAGACAACCAGACCTACGATTCCAAGGGGGTGTGTGAAAAAATTTACAATGCATTGACTGTATGTCCTGCTCTTAGAAAAATTCGTAGCATTTCACAGTCCCAGCAGAGCTCTGTACCTGCCGCTGGCAATGCTCCAACTTGGTCACTACCAACCTCTGATCACACTGCTAGAGCCCCTATGTCCCAGACCAAACCAGTTGTCCTGCAAACACCACCAAGTTTTTCAGGTGAAGTGATTATTCCCATTGAGTTTGATCCATCTGTTAGGTCATCTCTATCAAGTAAACAGCAAAAGAAGGCAAATCTACATGCTCCCATTGAAAAAAATGGGCAAGAGGCTAACGTTTATTTGAAGATTGTACCAGCAAGCCAGACCAAGCCTACTCTAGAGACGACCGGGCAAGGTCATGGCCAGCTGCCTAAAGTTGCATCAAGGTATGAACTTCCACCATCCCCAGTTTCAGCCTTGGAGAAACGAAAGTCTAAAGCCGATCTGGCTCAACCAGAGAAGGAAGTTGTTGGACCAGGTCATGGCCAAGTGGTTGCAATCAGTTCAAAGAGCCATGCTAAGCCTCCTGTTGTCGGCTCGGAGAAACCCGGGCACAAGGTTGAGATTGCTCCTTCTTCCAACATAGTTGTAGCTAAAGCTCATGACCAAGGAACCAAGGCAACATCAAAGCTTGAACCTGCAAAACCTCATATGCAAGACGAGAGGCTCAAGCCAAAGGTAGAGACAGCTTCACCAGGTATGGGGGTTGTTGTTCCTAAAGATGGGCCACCCCAAGATAAAGGAGAAGAAGGGAAGAAACTGAGACATGACAATGTGAATGACAAGTTCTCTGATTATATCGATCGAGTGAAGCATAAAATGGGAACTGCATCAAATGCTGGAGGTGGTGGAAGGAGTGCCTCAAGGCTAGACAGTCTGGATGACAAGGTTTCTAATTATATTAATCGCGTGAAAATTAAGATTGGGAGTACATCAACTGTAGATGGTGGGAAGAGTGTGTCTTTTAAATGAAAACAGAGAGAATATGAACAAGATGAGTAGCATCAAGAACTGGTATAAGGATTTATGAATTTGGTGGTGGTTATGGTGAGTATTAACTAAGGTGAAGCCGTTTGTGTTATTGGTTTTTTATATCATAGTCAAGAAAAACCAATATAATGCTTATATGAAATAAGATGTGTAAGAGAGTATATTTATCAATTAAAATAAGATTGATATTCTTGCACCCCATTTTGTCATGAATAGTAGGAGAGTCCTGATCAAGCAATGTAGCTACAAGCTTGGAAATTATTTGATGCAGGAAAACGGGTAGAAATAAAGATATAATGAATGAAAGGAGTTAATGAAATTAAACTGTTAATTTGTGCACAAATACTGGTTTAGAATCTTACTCTAGATTTGTTGATTTACAAAGAATATCAATCCTAAAGTCCTCAGTAACTTCAATAAATTTGTTGATTTATACGAATACTAGAATAATTAGAAAGAAAAGAGATCATTCAAAGTTGTTTTGCCCTAACGCTTATAAGACTTTAAATAGTAGTAGAAGTCCTAAAACNCGAATACTAGAATAATTAGAAAGAAAAGAGATCATTCAAAGTTGTTTTGCCCTAACGTTTATAAGACTTTAAATAGTAGTAGAAGTCCTAAAACAAAATAAATTAGGAAATAAAATAAAATTCTAATTAAACCAAAAAATAAAAATAAAATAATTTTCTAATTAAATTAGAAAATAAAATAAAATCTTATAAAATTCTCAACCTAAACGGGATTCACCACATTCAAATAAAACATTAAAATTTTTGCCACTCTTTATGCATCCACCTTTATCTCCTCTTGCTTTGTATGCTCAATGCGGATTTAGATCCTTTCTATTTTTTTTTATAATTTCTTTCTTGGCGGATCATTTATCATTAATGAATAAGAAATTCAATTGTATATAATGAGTCTCATTTGAATACGTAATATTTGATTAGCCAAAAAAAAAATTGAGGGAAAATATATTGGAGGAGAGTTTATTTCAATCAAGACTATGCTACTGCCGCATAGATCGATGTTGAAAAGTAGAGAGTGAAAATTACATTTAAATCATTCAATGATATTAAAAAATTTTAGTAACTAAGAACTAGCAATCAGGTAAAACCTCATAAAATTTTTAAAAATAAATAAAAAAAACCTCAAAAGTTTAGGAAAAGATGATTTTTTTTTTTTTGGGGGGGGGGGGGTTGTTGGAGCTCAAAGAGAGGTTGTAAATTGATGTCAATACATTGATAGATATGTATGTATATATTCCTTTCAATAATGTCTCATGCTCTCTGTATATTACCGCGTTGAATTGACATGAAATTTTGTAAATTTTCACTTCATTTTTAAGTTAGAGGGCAATGCCCTTTCGATGTCATTGATCAAGCAGCATGTTAACCCATGTCATTCATTGACCAACTCACCCAATATGTTGTCACCCACAACCTTAGTGGTTCTGAGTGATTGAAAGCTGCTCTCAGCTTTGTGCATAATTTATTTGCAAGTCAAATTGGACATTGTAACTCAAACTCTAGCAAAGTGCAGCTAGCTAGCTAGCTAGATCACCCATATTTGAGTTCTCCTCTGTTGTCATCGTACATAAAAAAGAAGAAAAAAAACTTCGTTTGTGATCATATAACTAACATTCTCGATCTAAATCTTCGTATCCATATGACATACTATAGTTTTGGACACAACAACTGATTTAGGTGTTGTGATCATAAAGCCCAACTCACACTCAATGGGGATAGTAAAGTTGTTTTGTCAGTTTGGAAATTTGGTTGAGGCATTACCCATGTTNCTTAGTGGTTCTGAGTGATTGAAAGCTGCTCTCAGCTTTGTGCATAATTTATTTGCAAGTCAAATTGGACATTGTAACTCAAACTCTAGCAAAGTGCAGCTAGCTAGCTAGCTAGATCACCCATATTTGAGTTCTCCTCTGTTGTCATCGTACATAAAAAGGAAGAAAAAAAACTTCGTTTGTGATCATATAACTAACATTCTCGATCTAAATCTTCGTATCCGTATGACATACAGGCACAAAGATAGCAGTTCTGGTAACTCCCTGTAAGTTCAGTTTCCTAGTTCATCTCTACAAATAAAGTTATTAATCATTCCATACGGATTAAAGAAACCATGAGATTTACCATCATTTCCTACTAGTTGATGGACTAGAATATTAATTCCGTCGGTAACTTTGTGTCGGTTTTTTGTCGATCATATTAAGAATTGTCAATCATAATTCTTTAGTGTTGTTGCTGCAAAATGTGTTGAAATTGAAAAATAGTTTTATTTCAAGACTTCCTTGGATGAAATTAGTGAATAAACGTGAAGTGTAGGGGACTAATAAAAGAACAAATCCTTTATTAATTCAATCAAAGGGACTTTGGTTGTAAAAAAGATTGATTAGCAACTTTGAATGCAGTAGTAATTGCTTTCTAAAATTAACTTAAAACTACTTCTAAAAATGTCCAAATCGTGGGTCTTGTAGGGGGTTTGATTGTATCTTTCATATTCTCCATTATATGCTCTTTATAACTATTATATTCGACGATTTTGCTTCTATTGAATAGTAACCTCTAGTTAGTTATTTTTTTTTCAAACATGATTGTGACTGATCTTTTCCCGCATTTTTTCAGTTTCTACTACAGTATTTTCTTAGTGCATTCAGATTGTCAAATGTCATACGATTTATTTATTATATGTCCAAACAAGGGCAGATAATGGAACATGGAGGTATATACAAACACACACCTGATTATGATTTGGAGGCCATTAGGGAAAGCCAACTGTGACGTGTTTGTTTTTTGTCAACATATTCATGGCATTTCTGAAATTTCCAAAGCTGTTCCTATCAAAACATGAGATTTTGATGACGATGATCCTCACTCCCTTGCTTTACATAGTTGTCTATTTTTAAAGTGGTTCAAAAGTAACCTTATTTTAAAGCTTAAAACCCATGACTTAGCTTTTAGATCCATACAACCTAACTTGTCCCTTCCAGGTGTTTGAATAAAAGACAAAGACAAAGACAGAGGCAATTTTAATGAAATAACTACCAAACTTAAGTTCAAATATGTGTCTACATCACTCCATAAATGTATAGTGACCAATTCCAACTAAAACATTGACATTTAATGAACTCGTACAATGGTCAGTTATGCATCTCGTAGTTTACCAGAAATTTGAGCTTTGCCGATTCATTCTAGTGGCAACTCTTGCTACTTCTAGTTTGGTGCATGATCGAGTCACACCCATATTGCCTTTTTCTTTTTAATTTGGCTAAGCCTTGTTATTGAAGGACATGAAGTGTCCCTCCAAAGACATTTTGATACAATAAGAATGATACCAAAATAGATTAGCACGTATATAGCCCCTCGAATGGACGACACGAGAAATGGTAAATTAAAAGACAGTAATCTTTCTTTTAAACCTTCCCCAATTATAAGATTTCACAAATTTTTGCTGTGAATGTTGTGATGGAACCAGTTGGTGCCCGGAGAATATATAAATGCTTTAGCAAAGGCCAGGAGGAGGATAATCCATCTCCCAATTTTGGATGGTCCATATGATGAGTTGTCCAAAATATTCTATACCGTCCTCAGACTCCCAACCTACCAAAAAGTTAAGGACCCCCATCAAAATGCCCATTAAAGTTATTTAAATGCGCGTGCGCATACACACATAGTGGAGAGAGAGAGAGAGAGAAAAGTATATGACTTTTTTTAGTTTGCATCTCCAAAATTCGTTTTTCTGTTTTCGAAAATAGTTTTTGAGAGAAAAGTTATTTAGTTAGTTATTTTTTGTTTTTGTTTTTGTTTTTTGAACACTGAAAACAAAAAGTAAGTAAATTTAAAGAGCAAATTAGNTGGTTGTAAAAAAGATTGATTAGCAACTTTGAATGCAGTAGTAATTGCTTTCTAAAATTAACTTAAAACTACTTCTAAAAATGTCCAAATCGTGGGTCTTGTAGGGAGTTTGATTGTATCTTTCATATTCTCCATTATATGCTCTTTATAATCCGGTTTTGCTTCTATTGAATAGTAACCTTTAGTTAGTTATTTTTTTTTCAAACATGATTGTGGCTGATCTTTTCCCGCATTTTTTCAGTTTCTACCACAGTATTTTCTTAGTGCATTCAGATTGTCAAATGTCATACGATTTATTTATTATATGTCCAAACAAGGGCAGATGATGGAACATGGAGGCATATACAAACACACACCTGATTATGATTTGGAGGCCATTAGGGAAAGCCAACTGTGACGTGTTTGTTTTTTGTCAACATATTCATGGCATTTCTGAAATTTCCAAAGCTGTTCCTATCAAAACATGAGATTTTGATGACGATAATCCTCACTCCCTTGCTTTACATAGTTGTCTATTTTTAAAGTGGTTCAAAAGTAACCTTATTTTAAAGCTTAAAACCCATGACTTAGCTTTTAGATCCATACAACCTAACTTGTCCCTTCCAGGTGTTTGAATAAAAGACAAAGACAAAGACAAAGACAATTTTAATGAAATAACTACCAAACTTAAGTTCAAATATGTGTCTACATCACTCCATAAATGTATAGTGACCAATTCCAACTAAAACATTGACATTNTTGTTTTAAATTGATTACGTACTCTAATAATTTTTTGTACTAATAATAAAAAAACAATTATTGAGAGATTTATGAAATGTTCTACTCGTATTTGTGGTTTAAATTGATTATGTACTAATAGATTTTATATCAAAAAAAATTATCGGCATATAGTGAAATGTTTGTAGAAAGAGGTTGCAATTTGACTATCTTTGTACCAGGCGTTTGTTTTAAGCTTAGTGGTCGTGTTGTGGTCTCCATCCAATTTTGTGCACTTTTTAGAAACTTTGAAAAATGATGGGCCTCTTTCTCATGTGCACCGCTTGGCTTTTCTGCTTGAAGTGGTAAATAGAATAAGGCCTTTGCATGTCGGGTCCCACTTTTTGGGTCATTTTGGTTTGT